GAGAGCTCATTTCAGAGATAAATGATGGCTTGGTGATATAATATCAAATTGCAACGTTGAGTACGAGGGACAAGATGACCTGTGGTAAAGTCGTAATAAGTTCCTGACCAGGTGCTTCGCTTCATGGCAACCATGCACAACACGGACTTGACTGCCCTGTCCTAGGGAGCTGGCTGCTTGCCCCCCTGCGGGTGTGTTCCAGTCGCACTTATTACCTGGGTTACTAGCTCGTAACTCCCTTACCTACCGCATCTCTCGTAAGATGTTCCCGCCTTCTGTCAACTTTACATCAAGCTATCATAAGCCACTCAGCCTGGCTTGGGGGGATGGTCCTGGCACGGCCTTGTCCCAGACATGCGTGCACTCTGGTCATCGTTGGCCCTTGGGGGGTGTTGCCTTGTCCTGCCCACAATCGTTCCTTGACTTGCAGGTGCTGTGCTCTTCTCATCATGCCGCATGCAAAGCACACCGCTGAAGCGCAATATTCACAATGTACGAGACTCGAACTTTATATAAGGGGAACCTCTGTACAGTATGCAATGATTATAAGAGAACGCATCTTCAGACAGACACTGGTGTTTACTGCGATACGGTGTACCTTGATGTAGGCAGTAGGTGAACAAACAAAGAAACCCCTGGCATGCTGCTGCTGATACTGTGTACTATTACCAGTGGGTATGTACCTAGGTGGCAGGCACCAGACATCAATCAATCAATCAATCAATCAATCAATCAATTGATACAATAACTCGTACATCAATACCTGTTGTTAGCGTGCGTACTATTTAGACATCTCAGCAGCTTGGGGTCTACTAGTCCGAACCCAGCCTAGGGCGTGGCTTCTCACCCAAACCACTGGGTTCCCGGGGTGTCGGACGCTGTGGCCTGGCCGCCTGCGTGCTGTGCGCACCCGCCTAGGCGATCCTTGCGCTCTCTACTATATTTATTTGGTGATCTCGGCACAGCGATGAACGTGCCAGTCCCATCGTCTCGCAATCTCGCGCTCCGCTAAAGTTGGCTGGCAGCCTGGTCGCATAGTTGGCCGCAGGGCTTCCCGGCGAGTCTCTTTTGCATTTGGGGGGGAGGGGACCTTGCTGCTGATTACATAGCATAGCCTAGCACCAAATCTCATGGTTCCTGCAGCCTACCTAACTTACATGTCTGATATACATACACATTTGTAGCACGAGAAAGCGAGGCAGGCACAACAGATAAATTTCCGTCACAATACTAGTACCCACGACTTACATGCAACAGTACGTGGTTGGAGTCGTGCACTAGTCAAGTAATGAGGCAGGCCACATGCAATGGGACTTTCAACTCCGGCGCGCAAGACTGAATCGCAATCGCATGAATGCATGCATCAATGCATGCATGTCTGCGATTCTCATGAACTCTATTTCCGGTACAGCTTTCCGAAACGGGGGTGTGTTCTTTTGTGCAACAATATGATGGTAATAAAAAATCATCAACAGCATGGTTGCTCTACATAGTATACGCCACCCCATTTACAATCTTTCGACCAGATCGGCCGGGGCTGAGACAAGGCGACCTAGATGGTAACATTGCATGACAGACGGAGAATTGATCCAACGGACGTATCGCACGAGTTAGGGTCACAGGCAGCTGCAATTAATCCTATGTACCGAACAAGCTACCGAGTGTGTTCTATACTGATAGCACAACCTCGGCATGCTGTGATCAAGATTTTGGGTAGGGAAAGTGGTGTCCATGTTGGGAGACCCCTCCGGCAGTAAGCTTGACTCCAGCGGGAGATATGTAGTAGGTACGTATTGCAGTACACGGCTCAAAACCGTCTTGAATATTCGTATGTAATTCCATCACATCTTCAACCGAAATATGCATACTGCCACGGCGCGTCTGCCATCCGTGGGAACCAATGAAGTGTGGTGGGTCGTCAACTTTTCAAAATCCCCGTTCCCTATCGGGACAAGTTCCCAGCGAGTTTCTGGGGGTCCGGGCGGGTTGGCGATTTACCAGCCAAGCGCGTCTGTCCACGCTCCATCTCTATTGTGTACATTCGCGTTGCCGTCCCTACGGTACTACGTACATACCTACATTACTCAAATGACCGGCATGCAGGGCTGGTGGTCTACCGTATTTGTGAGTTTTGTGTGCCCGGGGCACAGCGCCTGGCTCTCGCTCCATGAGCCAGTCAGTATTGAGCCCGTTGGAGACCTCAGTCTCGACTCCAGAGCCACTCCTCCCATTTGATCTCACATGACGCTAGCAATGAGGATGATGTACGGAGTAGTTGGTGCATGTGCATATTGAATTATTTTCTGTGGTCAGTCATCTTCCATAATAGTACCATGTAGGTGCAATAAACACACGTACATCAGCCATCAAAGTATAGGTGGAATACGTTAAAAAAAAAAGGAAGTACGTACTTCAAAGGTTACCTACCTACCTTGCCTACATTACCTACCCTTTCCCTGTCAGCACACCAAAGGGCTCGTGGGTCGGTGGGTGTTCCCTAGATTCCGCCACGTGCCTTAACCCAGACAAGTCAAGCACATCACTTTCTGGCTCTCGTCCAAGCCTCTGCACTATCCCGTAAAAAAACAACAAGTTTCTGACATGATTGATCCTCTGCCCACCGGTCTTGACTGACCCCTGGCTCTCTCGCAGCACTAACTTGGGATGTGCCAGCGAACAGCCACCATCTGCTAGCCCGCGGCGGCAGCACCACTACACTACCAGATGATGCTAGCATCGGATATCCCATGGACCATAACCCATCATCCCACACCGCATCGTCCTTCCTTCGAGCAAGTCAGAGTGGGTGGACTACACTACTACTCAGTACGCCGCGGGCCCTACCCATGTCTGCCGCTCTCTCTCCGCCGCCGCCGCCAGCCTCTCGAGTGCCCACTCGCCTGGGCCGCCGAGCACGCACTTCAACCTCCCCGGGCGCATCTAGATTGACCAGCAAGCTAGACTGTTGGTTTGCCTAGATCAGCAAAGTGGGCGATTTTGAACAGCCGACTCGTTGTCTATTCCCCGTTTCAGGCGGATCGTCGCTTAGCGTTTGGTCAAACTTTGGCTGCTAATAATGGTAAGTATTATGACAACCAGTGATTCCATGCCACTTGGTGCTGGGACGGACCTCAGATGACTGATGACAGAAAATATACGAGCAGACCTGCCTATCTTTGTCAGTCGTGGTTTGATGCAGTACACCTGCTCACCCTCTCTGTTTCTGATAATGGATCTACCCAGATCTCCAACAACCACCAATCCTAATACCATCTTCGCAGGATCGACGTAAAATGCAGAGCCAGCCATCCTCAAGCTCACCGTTTATCATTGCCAGTTGCGTCGTCGGCAGACATAACATTATGTTCTTTCCCCATTTCTAACCGCGGTTTGAGTGCCATATCTCTCTTGCTCGTTCAATCTTTCCATGTGGTCGATTTTCAGGAGCACGTAGACTTTGGACTGCCCAATATTTTTATTTTATTTTTATTATCGTATCATGCAAGAACTGCAACCGGAGAGATTTCCAAATTCCTATCGTCTCAGAAACTAACCAAAATCGATACAAACAAGAGCCCGCCTATGCTGCTACGTGGTCGGGATACACGAACTAGAGCCCGAACAGGCCTCAAGGTGACGTGCAGTAAAGCGGTCAAGCAAGTGATCTTTAATGTACCGAGCCTTAGTCCTACATACCTACCAGGCCTACCTATCTGTCTGTCTGTCTGGCTGGCTGCCTGCTTGCCTACCTACCTACCTACCTATCTACCTACCTACCTACCTACCTACCTACCAGCCCACGAACGGTGGCCTGGCTCTGTGTGCTGCTATGATGCCCTTGTCCGACGAACCAGCGAGGTTTAAAAAAGAGACTCGTCATGACGAGACCCCCCAAAGCTATGGGTACCAACGAACCACCTAGTCATACCCTACATGGGTCCTCAGACGTTAGACAAGGGGACCCCTGAAGCATACTGTACCCCGTTCACCGTCCCAAGCCCGTCCATCTCAATGGCTTGCTTCTACGGCGTCTTCGACTGCTTCTCTGGATCCGCCCCATATGTTCTTCATTGCCATAAGAAGCTAGTTGGCGAGTACAAGGTCTGATAAGGAAGATCCTTTCCAGCCCTCCAAGAAGACTGTGACCACTGGCCATTTTGGTATCCCAAAAACTAATAAGCCATACAAACCCCCAGGATCGACTCTCTCCCAACCAAGCCGTGACCACTTATACTGTCACGACAAATACCTCATCAGCATACTGATATCCCACTGAATCACGGGTCCTCTTTTCGTTATTTTGTTCATCTTGATCGTCGTCTGTCAACACAATCACCAACACAAAGGCTTTAAACTAAACGTACTTGGCTGTCAATTTGCAGTGCAACCTTTGTCGAAAGTGATACCACCGAGACGAGGTTAGTCACCAGGGCTATTTCCTCTTTCTCTGTCTCTCTTAATAGATAAATGAGCTGTACTTGGTAATTGCGAGCCGGGGTATCTCTCGTAATCCTTTCTTGTTGGACAAGCAAGCGTCCGGGGGTCCTCCTTCGACGCGTGCCAGCGACTCACGTCCATCCAGTACGCAAGGCTTGTCTTAAAGATTATGACTGGCCCACCACTCTCTGCACCTTACCTGGGATTTTCACTGCTGGCTTAGTCCCTGTCCGTACCTTGGGCTCTCTCTGCCTCTTGTTGTACTTTGTAACGCTTCAGCCCGAGTTGCCGCTAAATCCTACGAGCACCGGCAGACTGTTTCTGGAGTGGTGTCCGCTTCTCTTTCGTCTTCGAACAATATCTAGTTGGGCATCGCTACCTAGGTAGTCACCCATATGTTAACGGTAGATCCTCGTCACACCACAACATACTTGGAACTGTTTCCAGCAATAGAAAATCTTCGATTCGACGACCAAAAGGCGACTATTCCACTCACATACTTCGATCTCATCGACACCACTGGGTCTTGACACAACTTGTGGAAGCAGCGACTTTCTTGGTTCCATCCTTGTTCCTTCTCCCCTGGGGCCTTGAAAAACTTTTTGTACGACTGTTTCCGCAAAGCTCCGGAAACTCCTTCGCCGTGGCTGTCTCCGAGGGTCAACGTTATTCTTCACAGCCACTTGGCCGTCCGATCCATCTAGCCGGGACAGATCGAGCAACGACTGATCACGGCTCGGAAACGGGTTGGGCTAAGCCAGACGAAAGAAGTCTTGCTACCAGCTCTCCTGATACAGCTAATCACTCCAAACGACAACGAGACGAGGGTGGTCAATGTTCGGGTCTTCAAGACCACCTCCCAGCTGAGGCACAGGTCTCGATGTCGCAGAAGAGACCTGCGCCTCATTCAACTTCACCACCTCTATGGAGGTCTCCAAGATCAAGTTGGCCCAACTCCCCAGCAACGCACCGATCGAATCTGCGGGGAGGCGGTGACCCTTCTTCGGAGGACGGCTCTCAGGAAAGCAGTAGCGTGCGCTCCTATGGAGAATGGCCACAGCCCGTGCAAAGAAGTTTGGGCGTTCACAGTATTTTGAACCCTCCCACTTCTCAGCCTAGCTCTGGGGGTGCCGCAGCTCCGTCTATGGGCAATTCTCCCATGGGAGGTCTGGGTAGAATGTCCCATACCACTACGCATTATGGAACGAGTCCAGCACAGCGCCCCTTGCTCTTCCAAGGCCACGGCGTGCCCATCCAACAAGAGATCTCGCGTCCAAGTGGTGAAGCTCTAGCAGCTACAGGAACGAAGCCTGCAATGGGTTCGCCAAATAGTATTCAGCCACTGTCTGCGCTGGGCGGGCCACGTCGTTATTTGACCCCAAGATCTCCAAGGGTCAGTGCTATCAGCCAGGGACCACCACCAGGGCCTGGAAACGTACAGCCGCAACTATATCCAATGTCTTCATTGACAGGTCAAGGCAGGCCTGCCAGAGATAGCGTCTCTGGATCACCCCCAGACCACTCTGTTCAACCATTTCAGCGCCCGACTGCAGCTCTAGGTTCTGGGAACCAAATGGCCGGCAACATTTCAAGGTCAAATACTCCTTCGCGCTCAATGTCTCAACATATGCTCGGCCAGGCGCATCCCTCCATGCAAGATTCATCACGCCCACCAGAGCTAATGGATCGTTCACACCGGCCACATGGGTTGCCGCCTTCGCCATACGCTACAAGCGTCCCACCCACTGGCCGCGGGTTTCCGACTTTGGCTTCCCCAGACTCTCGCTGGTCACCGCTCAGCGCAGGACAGCAGGGTGGAAGGGGAAGTTCCATGCCGGAAGAACAGTCCACGCTTGTATTTGCAACACCCGGTGGCGAGCCAGTCACCTTCACGATCGACAAAACGAACGGTTCGCGACAGGCTGACGAGAAGAGGCAAAGGAATGCAGGAGCTTCAGCAAGGTTTAGACAACGCAAGAAAGACAAGGACATGCAGAAAGAGGCCGCCATAGAAAAGTTGCAGGCTCATAACAGAGACCTCGAGCGGCAAATCCAAGAACTCAAATTGGAACGAGAACGATATCGAGCAGACCGCGATCGTTTGCGGGATGTCGTCTATCGAACGCCCAACATCTCGGAACTAGCGTACCAGGGGCCACCGAGTCCATCAGCAAGACCTGCTGAACCCTTTGCAAGCCGGTCAATGCTTGAAACTGGACCTCCGCATCAGCAGCAATCGCTGGTGAGCGCGACATACGGAGAAATGGATGCTTCCACGGGCGAAAGAGCTCCAAGACGACGCCGCACAAACTCTCGCACAGAATACGACTCGACACCGTACTCGAACCCATTGCCACCGCCGAGTTATAGCTTACCGACTTCGCAGCCAGGCACGCCTTTGGCAGGCAGTCGATTGGAGAGACTCCCACCACTGCGCTTAGACCGAGGTCCTGGAGTCCCAACCACGTCTGGGCCCACTTCGAATCCATCTGTTCAAGGTTACTCACCCATAAAGCGCGAGCACTATGAGACAGGTTGGGCTGCCAGACCTACGGGGCCGTTCCCTTGATCGGGAGCGGGCCAAAAGAAAGACTACATTCGAATAGAGGCTGGTCCGTCTGCCAATCACATCCTCTTCGTTGTATCAACGTCAATTTGCACTATAGATCTAATATAATCGACCAATTCCCCTTCATGCTTGGCCGGAACCGAGACAAATGACGTCTTTACTTTTCACAAAGTTTTGGCATTATTCGCCTAGAGAGATCTGCATCAGTCGGGCAACCGATGACGATCAAAGGTGTTACCGGGGAGTTTCATGCATTTTGCTCTCATATTCTGCACCAAGATGAGGAGGTTATAATTGGTCTCTGGCGATGCTATTGCCGTGGGCACTGAATATCAGCACACATGGCATGAGGCTCAATATCACTTGCCTTGCCTAGCATACTGCTCGTCAGAGGCCCCAAGTGGTGTTAGGGCGTTTCCACGGATTATGTTCTTTGCTTTACTTTTTGGAGGGACAACTTTGGAAGCCTTGGGGGTACCAGGATCTGGAGTTGTGGCTGGAGAGAAAGCGCAGCGGCTTTACTCGTGGCGAATTGGTTTCCGAAGCTGTTCGCTTCTAGCAAGAGACTAAAGTATCATTTACTGGGACTGTATAAAACTATGGGAGCAAGGCAGGCATCTTGGGCCCGGCGTGGGACACACAGGCGTTCATGTTATTCCTTTTCCCGCAGCATCACAGATTGCATTACGACAGCACTGCGGTGTCGAGTTCAAGGCGTAGCTTTGCGAAGATGTGTGTACTCTATTTATTCACATCTAGCCTATATATCCTTTCAAAGTCGGGTTGAGCGTCGTTGAGATTTTTCTGAATTGACTCTTTTTTTCGAATTAACGACTGTCATCAAGTTAGGACAAGCTGCAATTCTTGCCACTAAATACCTGTATTCCAATTATATTAATAAGTAAGAAATGCTTCGACAGCGATTGGGTGGGAGTTGAACCTGGAGGATCTGGCGGAAGAATACGACCTTGGCACTAGTAGTATACATGACGGCTGATCACATCCATCAGAACCTACCTAACCTACCTACATGATCCTCTCAGTGCTGATATGCATAGCCCGGGGATGCCCTTGCAGAAGCGAGCCCGGGTGAGTTTGCCGAGTTTGGTGCACGATCCCGTCCGTCGTCTCATGGCCCCCGAGCTGCATCGCTAGTGCCGAGCAACTTTATCCCAACTCCATCTCTTCAGGTGTTTGTGTTGTCATATAGTACATCTCCTTGACGGGCGTATGGAATGTGCCTCCATTTCACTTTGAGAAGATGCTGCTTCCTCTTGTTTTTCTAAGCAGCATCCATGGTGTACAGATGCTGGTAATTGTTGCAAGTATCGTGCTTGGCCAAGAAGTCTGAATTTCTTTCGCGTTATCAAAGGGGACAACACTGAAAAAGCAAAACATGACTCGAGTCAGGTCCTAAAACTTGTACCCATTGCCAGCGAAAGATGCATATGTGAAAATGTGTAGGCTCATGAATGGCTTGTCCTCCTTGTTCTACCATGATGGGACCATCAATTACAGCATGATGATGGTGAATACGTTCCAATGCCTCGTCGTGCTTTGTCGTGCTACAATAGACCATTTGCACTTGTTGTCCCTGCCACTATATTCTGCAACAGTCACTATCTGTGCATGATTAACAACATGTGTTAGCTGTTGTGACATATTTGACCATCTTTCCATCTCGAGTGGGCTGGAAAATAGAACAAAATAAATAGCTGTTTGTAAGTTGCACTTGCGTTTATGGAGAATGGCCAGTTGTATAGAGTATACGTACTAACAAGTTGCCTTGATGTTTGCAGGGATTTGAGCTGTCTCGCCAACAAGACTACCACATAATCTAGATGACCTACTACTAGTATCCGAGCTACCCCAGATTCCCATCACCAGACCGCGGAACCCGCCGGCCGGTTTGCACGGTCCATGGGTTGGCCGCATGCGGCCTAATTCCGTAGCGTAAGCAGCTACTAGCTCGATACGCTAAACCCACATGGTTCAGCTGCAAACAAAGAAAATTGGAAAGCTCCAGTTAGTTGCCTTTTAGGTATTGGAGCGATCTGGCCTCGCCGGCTCCTGCTGGCTACAGCGCTCCAGACTGACCACAGTGACTAAATGACAACCCACGCCCCAGAACCCAACCTGATCGGCGTCATCACTCTTTTATACAGTGTCTACAGAGTACTAAAAAAGAAAGGAGTAACCCGCCGGTCCAAGCTTCAAGAAAAGGCTGCAGCCCGGACAATTAATTGGTGATTTGATTCAATTGCATGAACGCTGTAGTACCTACCTAGCGATAGTACCACCGTTCCTCACTGCCACCACCATCCCCCTTCCTCTCCCTGCCTCGAGCGCATATATGAGTAAACAGCAGATGCGACCATGGTAACAACACTGCCAAGCGCAAAGATCACCCTCTCGTGTCCGCTGTGGGCCTGCGACTTCGATCCGCATGATGCGAACCAGCTGGTCGTGGGCGGCGGCGGAGGAGCGGGAAGACATGGCGTTGGCAACAAAATCGTACGTATTTTGGTCTTGATTTTTCCCTTTACTTTTTGCTCTGCCTTCATCTGCTGTATGACTGTGGACAGACGGACAGACTGGCTCGTTCCTCACCAATGGCAGCCCTCAACTGACCGAGACTTGTCTCTCTCCATATTCTAGGCTCTGCTTAAACTTGCGACCGATAGCGAGATTGAGAATGCTGGGGAGCTCGAGCTGAGCGGCCAAGAGGACAACGTCGCAACCCTAGCCTTTGCTGCACGCAAGGACAACAAGACTGCCAACGTGTTCGCCGGCGTCAACGGATCCCCAGAAAACTGCAAGAAGGGGCAAAGTCAACACTTTCGCATCTTCACCCTAACTCGTCCTGCTGCTACTGCTGCAGCTACCAATAATTCCACCAAGAGTAGCGGTGTGAAATTTTCCGAGGCCACCCGCGAGACCCTTTTTGCATCCACCGATGCGGATACCTTCCAGCGCCGCCTCGTCCTCTCCCAACCTTTCCTCCAACAGAATGCCTCCGCACAACTTGGTGCCATCTCGACCGGCTTCGCCAGCAAGCATCAGATCGCCCTCTTCGATGTCCCTGCCTCTGGTCCCGCCAGGTGGAAACCGAGGGGCCGCCTCGAGCTCTCCAAAGAAGCAATGGACCTCGACGTGATACAGACGGGGCCCGACACCTATCAGCTCGCATACTGCGATGACCACGACATCTTTACCGTCAATGTATCAAAGACGGAGGTCTCCGAGCCCAGGTGCATCTACACCTTGGAGGTCGAGGATGGACCCCGACCCGCCTACAAGTCGATACGCTACCTCTCCTCGGGCTTCGTCTTTGCTGTCGCCAATCGGGCAGGTGGCAAGGGAGTGCTCCTCCACGGATATCGTCTACCCCAGACCGAGGAGGGGCCGGCACGTCTATCTGTTGTGAAGCAGCTGCCCAAGTCGATTGGCCGATCGACCGGCCTGGCTGTCCGGAATCTGACCCCACCAACCTCCGCTGCCGAGAGGCAAGGCGACTCGCAGTATGTCGTTGCCGTCTCTGGTCAGGATAGCTCCATATCTCTCTACACCATGGATTACAGCTCCAGTTTCGGCGCCGGTACCGAAACTCTGAACAACCTGGCACCCTTTCACACCATCAAGTCGGCACACCCAGCGGCCATCACTAGTCTGTCGTTCTCGACTTTTATTCCGCCAAAGGGCGATGCTACCAACATGTCCCTTAAGCTTGCAAGTGTATCTTTGGGTCAGACTACAATTGTACACAGCATTCCATTGAAGAAGGCTGCCTCGGCCGGGACGACCTCGAAGTCGCCACGCTATGTTGTTGCCATCAAGTCGAGGGGCGAATCCCATTTTGGCTTACTAGCTACTCTGTCGGTAATGGTTCTACTATTGGCCCTGATCGGGCAAGTGTTCATGGAAGCTACGCATATCCAGGAAGAATACTTGGGCACGAACAAATATCTGCCTGCTGCATGGACTCGGGATTGGCGGGTAGCCCCGAGACAGGGCCCGGTTGTTGGCGCCAAGACCTTTGGAGATCTCTTGAGAACCGTCAATCCTGGACAGGATGAGAGAATCCTGATTCGACACGACGACGAGGGGGAACTTGGCCCTGATGGATTCCCAGTTCTGAAGGCGCATATCCATGATGAGGAAGCACATGGTCCTGCCAAGTCATGGGATGAGATGGAAACCCGCGAACAGTTTATGTGGAGGCAGCGCCTCAAGAAAACAGGTCATTGGGTCGAGGATATGGGAGAAGCAGTCTTCAAGGGTGTACTATTTGGCGAAATTGGTGGTGCAATTGGTGCCATGGTCGGCGAGGCTCTATGAAAAGGACCCTGCATTAAAAAAATGGTTACAAAAATGCATTAGACACGAGCTGGAGAGACTCGTCAAGAAGCCGATGAACGAGGGGTACTACGGGACATGTGATGGAAATATGTCATGAAAAAATTGTACGCATAGATGTTGCTAATGAATCGCCTATATATCCACCTATTTTTCACAATTCATCATGATATCAATACCTGCGGTTGTGAATATGGACAGTCAAGTAGCACGTGAGTAAATTAGCTTGCCAACTCTGAGCATGACTAGCAACACTCTAATTTCTATGGTACCTGGAGCTGAAGCTCGCTTCGAAATCAATTCCTCTTTGAAATTAGAATACACAGTGGTTTTTCGGGGCACAAACTCGCCCTCCGAATTCCTGTCGGTCGGACTTTTGGCGATTTCCGACTCTCACAATTTACTATAGGGAGCAACAATTTCCCCACTTCAGACCTACTGCAAATGACATATGCTATACCTAGGTAAGCAAACATCTTACAAATACGAAATATTGTCTATAACAAAATGTTGAGGCTTGGTTTTTCTTCCCCGCTTATCACAAATTGTAGTAGAGAAACAACACATGTCCTAGAGAAGCAAGCTTTTACATAAAAAAGTTCCAGACGTTTCGTCGATTTCAAAAAATTCATAATGGCAACCAAAGAGACGGTCCTCGTTGTCGGTGCTACAGGCAACATTGGAACATCAGCCGTCATGGGGGCGCTCCGCTGCGGCCGGGACGTACTGGCCGTTGTGCGCAACACGGCTTCGGCCGAGAAGCTATTCCGCAACGTCGGAACGCGCGAGGGCATCACGACGGTCGAGGCTGATGTCCTCTCCGACAGTGGCGTGCAGGGCGTCGTGGATCGCATTCGCCAGGGCGAGTTGCCTGCATTTCAACATGTGTACTCTACGGGTAAGCAACAGCAGCAGAGCATTCATCTCCATTCTTTAGTCTTTCCTTTTCAAAGTTCGACAAACAGCTAGAATGTCTGCTGAGCTGGAGCGAATCCATAGCCGGTGGTGCAATCTCCAACACGCCCCTCTCCGAAGTCAGCACAGCAGAGCTGCGCCAGAGCATGGCGCAGAACTTTGAGTCGAACTTTTGTAAGTGCCCAAGCTCACTTTTACCCAAATACTTTTATATTATCCTAGGCCAAGTATTCACTGGCCTTGTTGGAATGATGCAGTTTTTCCTTCCTCTTTTTTTTAAATCTTGTTTTCTTTTACTCACCCCCCTTTTAAAAAAAAAAAAGTCGCCTACCGTGCCACCTTTCCCTACCTCCAGGCTCAACCCAACCCGACGAGCTTCACGCTCTGCGTGGGCGGCCTGGGCGACTTGGGCACGCGCGCGGCCGCCGCCATGACCCAGGGCGCGCTGTACAGCCTATCGGCGGCGGCGGCGCACGAGGTCAGAGGTACCCGCGTCCGCTTCATCGAGCTCTACCTCGACATGCGCGTCGAGACGGACGAGAGCGCGGCCCGCACCGGCGCCGTCGCTGCCAGCGACTTTGCCGCGCATTATGCCGAGATCCTGGAGCGGCAGCAGCAGGAAATGGCCGAGGGTCGGGGTGCGAGGGTCAAGATTTTGAATCGTGAGGGGCTTACGGGGTTGAAGTTTGTGGACAAGGAGTTCAAGTTATAGGCTGTGTATGCGAGTAACTTGGGTCTTGTAGTCTTCAAGGATAACGGAGGGATAAGGCATTGTTGGCCAGTTCCAAGGTCTGGTGCAAGCACGATTGATCAAGTCTAGCTATAAGATGTTCTGAGTCTGTGATGACAATGTTCATGGGCCTATGACAGGAATTGATACTATTTCGGTATATCAGCATATTCAATGAGAGTCTCCGGGTTTAAAACATCCACAATCACTTGAGTTTCGATGTCTTGTTTTCGATAATTATCCATGTAGCGGACAACATCGAGGTTGGTTGTGGCAGCCAAACTCACTGATAAACGCAAGACACAATGTACACTACCAACCATGAATGATAAAAGAGTGAGTTGAACCATCTAAAACATCTCTTATTGATTATTCTGTTTGTGGTGGATATGTTGATAAGGTGGTACTCTTTAACACAGACGTGATGTTTTGTCATACGCGTTCAATCCATTGGCAAGTCATATCACTTTGAATAATTCACGCGCTTCTGAATACTCCATTTGGATATCGTCATGATTCCCTTCTTGTCATTTAGAGGGCATTTATCGCCAAAAGGGAAGCAGCCAGCCATCAAGTCAAAATCCTACATGAACGCCTTATGTGTGACCCAATCGTCGCAGTAGCCTCCTTTCTCAAAAATCACGAATAGGGAATTCCGTATCCTTGTCTTCAAACACCTCTCAAATACCAGTTTCCATGTTCCTCAATCCCTATGCTTACACATCTCTACGAAGTCTGGCCTACTTCAGGGTGCAGAAGCTATCAGAATACTTAGAGAAAGAACTTCCGAGTCCGTTATGGCCTCGACGCTAAATGAACAACTCTACCATGGCACCAAACCTGACGGCAGCATTGGGTATTCGATACCGTCAATAACCTCGGTATCATATCCGGTTTCGTCAGCATCCTGAGTAGAGGGAACTGCGCCCTCTTCAAACTCAGCGTTCTCCCAACTAGTCATGTCACGCTTCCAATTCGTGTGGCAGCTTCCTGGTACGAATTTGGCGGCATCCATGAAAAGCGTCATCTTTACTTCTGGACAGTAGTCCCAAATGTGCTTGCGATACTCTGGCGTGCCCCAGATCCCACTGTGGAGCATACTTCCGCTGCCACCCGTGTGGTAGCCCATGGGCTCATAGAAACCCTTGCGCCAGTCGTCGATGCCCTCGATGAACTCGCCATGCACCGCAGCGTCAAAGGTGCTGTTGTACTTGGACGCTACATCTTGGTCGATGTTGGTGGCCTCGCCCCGGTGCATCTCGCCGCTAAAGGTCAGGGACGTGGTGCCATTGGCCATGCGGGCGCCGTGGCGATGGGCCAGTCGCTCCGCCAGCCACACGTCCTCGGGCTCGGAGCCATCTGCCCGCACCTGGTCTCGGAGCACCTCGATCATGGCGCTCACGCGGCGGAGGGACAGACCTCCGTTCCCGCCATACCGGCCGCTGGGGTTCCAGGGTGCGCCAATCCAGTCGTATTCGAGGTAATCATTAATATTCTGGCGACTGTTGGCGCAGAGGATGCTGTCGGTCTGGAATACAAGCAGCCATTCGGCAGGCTGAAGAACCACCTCGTAGAGCCAGAGCGTGGTCAAGAAGCGGCTAATCATCTCCTGGCCGGCCGTGCTCATGTTGGTGGGAATGTAGGTCAAGTCGAGCTTGCCATTGTTCACCTGCTCCCGAATGGCGACTGACTTGTTGATGTGGGCCACCGACTCTGTCGAGCCCATGAAGCGGAATCTCCAGTCGGGCGGGACGACTGACATGAAATGCAGCATCAGAGGTGCCAGGATGGGATTGGCTCGGTTCTCAATGAGCAGCGCCACTTTGCTGGCATTGTATGGCGATGCGGGGGGCTCATGATAGTCAAAGTGAAGCCGTGGTACATCTGGATAGTCTGCCGTTCTTATCGTTGGCAGAGAAAACCAGATGGTTGTGATACTGTCTCTTCTTTTAGTATGTAATTACAAAAACAGCCTGGCAATGACAAGTATCTGCAGATCCGACGGGGAAAAAAAAGACAAGGCACAAGGTTTCCACTTACAACAAAAGGACAAATCCCCCAGCCAGACGAATTCGTCTCGGAGTTCGTGCCCAGAGAGCAAGAATCAGGAGCTTCAATGTGTCCAATAGATCTTGCACCGACGTCTCGTCCGGTCTGTAGCCATGCAACGGGGTTGAGGGGGGCGCCATGGTAAGGTGAGAGGCAAACACTCCCCCAAAAAAGGATGAAAGGTCACTGAATGCCAGACTTGGGCCTCGCGGTGTGATGTGGTAGTTTCGGCCCCTTCTAGTGTTCTTCTGTGATAGTGACGATCCGAGTCCCTGGGTTCGGGCAGCGTATTAGATGGCAAGGACTGATGGGACAAACAGGCACCGTCCGTCCGATCGGGTGCAGCGCGGGACAACCGGGTCGCTGCTGTCAAAGGTGTAACAAGGTGGCGCAAGCGGAGCGGTGCAGAAGCTGACTCCACGTGCTAAAGGGAAATCAATGAGTATTCTGTACAAAGAAACAAAAGGTTCAGCCGTCACAGAAGGAGTTTATGGGTAAGTCCAAACGAGAGGGGACGATTGGCAAACGTGGATGGACGGACACGGGAAACCAAGGTCGGGGCAAACAAAAAAAGAAGACGGGACGGGATTCTTGCGAGAGGGCATCGAAACTCCTGAGACAAACGAGAAGTTGGTGAGAAATATGACGATAAGACCCGGGTTGTGCAATGTCGAGTGCGCAGCATACCGGTGTCTTGTTACTGTTTTAGTCTTTTAGATTCGTGTTCCAGCACAAAGCGCGGGGGCCACGTGTGCGAGCTTCATTATCAAGTTTTCCCTCTTCTGAAGCTGAGAGAGCGAAGATCGCGGCAGGTCCTCTCTCCCCTTTTGCTTTTGTGTTCATTCGTGTCAGTTTGTGCCAAAAAGGTCGAACTTTAGTACCAAACGTTGATGGCGTTTTCATATCGCAGCACTAGGGATCATCTGGTGCCGAGTATCGCCAAAGTTGATGTGTTCTGTCAATCGCAATGCCAATTTTGTTTCGTTGATGCTGTTATCAATAATAGGACCTTCAAATTCTTTGACGTTCTAAAACTCAGCTCATCTTGCAACGATGAAATAGTCCTGCCAGTATTTCACCAAGGCCTTAATAAGTCCTACTTGTATTGTTTGTACTGTACCTCGGGACGGCCAAGTGGCGCCTGGGGGTTGGCGCCGCTATTCAGCCAGCCCATGAGACGCGTCGATCACAGCCCATATTGTCCAGAACAGGCAACATGATTGCCAAGATACGAGATAGTGCCACCGTCGAATGTTGGTACTGTTGGACCATTAGCACTGTGCACCGTAGATATGGCATTTCAAGACCCCGGACATGAATCCTAAATCGCCAGATTGCGATGAGTAAGAGCAGAATCAGTTGGAGAGGCCAAAATGATTCTCAGGGAGACGCCATCAGCCATTCGTCTGAGAGAGAGAGAGAGAGGAGAGAGGAAGAAGAAAATATGCTCTGAGACATTTCAGGAGCTGAAAGCCAATGAGGAGTGGGTAAATGAGTGTGTAGGACCTGTCATCCCTCAGATGTCTCGCCCATCTTTTTAAGATCTCTGCCAGCGGTGTGCAAACAATTATCTTGAGTCTGAGCCTGCAGGACAAAAAGGGGGGCCTTTTTCTTCGCACAAAAGTTTTCCCTGCAGCCTGCTTCTTTTCTTTCCAAGAACTTTAATGCTGCCTTTCATTTCGATTAAGTTCATTGCTTATTTGGACGTAAAATATAGGGACTTGTCAAGATTTGGTGTGCAATCGCGATAGCTGTGTAACGAGAAAGGAGGGAAAGAAAAAGAAAAAAGAAACGATAGCGGCACATAGTCTGCACACACTTGGAGAAAAGATCAAGGCTAGATGCCATTGCCTGCCTCACTCAAGGGATTTTCCGGCCAGCCTCACATTTTGACATTCTATCCCTGGTACATTCCATCCCGCAAACGCCAAGAATACCCGAATAAGCGTGAGTGGCATTTCCTCGATTATTCCATTGATGTGATCAACCGCGAGTACACGGGACCCCGACCCCGACCCACCCCACGTGAACGAGGCGAACCAGTCGAAATTGTGGCTTTTCTTTATTTCCTGACCTGGCTCAAAGGGAGGCATGTACTCGATGGACCATGTTTCTATGGAATGTTACATTTGCAGACTCACTGAATCAGTCGTCATTCTGATTGTCTGACACACAACCGCCCACTTTGATCCTTGATGCTCAAGGGACGAGAGCAATTCATCACACACCATCGACCAACTATTCCATTCCATCTCTGGAAGCGTACCCGTTCTACATTCCTCAAAGGCGACCCTGCTTGAAGTGCAATATGCAAAACGAAAAGATGATGCTATCGTGAACTCTTGAGCTCCTAGCGATCCCCTCGGTTTGCGCCGGAACCATCACGACCACCCAGGACTCTCTGGCTTTGTCTATCGACTTCGACGTTTGCTCATTGTTCTGTTTTTCGACAATCATTTCTTTGCCAAGCATAGCGGCCATCCCTCACCACCTTGGAAAAAAAAAAAAAAAAACCAGCAACATGGCGATGGCAACCCCTTCTAGTACCACCACGCCCATCTCGGGTACGTTTGCCTTGACCAAGTCCAAGGTACTGCTCATAGTATCCCTGGTTATCACGTAAGTTGCGCTTCTCTTCCTTTATTTCCTGTCTGCGCACTCGATTGACCACTGTCATCTAGATGGTATATTGCCGGTCTCTTTCCACACTACAAGCCTCGGATACAGGAATCATTCAAGAACAAGCTGGACGAGGCCAAGGGCAAAATTCCATCTGTCAAGGTAGATTGGCATCCAAACGCCATACCCGAAACCGACCTCTACCCTCGCCTGAGATACAATACCTCAAAGGTGGCTCTTCTGATTGAGCCCCGCCCCTTGCCACATCTCGTGCCTCAACTACTCCATATGATCACTGTGGTACCCCCCGACTGGCGCTTTGTCTTTATCGGCACCAACAAGTCCGTGATCAGCGTTGGCAGAAGCTATGCAACCAAGCACCAGCAAGCTATCGGAAAGTTGGACTTGTTGATGCTGCCCGACCCGTGGGATATTAGTAGCAAGGAGGGAGTCTTTCGCACCCTCACCGATGCGCGCTTCTACGATGAATTTCTGCCCGGCGTGGAGTGGTTGCTCAAGTACGAGTATGACAGCATCCTGTGCGCCAACTCAGAGTCAAGTCTCAATGAGTGGCTGCATTGGGACTGGGCAGGAGCACCTCGGTGAGTCTCTCCACTAGATTTCGCGCATCCAATGCATTCGAGACTGATTTGTGCCTCCAGGACTGTCGATGATAGATTTTCCGGCAACGGTGGACTGTCCCTGCGAAGAGTCTCCACCATCCAGCGCGTGCTCAAATTTCAAGAACGCATCAACAACACACAGGCCGAAGACGAGTGGTTTGGAACTCGACTATGGGTGCTGCCCGGTACAAAAGTAGCTGCTGGCTTGCACGGCCAACTCGCCGTCGAAGACACATACATTCCCAATCCCATGGGCTTCCACGTACGCGATGGTGGCAACAACCTGCACGATGCGGTTTGGAAGGACCCCACACAGAGAAAAGCCATTTTTGAATACTGCCCCGAGCTCAGCTTGATTATGGATATGAAGCTCGAGGCTGAAAGATGCCCCGGCGACGACAAGCAAGGCAACCTTCCAGCAGAGACTACTCCTGCAGCCGCTGCGGCTTCCCAGGGTTGAGACATTCTGCATCGAACATGAGTCTTTGGCGTGAATTACACGTGGTGGATGCAACCGATCAAACTGTGATGTTGGGATGGATCATATACATCCATCCTCTACTTGCAGCACCAACCTTGCATCAGGATATCCCAGTTTGGCTTTGGCGTTGGCGTTGTGTTTGATGAAGGAATTTCGAAGAGGGGCCTTTGGTATTTAGAAAGGAAATGATTGTTCATTCGAAGCCAGTGCGCCAAGATACTGCAAAGTCATCCAGAACCTCGAAAGTATCAATTCGCCATGGTTATAACGTGAGCAGCGCACGAAAGTTGCAATCAGTAAGCCGAGTCGAATCAAGATCACCGAGCATACCGCCATATAATATTGGCGAGTGCCCGACAGGAGTGTTACCCGGCCTAAGCGCAGGCAGTCCCTGCTTCAAAACTTTCTCGGGTAGAGTAGACGTTGCATTCAGGACGGTATGTCTTTATAGTAACAGGGTGGTTGTCACCTTCTTGGTGTAGACAATCTAAGGTAGAGCAAGACTGATAAATCATTCTGCATCATTACAATACCTCAGCATCACAAAGTCTCCGACTGATCTTGTCACTGAATTCAACTCTAGCCGACTTTTCTTGATAATGATCTCGACCAACTCCGTATGTCATCACCCTTCTCAACAAATAAGACGGAGATGAGAAGCAATGGAACCGTTACCGCCGCCCAGATCCACAAAGGCAAGTCACCCTGCCCAAACTCTTGAAAGTTCATACCAAACACCGCCGTGATGAAGGATATTGGTAAGAATATAAAGGTTACTCTGTTTGTCGCTTTTGTCAATCTCGTGACCAGCTTCGTCTCTGCGGCGGACCGAAGGGCATCTTGGACCGACGCATTGCTTATCAGCGTCGATTTTCCGTCCTCACAAATGGCTATCAGCGACTGAGCCCGCTCAAAGAGATACTGAAAGTCCTCTTCAGATTTGGTCAGCAGCCTTGGTGCGTGTTCATCAGGCTTCTTCGGAGAAACTGTGCTTGGCTGGCTCCAGTTTCCAGGTGGCTGTAGCAAAAATGCCCGGACTTCGGCCAAGCTACGGATCAGGCGGGTTAGTCTGGCCTTTATATAGTCGTAATGTAAGATGGCTTCGAGTTTAGTATGCTCGTAGGAGGGAAACTCGAATGGGCTACCAATATCGGTTAGAACCTCTTCCACCATGTTGATATATTGCGAAATAGCAGCTGCATTGAAATCGAGCAATTCTTGCAAGATATACAGAGGTGAGATGCTAGCACTCTGCGTCCAATCGATGGTTGCGCCATAATGCCGGTTCAACAGTATGCTGGACTGCTGTGTATGTGACGATGCTTTCAGTTGACTCTCGTCAGAACTTCGTGTCTCTGTCAAATTGTTTTCAAAGAAGACGGGACAAAATTGTAGATCTGTTGCAACTGGAGTAAAATGCTCTGTAGGCGGCACTGGGATATGACCGAAACCTTTCTCGTGCCCAGCATCGTTCCATATCAATACTGTACATGTATTAGCAAGGTAGGAGACTGCTCCCTCGCGGGTTTCACTCACCACTCCAGTCATTCCCTCTACGGATCACATAGGCCGTTATTTCTTGTTCAATCACAAGGTTACTCCCATCATAGATATCAATATTTCGAATGATTGATGTGCCAGCCTCAGATATGGCACTGTCTTGAAAAGAGCGGAATGCTCTCCGTAATTCTCCATTGCATTTATCCCGTGCCAACTCCAAGCCCTTGATTCCAAGATTTCTACCCTGGGAACCAATGAACAAGATGGTAGGAATTCTCAGACGAAGACTCTGCAGAGAGCGCGACGGCAAACTGGGGACGGCGTAGCAATGCTTTTGGCCAGGAAATAGAGCGCCGAGATGTTGATGGAAGATCCTGGGATCCAACTGATACTTGGAGCCAATGATGTTGAGCCACTCAGCGGAAGGGCGCCCAGTGAGGAATATGATGTTGTTTCCAGATTGTGAGAAATCTGCAAATGATTCCGGATCCGAATATGGCCTAGCAACCGGGCGCTCTCCAGGCTTTAGCTCATAGACTATGACAAAGGGATTATGTGGGATGTTTTGTTTTTGTAGCACATGCTGCCGATGATGATGTTGTTGTTTGGAGAATGGAGATGTAAGATATCTAGCCAGATACTTCAAATATGCTATGGAATGCAATGGTTCGCTTCCAAAAGACTTTACCCGATCGCCTAAACTGAATGCATAGCTCTTTGCGTCGGCGGTGATTGCGGCAGAGGGCGTCGTCGTCTTTTCCGTCAAATCAAGGTCGCGATCGCTTGGCGGCTTGTCCATTTAGTCTGATCTATGCGTTGTTGTTGTTGTTGTTGTTGTACTTTTTGTAAATGTCATGAATCATTCAGATGCTCTTCAAACACAAGATACACTAATAATATGTGTGTCTTGAAGATGATTGCATCGCCTCACCATCTTATGCAATTGCCAGTGAGAAGTGGATGCATTAGCCAGCCATGGGCAATAATAAGTAAGTGACTTGTGTCGCTCAGCCCTCCCCCCACTCTTGAAAAACAACCTTGCATTGGAAGGCGGATTGCAGCTGCCCATTTGCCGTAGAAAATGTTGCGAATTGATTCGCTGTAATTCCATGGCTTGTCAAAAGGCGCTCTCCTTTTCAGCGACCTCAACCTTGATTGGGTACGAGTACCTACATCAAGTACATAGTTACCGCCCCCAAACAATACTCCGCACTCGAGCTGAATGAATGCTGGGCGGCCTCAAACATTGCGATTGAGATAATACGCTGAAACCTACAATGACGCTACTGATAACAATTCAGCTTTGCCGATGTTGAAGTATACAATGCTTTGGCCTCTTTGGGATGCTTGAACAAGCAAAGTTCGTCTCATTCATTGCCAAGATCGCTCAAATATGCCCGAGTTAGCAATTGTTCGAGGCTATGATAGCCATGCGGATACAGCCCCTGCGGTCAAGTGAGTACTGCCGCAATGCGATTGATCCCAAGTGTACTCACATTCACAGTTTCATAGTGGTGCCCGGCATTGCGGGAGCCACATTGGGCGACAAGACATGTCCGCATGTGGATGACTTTCTCGCTACAATGATCACAAACTGCAATAGCAGAGCACGAGGCTGGGTCTATGACAACGACATCGTACTCAATACACTAGAGTCCTGGGACAAGTACTCGTCTAATGGATTCGACTTGCTACGACAATTGCTTTGTATGCAAGATAAGCCAGGTTTTGTAGGTCTATTCGTGCCAACATGGTTTATAAGACTAACAGCAAGCAATAGCATGACAATAGCACTTTGATATTGATAGGCCACAAACTTGGGTGTTACATTCTCAAAAAGGTATCATCATTCTACATGGGTATCAAGTATGTCAAGGTCAACCAGGGCATGGCTGACACATCTCACCTCTAGGCCCTGTTTGAAGCATGGAACGAGGCACACAGGCCAGACCAGAAGCGTCTGCTCGACAAGATCGAGACGGTCATGATGATTGGCGAGCCAATACTTGACCCTAGAAAGCGTGACCAGTGGATCGGTTCCATATCCGAGTGTTTTGCCAATAAAAGAACTCTGCCACCACACTTGGCCGATGGAGCAACAGTCGGATCTCTCCATCGGATTGCCAACGACTTCGAAGACATCTACCTCAACTCAACTGTGGTCGACGTCGATTCGACTGCCTTGAAACCGCGAACAAAGCTATTCAAGATCAAAAAGACAGAGCACGACGGCTGCATTTGCCCAAAGACAGTCCATGTACGCATGTGGACAACTGCCAGCAAGGAGCAGCTGGTCGAGAAGGGCATTGGCGACATTTCGCAGTGTGGATTTGATCCAAGCAGTGCACACTATCAAAGTCTCCTGAGCTTCAACTCAAAGTCCATTCTGCCTACGAGTCCCACCGGAGACGAAGAAGTTATGCACGCTAGATCACCAGTTCCGAAGGATGAATACGGCCCAGTCACCCCCGGATGTCGAGATCAATATGGCGAAAGCCCGTCGATACCAGTTATGGCGCAAGGCTCAGGCGAGGTACAAGTCCAGGAATGCGAGCAGGACGCAAGCAATGTGTCTTTCGTCCAAAGCACGACTGAACTTAAGCAACCAAGTGAAATATGTCTCATTTCTGCGAGATCATCGAATGATGACGCAGAAAAGCATATAGTCACCTCAGAGCCTGGAGAAATGACTGCAGACTCTCCCGAAGAGATTCGGCCAGTAGTCCTTTCCGCAGCCGACGACTCAACAATATCGCAGAACAGGGGCCGGCGAGAGCGGAGATACAAATTTTCAACGTGGCTTCCGCCCAGAGACAAGCACTTCACCGGGAGAAGCGACATCCTACAGCAGATCACAGAGCAGATGCCCGCTATAGTAAGCGATGGAACATCTAGCCGCCAACTTCATCCGTCTTGTCCGAAAAGTGTGTGGCTTGAGGGACCTGGAGGCATTGGAAAAACTAGCATCGCCATTGAGTTTGCTCATCGCTCAGTGGATCGAGTCTCGAACATCATTTATTGTGATGCATCCTCTGCAGCTTTATGGGGAAGCTCTTGCCATGACTCTGCAGTTGCATTGGGCCTGGTCGACGGAAGAACATCTCAGAATCACGAAACAAGCAGACAGATGCTGATGTCATGGTTGGAAGCATCATCGGAAACGTGGATGCTTATTCTTGATAATGTCACCAACGACGCCGATTTCATTCGACGCTTGCCCAGCAGTGCTCAAGGTCTCATCATCGTCACTAGCAGGCTTCCGCCGCTTCATTCTATCGAGGCCCTTGCTCTGTGCAACATACGAATTCCATCGTGGTCTCAATTGGAGGCTGAGGAATTCATGTTTCGCGCTGCTCGGCGCAAGCAAAAAGAACTTGATGTCGAAGAGCTGAGAGAAAGTGCTCGCCGGTGTCGTGGAGTCCCTCTTGTTTTGCGACAAGTCGCAAACTGGTATCGAAGAGACCAGGTATCCCTGAAGACAGTCAACCGTCTTTTGGCTTCGGCGGAATCAAGATTGCTTATCGAGCACGGAGCCAACAATAGCCTTTTCCTGACTGCCGCAATCTCCAACTTGGATGCCAGGCAGACACGACTTCTTGGCTCCCTGAGCTTCTTAAAGCCAGACAGAATTTCAAAACGTCTTGCTGGTGTTTGCTCATACTTACCTAAAGATGATGCGGGCTACGGAGATAGTATTGCAGCTACTTCGAGACAGCTATGGAAACTTTCACTATTGGATATGGACGAAACGGAAACCAATTTTCGCATGCACAGTTCTACACAATCAAAGATAAGGAGTGATATGGATGAGACCGCTTGGAATGATCTATTTCTGGCGGTTTCTGCCGGGTTGGATAGCCAGTGGCCTTCGCAAAGGAAGTTCAAGAACATCATTCACGGATTTTGGGACGATTTCCAGTCTTTACACGATCACACCCATCACCTGGCTGAGTGTATGATCGAGAAAGGAGTCCAAAATGTGGGATCTCCTATGATCGAACCGAGCATTGAGTTTGCCAGTCTTTTGCTCAAGCACACTTGGTAAGCTAGTCACGGAAGAATGTCAGAACTCCCATCACTTACAATGGTGAATCATAGGTACAACGGCCGCCGTGGGAATGAGAAAGAAGACAAAACACTACATAATTTGGCCACCATTCTATGCCATTGCCAGCCCAGTAAGCGCAGCAGCACCAAAGAGGTCTCATTGCCTCGAAGGTGTCTAGAGATACCGAAAACCCCTGATAAGCCTATTGTCTTGAGAGACACCGAAGGCACCTATGGCACATATGTTGCCTGTAGCTTATTAGGGCAAAAATGCCACAGCGCAATCCAGGAACTCTCATCCAAGTCTATACAGCACTACAGGGAAGGACTTGACGTTTCAAAACTGCCCGAGAACCTCCTCCAAGCGATTCACATTGCAAGGGGAAACAATATTCCCTACGTGTGGGTTGACCGACTCTGTATCCGTCAGGATGATCCGAAAGAGTTGTCGGAAGAGGTACCGCGTCTTGTGGAGTATTTCTCCAACTCCTCGATCACAGTATATGACGCAAAAGACTCCATTGTGAGTCCCATGTTGACCTTTCATTCAAAGCACCACAAACCAGCCACTCGAAACTGGCTTCGAGAACTCATTGTTGCAGAAGTTGGTTCGGAGGCCGCAGAGATTGAGACAGCAGCCCAACCCCTCGAGAATCACAAGCTTGACGAGATTTTACCTGGAATATCATCAACCGAGGAGCATGTACCTGAAAAGTCAGTCACCACAGAATCAACCGAGAAGATCCCTCGTTCATCACCTGAACAAGAGGATACGGTTCCGAGAAGAGAAAGTCCTAGGAGCAGTGTGATGCCCAAGAACGATACCAATCACATTATCAAAGGCTGGGACCTGCTAGAAGACGGGAAGTCACATCTAATTGCGGGCTCTATGAACGAGGCAGTTGGCTCGTTGACACTATCACGAGACGCTTTTCGCATCAATGGTGCCCTCTCATACGATGAACTAGATGGCTATGCGAATGCATCGGCCTTGTTGAGCACCACGTTCCGTCTACTCAAGCTGGATGCGGTCGCACTAGATTTAGTCCGGAACGCCACAAGTCTGTGCGGAGAGTTCGTAGACCTTCATACATTTAAGCATCACGGGTAAGCCAGGCATTCTAGATTTCCTTCCATCCGCTACTCATCTGAAATTCGTCTAGGTATGGTCTTCTGCTTCTCAGTGAGGCTATGGCTCTCTATTCCTCGGCCCAAGTAGAGCAGGCCCAGGAACGACTGAATGAAAGCCGAGCCATATTCGACTTCGTAGGCAATGAACCTACCGAATGGACAGCGTCAATCGATGTCCAACTAGCCAGTTGTCACGCCGCATTAGGAGAATACCGAGAGGCACATGAGCTGCTTCAGTCATCCATGACATACTTCCAAGCGCAGCCGATGTCACCGGCAATCGAAGGCCATTTAGCTAGAATTTTGTTTCGACAAAGTCAGCTATACGAGAAGGAAAACAACATCATCATGCACAGCGCTTTTACCGCCGCTGCGAGCTCGGCTTTCGCGAAACTCCGGCCGCTATTCCGAGAGAATTCTTCCCCGGCAAATGGGTTAAACACCCATAAAGAGCTCAGTGACACGGATTTTGATGCTTTGGTAGAACCATGGTATAGATAGTTACTTTGATGTCGCGAAATGCAGGAGAATTCTGACGCCCTGGCTTATTGTCCTATACTGTCAATCGCGTGTATAGGCCACAGTCGAAGTTTGTAGCGGCGTTTTTCTTGGCTCATACAGGCTCTTAGCACTGCGAATACTGTTTTGCTTCTCGGCTAACGGCAGGATGTATTGATTTTCGGCTTCGCGGGTTGGTACGTCAGGGCCTTTCCCCGGGTCCTTCTCTAAACAAATGAATTCAAGAACGTAACCAGATGCTAGAGTAGTCGTCAGCCCGCCAGGATCGGACAATGCAAAAGAGGTAACGATCCATCAATTAATATACCGACAAAACAACAATACGAGAATTCTGTGTAAAAAAGGTTACACCATGGCTGGTAGAGGGACCGCCTGTGTGGCCAATCAAGGGTGCAGCTTGTCAATTCCGCCTAATATCAAAGACCCGATCGCTACGATGCACAACCAGCCATTCTAGTTTCTTCCGACGCATTCTGCAATATTGTTCCATTTAGAAACTAACGATGTTTACTTATTCCCGGAATTCGTTCCGACAGGTGAATGCGTAGGCCGAGTCAATTTTTGCGAGCTTTCTTTGGGAGAGTTTCACGAAACACTGGACTAAGCATCGTGCTTAAAGTATAAATTATATTCAATATAATCCATTGAGCAAAGCAATTCAAGACATCATGGTAAATATCTCACATTATGAAATCCTTAAAATCTACAGGTATTCACAGATGACAGCAATCGATCGGCACGCAGACCTTGCCGTCTTTTTGAGTCCTTTCGTTCTCCGAACGTTTTCCATTCCCCTTTCTCGCCACGTGCGAGTCCATCAGCTGACAGGGGATAGGTCCCATGCGTAAGCCAAATCTGGGGAGACAATATAATATGCAAAGCAGCCTCGTATGCATGTCTAAAGCCGGGGGGTTGTATCCGGCTATATCTTAGCTTGCCAATTCCGGTGACCCAGTGCCCCCCCTGGACCAGTTTTCTTTTCTGGAAACGTTGCAAGTGGAAAACGTCATGGTGTCTATCAGAAAGACTATATCAAGGGGTTCAGGGTCCCAATGCCAAGACTTGGGTTTTCTTGTGTTTCAAACCACTATCCAAAAGCATTTGCTCCTTTCGTGCTTGTGAATCCTTATGGTACCGACACTGATATTATTCTAATTGATTATCATGCGTTGGATAACAACGGTTCTCCTGGTAGGCCTTGCCAGTCTATCGGCTGCCCATGATGAGGGCCCCGTTCCAAAGTTCGTCGGTGGGCGAAAACTTTTGTCGGGACTAAAGAGCAGAAGGGCATTGGAGAGGAAGGTGTCGGGAATTCGCATGCCTCACGTCTCTGAGGACCTGTCTGGGCCCACGACTGAGGATGAGACTCCATCGATTGATGCTCGCGACAACACGAGCGGAAAATGTGGCCCGAATCGTGGAAGTTGTGCTGCCGGGTACTGTTGCTCTGTTGAAGGGTAAGAACTTCCCCCTGGGAAAACTTTAATACCCAATTGTCATGAAAGACCTGCTGAGAGGATTTGAGAAAAGATGGTGCGGCCTAGGCATTGACTACTGCGAGGCCCCAGACTGCCAGCTCAGCTATGGTCCTGGTTGCGACGGCAACTCCAAGCCATCCGGAGTCGACACGTCGACTATAGCGCGCCCAAAGGTGGGAAATGTCGAATACGGCGGTGTCGGTATCTATGATTGCGTCAATGCCGGCGATATTGCCATGACTTTTGACGACGGCCCCTGGAACTACACCAGTGACCTTTTGGATAAGCTCCAGGTACGTGTTTTCCATCTTGTGCGCATTGCAAAGGTGCTCATGCGATCATTTAGAAATACAATGCCAAAGCGACATTCTTCATTGCCGGTAACAACATTGGCAAGGGCCATATTAACGATCCCAGTCTTCCCTGGCGGGCTGTCATTCAGGTAAGCTCAAAGATGTAAAAAACTTTCACACGTCCATGATGCTGAGAGAATCCAAAGCGAATGGCGGCAGAAGGCCATCAGGTTGCCAGCCACACTTGGTCACACCAGAACTTTAGTGACGTGACTGCAACTCAAGCTCGAAACCAGGTATTATGGAACGAAATTGCATTGAATGATATCTTGGGATATATACCAACGTATTTGAGGTCAGTCAGTCTTGCTTGAAATGGATAGGACAATCATCCCAAAGCCGTGACCCCTTGCTCATTCCAGCACTAGGCCGCCGTTTTCCATATGCGAGAGTGATTGCGAGGACCTCTTGGCAGAGCTCGGATACCACATCATCTACTTTGACCTCGACACCGAGGGCTACCTCTACGACGACCCGGCCGACATTCAGATCTGCAAGGACATTTGGAATGAGGCCGTCGATAACTCGGACGCCTGCGACGACAACTTTTTGCACATTGAGCACGACATCCACTGGCAGTCGGTCTACAACTTGACCGACTACTTTCTGGCCTCGCTGTTCGAGAACAACTATCGGGCCGTGACCGTGGGCGAGTGCCTGGGCGACCCCCCGGAGAACTGGTATCGCGCCGGCAGCTCCTCGGTGCCGGCGTATGACTTTCCTAGCCCGACGCCGACCAACCCTGCCCAGTGTGCAGAGTCATCAACCTCGAAGCGTGGCACCGGGACCGACCCATCCCCGACTGGCGGCCTGGTCGTGAGCGAGGAGGGAGACTGCGGCAACGGAGTCACCTGTTTGGGTTCCGAGTTTGGGAACTGCTGCTCACAATATGGCTTCTGCGGTAATACCACCGATTACTGTGGCAAAGGGTGCCAACCCGCTTTTGGCTCCGGTTGTCTAGGTGCCTCGTCTTCTGTTTCGACCACCACCTCTGCTACTGCTACTACTACAAGTCCCTCGACGACGACCAGTACCGGGGTAAGTACATCACCTCCATCCACGACGGCTACGACAACGACTGTTTCCACTCCTGCTCCTGTCCCGCCCCCCTCCACGACCTCGTTGCCTGGCACCACCACCACCCGCCGTAGCACAAGCACCTCGTCGACCAGCAGCGCTGCCGCTCCCACCGGTACTAACGAGATTCTGGTCCCCAGTAAAGATGGATCTTGCGGCAAAGGTACTGGATATACTTGTCTGGGCAGCGACTTTGGCCTTTGTTGCACCTCGGGTAATCGCTGTGCCTTGCTGTGTTTATTGACGGGGTGTCAACCAGATTACGGAACGTGTGCTGTACTCATTGGACCCGAGTAACTTGCGGCGAGTATTGGGCGAAATGTGAACGAGGTGGGAGTGCGGGATTGCATGAAAAGTTTGAAAATGAAAAAAGTTGACCTAAAATTCGACAATCTATCGATGGATATAATTTGAAAAAGTTTGAATCTATTTTGTTTGATCGATACGAGCAAGGTATCAATAAATACTGACAATTGCAGTCCATTATTGACGTGCAAATGTTTCTTTCCCAGAGAATATCTGGAACTTCAGCAGGGTGTTGACTAAACTGAGTAGAGACGTGCCACAAGTATATGAGCCATGATTATTCCTAAAAGCTAGCCAAAACCAATTCTGGAGCACATATGATGAGATAAGAGATCTAGCACGATTATAGTGAAGTCGCAACACTCTTCTATCTCGGGGTCTAGTACTGGCCACAAGTCTATGTCTATGTCTATCATGTTTGCGAAAGCTCGAAACTTTTGCTCAAACCCGAGGCAAGCATGTAGATTGTACGCAATATGGGCACCTTGACGCCCTTTTCCCTTGCCAACTTGACCACATTGCCCACTATCGCCTCCACCTCGAGGCTTTTGGATGAGAAGGTGTCTGCCAACATTGAGGGCTGAACACCAGGCAGACTCCGCACCACGGCTCTCTTGATCTGAAAGTCCACCAGCTCCTCATTGATGCCGTGGTACCCGTACGCCTGCGCGACTGAAGCAACTTCCATCATGACGTCCTTGATAAAGGCCTCGGCGTCTTCATGCACGTCCAGAAACTGCCGGTCCCGCAGCCTGGCCAGCGCGCAAATGGGATTCCACGACGTGTTCACCAGCAGCTTGGACCACCGCTGCTCCTGAATGTCGTCGTGCAGCTCGGCCGTGGCGCCGGCCGCGCCCAAGAGGTCCACAAACGCCCTGGCCGCGTCCTTGGCCGGCGCCGGCGCCTCGGCCGGGTACGTCCCGACGTGCAACAGCTCCACCTCCTTGTGCTCTACCACGCCGGGGCTGACCTGCGTCGCCGGGAGATAGACGACGGTGCTAATGATGGGGTTCTCGGGAAACATCCTGGCATAGTCCTCCTCGATACCAATGCCGTTTTGAATCAGCACGATCGAAGTGCCCCGACTCACCGCCGGGCTGATGAGCTCGGCCGTCGACGGGTTGGTCAAAAGGGCCTTTGTGCAGACGAGAATATAGTCAAAGGGCTCCTGCGGGCTCGACTGGACCGCGTCGGCGGCCGATTTGGCCACGGCCGGCTTCACCTTGATTCCATGTCCCCAGGAGGTTGAGTTAATGGTAAATCCGTCCTTCAAGACTGCCTCGTAGTTGGAACGACAGATTGCGGTGATGTTGGAGGCTGGAATGGCTCGAGACAAAAGATAGGTGTAAACGGCGCCTATGCTGCCCGTCCCGAAGATTAATATTCGAGGTGCCATTGTGACTTTCCGATGTTCTTGTCTTTTCAGAGTCCAATAAAAAAATTTCGGATGCACTGTTATGCCTATTAACCATTATACAAGGCGACACAAATTGTAACCGTCCTATTGAGCGTCCTCTGGACTTTGAAGTATCGGATTATAACCGAACTCGCACCCCCGCGCCCCACATTACCTGCACAGTCACACTCATTGAACTGATAGCGGGTAGAAACGGCCAGAGTGATATATTAGTCCTGAGAATTGATTTCATGTGCAATATACCCGTAACTTGATCTCTTGGTCAAATCGCGTTAGAATTTTTACAACCAAACTTGCAAATAAAAAGAGCATCAAAGGCGAAACGTTACGACACGATGGATAAAACGCCCCACCTTGACCTTGTATACTCCGAACGTCGTAAGGCAAATCAAAACTCAATGGCTCTCCAACTTGGAAAACAGTGCAATAAAAAGTAAGTAAATAGGCCAACTAATTAAATAAATATAAGCCAAAACAAAACGACTATCAAAAATCAACAAAATATGTTCACGCCCGGGCTCGAACCGGGGCCCTCTTGTGTGTGAGACAAGCGTGATAACCACTACACTACGCGAACGACGAATGATGTTGATTTGTTGAAATAATTGTCTTTTATCTACGTATATCAAGGTAGTAGACAAACTGTTAATAATCAAGCGGGTCGATAATGGGTCGGCCTACAGAGAGCCGTCGCCGAGCTCCGTAATTCGAGAAATACGCGACGATACACAAAGTAAGAAGAAATACGGCTGCCTTCTTTGTACATATCAAAGGTCATCTCCCGTGGCGTACCGGCATATTCTTCGCATACCATAGAAATATTTGCCTACCTCCGTATTTCGTAGGTACGTAGTTTGAGTGTCACGACCTTTACGACCGATTGGGCCCGATTGGCTCCGTGGTCGGAAATAGTCGCGTGAGTGCTATCTCCGAATCCCTACCATGTTCGAGGCCTCTGGGGCATTGTTCACTTGTCAGTGCCGTGGCGTGGACCCTCAAATGATAATGGAATCGAGTGGAACTGACAATCAACTACTTGACATATCTGCATCTTAACGTTTGAGATATGCACTGCGCCTCTATCTAGCTGCGATAAGTTTTCATGGCCTTGAAAATTCGAATTTTTCTAGACGTAGAATGGCCCAACGGAATGTAAACGTGCAAGCAAATTGTTCACAGATAACGCCACAGCCGAACGCTTCAGCCACAGTTAGCCCCGTAATTAGTGCAGGAGGCCTGGGGTCTAGTCAGGTTGGCCAGCTTTTAGCTCCCGTCCAAGCTTTGGGATTTCGATGCTCGTAGCGGCAGTTTGACATCATCGGTGCTGTTGTCAGTGCGTTGGAGGCCCTGGGCTGGGAACTGGGACCTCAATTGTGGTGATCGTCCCAAAACCTGGAAATTTCACAGGCCTGGATTTGATGCGCTATAATTGCCGACAGGCTCTCGTCGTCATTCAGTCACAGGTCACTCTTTTCTGAGACATAAGAGAGCCACCCATTGCCAAGGACTCTAGATTTGTTCTCTGCAATTGCTCCTTCATTCCCATAGAGGTCAAGAGCGACCCGCCTGCCAGCATTCTCCTGAAACCAAGTGTATCAGTCGCTGCCATCCAATCAATCAACCACCGTCGTGGTCAAACACAAACCAAAACCCAAAAACGTCGCGAGAAGACCGCTGCTGCTTCAACCCTTTCTTCTTTCACTTTCAAGAACAAACACAATCAACAGCATTCACGATGGCCAGTTTCATCGCAAAGAAGATTAGCACCAAGATCCTCGGCGAGACAGTTGAGAACAAATGGGGTGTTAAGGTGAGTCTGCATACCTAGCTTCTCTGGCTGCGCTGCTGCATTGCGAAATACTAATGCATCCCTGATTGTAGGATCCCATGTTTGAACATGTCCCGGCGACGAGACTCGATGGCAAACCCAGCAAGAAGATGAAGAAGGTCAAGAGAGCCATTCCGCCGGGCATCTCTGAGCATGATGCACAGATTCTCAACAAGGTCAAGCGAAGGGCCTACAAGCTGGATTTGAGCTTGTTCAGCATCGCGGGTGTACGCTTTGGCTGGAGCAGTGTCATCGGCATAGTTCCCTTGTAAGTGTCCACCATCTCAAGGCATGTTCCCCCGTATCCACACTCAGCTAACTGATTGGAAACAGTGCTGGAGATCTGGTTGACTTCTTCATGGCCGCCATGGTCATCAATACCTGCAAGAAAGTTGATGGCGGCCTACCATCAAGCCTCACTATGAAGATGTGGTTCTGGGCTCTGGTCGACTTGGTCGTCGGCTTCATTCCTTTCCTCGGCGATGTCTTTGATGCCGTTATCAAAGCCAATGCTCGCAACGCCATATACTTGGAAGAACACTTGCGCAAGAAGGGCCAGCAGAATCTACGTAAGAGTGGCCTGCCTGTCCCCGAAGTCGACCCCAGTGATCCGTACGTATTCGACCACCTGGACGATGAGCCGTCTGGACGACGAAACGGCCACCGTTCCCAGGAGTCCGGCGTCGCAGCAACCCCAGACCTGCCCACGCGACCCAATGACGCTCGAGTGCGCAATGATCGTCGATCTGGTGGAGGTTTCTTTGGCTTTGGGGGTAACAAGAGTCGCCGCAATGATGAGGAAACGGGCATTGCCAACCACCCGCCAGCACAGAGCTCGACGCGCCGTGCGTAAAGAACTTGCCTCACTCGACAGGATCTTGAGACTTAATAACGCCCAATCCCGCGATTAAATGAATGGACTGGCTGGCCAGCTCGTGCAGTGTTTGACCACTTTCAACATGGTTGGCCCAACTCAGCTACGGTAACCCGAAAAGACTGCCCTGAATCGCGTCGAGAAATCCATAATGTGCTATGAAGAAAAAGAAAATGTTTGGTGTTTATGGTTACGATGGAGGGATACAGATTTGATACCACGAAGAGCATAATGCTCCAATACTTTAATGCGAACATGGAGCTTAGACTATATTTTGGGGTTAATATTACTTTCTTGACTTGTTCAATGAACTTTCGCCCTGTTCAATTTCACAGTGATTAAAGGAGATACAAATGCATGTGGGAAATTTCAGCACAATCGTTGCGCTTACCGTATCGAGAGGCATGCACACACTGTATTATGCATACTGCGATGTAGAGCCGCACACAGGTGCTAATGCATCCTGCATCTGCTTGTAGAGCATCATCGTTTATACTCTGTAGGAATTAAGCTTTCACAGTCTGGAAAAGGATGCGATACTTCCCACCAGTACGTCTACGTTACCTAAGATCAATGGCAACCGAGTTCTAGCCATCATTGTGACTCGTTCCATTAACTGCAAGACGCGTCTTCCATGACTTGAGGCGCGTCTTGGAGCCGCCTAGTTTCAGGCTATTTCCGATCAGATAACTGTGTTCTCCACAATACCATCATCATCAATAAGCAATTCCGACAAGCTTCGTCAGTTTCCCAGCCGAGCACCAGTGACTTTTTGTGGCTCTTTTATCCGTAAGTCCGAAAACCGGGCAAACGTGCAAACCTGGCTTGTGATGGAGAAGAATATGGGGAATTTGTTTATCTGATCCAATTCTGCCTGGATCGTCTTGTTGATGCGCGTTCAAAGGACGTTGTTGGTCAATGGCAGGTATTAATTTGACCCCTGTTGGGCCTGTTGGACTCTTTTTTTACGTACCTGAACACACGCCAAGGAGACTCAGCCCACTGTCCCAGCATCCCAGGACCGAGCGCGTTTACATGGTTAATTCTTACCCTTTGCCCCGCGCTGTGTATCTGGTAAAGTCGAGATGCTACAATTCTTTACAGGTGAAGATTTTATATAGTGCTTGAATTGCAGTGAGCTCCAACGCAGCAATGTAAGATACATAGTTATAGGAATCATTTAAAAATGTCTTGAGCTCCCTAGAGCTTGCTTGCTTGTTTGTTTGGAAGCTGCATATTGTAGCTGGTAGCCTCGCAGGAGTCTCCGGAGCTTGGGAAAAAAACAAGGTCATGCACCACTTTCAAGGTCCCAAAGCAGGCGATCCTACGACAGAAGCAGCCAAGCTCAGTGGAGAGGAACCATATTCATGAATGTCTCGGGCCCAGCTCATGATTGACATGCCCTCGGAACGGATCCAATCCCCTGGACGACGCGTGAAATTCACACGCGAAATCGGTGGCTGGTGGGGTCAAATCGCTTTTTAGTCTGGCCCAGGAATTGACAGGGAGGCGCGTCTTTGTGATTTTCGCGCGTCGGGCCAAAGATACTTAAAAAGCGCCCCGTCGACACACTAGATGGGAAAGATTCATTCTTGTCCATATCAACTCAAAACCACCACGTCTTCTTCAACACACAATCAATATAGACGCGTCTTTCTCTCTTCAACAATCCTTTCAACTTAATACTACACTACCTTTCACAAATACAACAAACGCACAAAGCAGTTCAGACGCAATGGCAACCGAGATCACTCCCTCCAAGAAGGTACATGACGTCGTTGCCTATTGGCACGCCAAACGCCACCAAGACCTGCACAAAGAGAACAAATCATGGCTAACACAATCTCTTGTTTACAGGCTGCCTCTGCCTTCGAGTCTTTGAAGATGGAATCTCCCGTTAAAAAGCTCGACTTCTCCGGCAAGGAGAACGCGCCTTTCGATGCCGATGCCCAAGTCGAGACCGAGACACAAAAGCCTGCCATGGAGCCCGTTAAAGAAGTTGCCAAGGGTGGTGTTGCACCTACAATCAAGGCTGAGGAGGCCGATGAGCCTCTCCTGCAGGAGAACCCTCAGAGATTCGTCCTTTTCCCCATCAAGTACCACGAGGTAAGTTTAATCTGACGCGTCTGACACGCGTATAGTGGTTTTCAAGACGCGACAAAGCTAACCATGATTTTCACTTTTTAGATCTGGCAAATGTACAAGAAGGCCGAGGCTTCTTTCTGGACTGCCGAGGAGATTGACCTGTCCAAGGACCTGCACGACTGGAACAACAAGCTCACCGAGGATGAGCAATACTTCATCTCCCACATCCTGGCTTTCTTCGCTGCCTCTGACGGTATCGTCAACGAAAACCTGGTCGAGCGTTTCAGCGGAGAGGTTCAGATTCCCGAGGCACGATGCTTCTACGGTTTCCAAATCATGATGGAGAACATTCACTCCGAGACATACTCGCTGCTCATTGACACCTACATCAAGGAGCCCAAGCAGAGAACTTACCTCTTCAACGCTATTGACACCAGTAAGTTGCCATTGACATCATATGTAAACACGAATAAAGCTAATTTTGATTTAGTTCCTTGCATCCGCAGAAAGGCCGACTGGGCTCTCCGATGGATCACTGACGAGAAGTCCACCTTTGCTCAGCGCCTCATTGCCTTTGCTGCCGTTGAGGGTATCTTCTTCAGCGGCGCTTTCGCTTCCATCTTCTGGTTGAAGAAGCGTGGTCTGATGCCCGGTCTGACCTTCTCCAACGAGCTCATCTCTCGTGACGAGGGTCTGCACACCGACTTTGCCTGCTTGCTGTTCTCTCACCTCAACAACCGCCCCAGCAAAGAGATGATCCAGGAGATCATTGTCGATGCCGTCAACATTGAGCAGGAGTTCCTGACTGAGGCTCTTCCTTGTGCTCTGCTGGGCATGAACTCCAACCTCATGAAACAGTACATTGAGTTTGTTGCCGACCGTCTGCTGGTCGCTCTCGGCAACGAGAAGGTCTACCGCGCCACCAACCCCTTCGACTTCATGGAGAACATCTCCCTTGGTGGCAAGACCAACTTCTTTGAGAAGCGTGTCGGCGAGTACCAGAAGGCTGGTGTCATGGCTAGCACCAAGAAGCCTGTTGTCGAGGAGGCACCCAAGGAGAACGAGAACGGCGGTGACTTCAGCTTTGATGATGACTTTTAAACGTCTCATCCTTGGTCATTGCTCATTTTCTACCTTTGCACGCGATACCCTCAACTCATTGCTACAGACACCACTACTCTTGTGTATAGTTGGCTTAATGCTCAACTTTGTCCATCTCTGCTCCGCATGGTATTAGAGGATTGATGAGCACGCTGGTGCAGCTTGGTTATAGTCCTTTCACATTTTCTTGTCAGTCTACTCATTATAGTTGGTTACATCCAGCGCACATTGCACGTTGGTCATATGGGCGTTCCATTGGCGTTTAGGGGTTATGATACGGCAGGTAAAGGTCCCTTCGACCGGCTCCAGGAATAGGGGCGGACGGTCGGTGCATTTAGAGGATCTATGAAACTGATAGGAAAAACGAGATTACGTTATGGTATTGCAAGGTGCTCTTTGGCACTCGAAATGTAATTGAAGAGACGATCAAACCTGAATATTTGTTCCATGCGTGCACTCAAAAGCATCAAACTTGTGATAACATAAAGCGCAAAAAGGCAATTATGATCTAGCCTGATTTTCTTCAATCGCAATTGTATGAGTATATTTGAACCCACCTGATGGCATAGATTCCTCGGATGGCTTCGCTCGAGGGTTGAAAAGATGCCTCTGCAACTCATTTCATCCTCTAGTATGTAATTATCCATGCCTAGCCTGCTATTCATCTTTAAAGACTTTTTCGTTCTCGTAGCCACAAATTTCACAAACGCCTCGTGATGCCGTGGTGGAAGACGCTCTTGCTTTCGTTTCTGAATCATCAAAGCGATATGTATTCGTGCCATTTCCTCTGTTCGTGGTCGTCTCTGCATCATCCCAAGGTTTGGAAGAATTCGTCGTTGTCTACTATTCTGCTCCCCATTGTGCCCCTAAACCCTTGCGTAGCTCTCATCGCTTGCCCTTCTTCTTCTTGCCCTTGCCACCTCCAGAGCCACCTCCCGGTTGCTGACCCTGTTGGGCCGGTACCGGATCCGCCTTTTCAGGCGCGGGCGTGCCCATTCCACTCTCGGGCGCGTCCAGAGCCGGCACACCGTCGTCCTTGAGCGCCGGGAGTCCAGCCATGGGCCGTCCCAGCTTGCCCAGGCTCAGAATTAACCGCGAGACCTCGGCGGCCTTGCTAGTCTTGTACTTGAGTGTCGTGCCGGTCTTGGGGTCGAACGTCTTGAGAACGAGGCGGCCCCTCGGCGGTTTCGCCTCTCCGCTGGCAGCAGCAGCAGCCGCTTCTGTCTTCTTGCCGTCTTCGCCGCCCTTGGACTTGCGCGGCGCGTCGGCTGATCGTATCGAGTATCTTGTGGTTACTCTGGTAGTGGTGGGTCGCGCCTCGAGGAGGAGTTGCGACTGCCGCAACCACTCGTCCGCTGATGCGTAGTACGGCATGTTGTATGATTTTCGAAGAAGGGTAAGAAGAAAAAGAGGGATCGGTATGCGCCCCTAAGGTTCCTGGCTGAAGCGTTCCTCCTCAATGGCCCCTTCTCTTTGGTTTCGTATGGTACGTGCCGGATCTGCTTGAAGAAAGTGTGTGTGCTTGTCCTGCAAGGCCCGAGGTGGCCGGTGTCGCGAGTGATGGGAAGAGCTTATGATGATTGACAAGCGCTGCTTCTAAATTGAATTTTGGCAGCTCATTAGTTATTGGGACTGATGCTTGGTGGGGTTGGGAGCTTCTGTCCCGTCTGTTCATTCCCCAATTTCGCGGGGACGAGCCTCAGCTCCCTTCGCTAACTTGACAGGGGTCTGCTCTTCTACGACCAGCTCTCACCCCATATTGGAATTTCATCAATGCCAGGCTGAATTCGAGCCTTGTCAACATTTGTTTACTTTTTTTGCCAACCTGCTTCTCATTTTTTAGAACCTGGCTTGGAGCGCTCTGTCGCATTGAATTTCTGACATATGAATTGACACATTGCGAAAACCATCAAACTCTTCAAAAGGAATCAAATACGGCGCGCATTACCGCCTGTGACCGCCAGGCATGGCGTCGACACCCATGGACCTCGATGGTCCCGAATCATCTCCCGCGAACGGCACTCCCTTGACTTCACTGAACATAACAAGAACATTAGGGGCCAATCTCCCAAAGACTGCACCAGTAACCGATGTGATCGCAAACTTCAGACCAACAAAGGTACCACCACGTCCTCCCGTCAACATCAAGCCTCGGGATCCTCCCAAAGAGCAGCAAGGCCTGCGTACTTCCAAGAAGAAACACTACATTACTGCAGCTAGTGTGCTGCCTCACCAACCAGGAGAGAGTTCTCGTCCCAGAGGAAGCACTGAAGCGTCTCTCTCAGCTGTATCACCTTCTGAAACAGCTGATCTTGCGCTTGTCACTCCCAAAAGTTTGGGAGACGATTTAAAGAATGCCAGCATTTCTAACAACCAACAGCTCTTTAAGCGCGACGAACTGAAGGAGGGGCGACCGAAACCATATATTCTCAGTCTCGACTATGACGACCCCGGCGAGCTTCTCATGACTTCGGAGAGTGACGATACTATCCAGATCTACAAAGTTCGTGAAGGCCGACACGAAAAGCAATTGTTGAGCAAGAAGTACGGCGTCAAGCTTGCCAAGTTTACGCACACCAGCTCCAGTGTGGTTTACGCCAGTACAAAAGTGAACGGTGAGCTCGATTGACCATACCCTATGGCTTACTTCCCATGCTAACACCTTCACTAGATGCGATACGATACTTGACGACCCACGACAATGCATTTATTCGATACTTTGAGGGCCACGAAGCAGCCGTGACTTCGCTTGCTATGCACCCTGGACAGGATGACTTCATTTCCTGCAGCAAAGACAACACGGTGCGATTATGGAACGCGGCTACCAAGAATGCCGTAGGCGTTTTGAATCTCAACACGCCCTACCTTGCGGCGTACGATCCGAGTGGCCAGGTCTTTGCAATCGGTTCTCCTAGTAGTGGCCAGATTCTTCTATACGATCAAAGAAACTTTGACAAGGCTCCTTTTAGCACCTTCGATGTTGCCGAGGCCTGCGCATTTGCCGATACCGCTTACGTATTAAAGGGCTGGACAAAACTAGAATTTTCCAATGACGGCAAAAACCTCCTTCTGGGCACCAAGGGCAATGGGCACTTCCTCATCGATGCGTTTGAGGGTACTTTGCGGGCATACTTGCATAAACCCAATGGTGGCACACGACGACTGGCGGCAGGCGAAGCCCCCAGCATGAATGGCAGCTCAGCAAATGGATCCAGCAGTATTGAAGGCAGCGGTGACTGCGGCTTCAGTCCCGATGGCCGCTATGTTGTTGGCGGGGGTGCAAACAACAAATTGCTGATTTGGGATACCCTGGGCCAGGTTGATGAAGACAAGACATTGGAGCCTCTCCACATGATCGACAGCGAGAGGCCAGCATCTGTCGTTGCATTCAGTCCGCGCTTCAACTTTATTGCAACGGCAGATCAGGAGGTTGTATTTTGGCTGCCAGATCCCCACGCCTAATTGCAGACTGTACACTGCTGTCTTCAATTTCAAGATGGAGCGACTTTCAGCAACTCAGCAGCACTAAAGGTTCTAAGAAAGACCAAATGACCAAAGCTGGCAGCTTCGTGCAAATTAAGACTACATCACATCACCCACTTTCCGCCAATGCCTCACTTGCCGAGAGCATATCTAGCGGCTCCTCGTCCTCGGGGTAGTATTGCGCTATAGTGTATCACGCAGAGAACCGATGGGCGGCACAAGGATATCGTCTTTGTACCACAAAGATCTGGTCTGTGAGCCCGCGCCTGACATCTGGGTCGAAAATGAGTACTCTTGATATATCGACTCATGAGATATATTTGCGATGGCGCCCAGCTTCTGGAACTCGTCGATTTCTGCTACGAAAAGTGGGGCCAAGTTTTGTTTGCATTATACTCACAAACCTCGGCCACATACATTGACAGCGAGCTGCAAGCCAGAATGCTTGCCGAAACAGCTTGTCAACAACAGAATGGCGAAGGACTACTCAATCGTAGAGAAGCCCTACGATGGAAACTGAATTTTGTTCAACTCATCAAAATTCCTTGAATCGATACCCAAATAAGCATAGCAAGGTGTTTGCGCGAGGTTGAATAAAACAGGAGAGCCAGAGCCAAGAAAACCGCAATCTTTTTGGCAGAACTTCAACATGACCAGATTTTTAAACAACCGCTTGCCGCGGCACTGCGCATACCGTAGATAATAAGTCCCCCCTCTCATCTAAACTTTACAGTGACAATGGCAATCCTGCAAGTAAGTAATAGAGTACAATTGTTTACAGTGGATATACTACAGGTCAGTGTCACCTGTCATCCCGACTGGTACACTGTATAGTGTCACCTTGAATTCATCCACGACTTTATATCAGACTTTTCGCCCTTGGGTCGCCTCAATATTGACATTCGCTCCGTATCCCAGTCAACTACCTCTTGACGCGTCCCTGGCCCTTCTTCTGCCCACCCTTCTGGCCGCTCCTACTGCTAAAAACGTTCCTCGACTTCTTCCAGGCAGTGACAAGGTGCTCAATGTTACCCATGTCGTGCTTGGGCTGGCGCATGTAGGTCAGCTTGGCGCGGCGGGCTCTCTTGGGTCGCCTCCAGACAATCTCGATACCCTGTATGGTAGGCGAGTAGATCTTATACCACATCTCGGTTCCGGTCTTGAAGAGCGTGTTGCGGAGTAGGATAGCCGTGTCAACACCAGAGCGGCGAATTGACAAGCACACACCAGCAAAAGGCTCTCCTTTTGTCGTCGATACTTGCAGCACGTCGCCAACCTTGGCCGAGTCTGGGTTCTTTTTGCTGAACAGCGCGGTGCGGGCACCTGTCCGGTCAAGACGCCGTATTTGCTGTGCATGGAACGACAAGAGGGCGCTGGGGTGAGCTTCCCGAATTGAGGTCGGCGGAGCATAGACGGCGAAGCCTGTCCGGACGGGCTTCTCGGGGTTGTTGGAGGGGATGATGTCTGAAGCGGAGCATTAATATATGAATTTGAATCTTGTTGCAAAGTACTACGCACGGAATTTCTGTGGTTTTCTAATTGGCATGCCAACGGGTGGTATCGAGTCGGCAACTGCGTCTGTGGATGTGGGAGTGGTTTCTGTAGCCATGGAGCGCTGGAACAGCACTCTTTGCTGGCGGCTCTGTCGCAAGAGCATCTTGACGGGGCCAAGCGGCCACCTCACCGCTGAGCAATTCATCTTTTATTGAATGGGGCCGAGGCCTAGAGATTCCCCTTCGTATGAATTGAGCCCACTGCCAAAGCTGTCGTGATGGTCGTCGTCGCCGGCGTCGCGAATTGCCGATTCTCTATGTCCAGGAAATTGTTTGAAGCTATGAGATTCGGAGCTAAGCAAAAGTTGTTCCGGGCCGCCAAAATCACCACCGCACCTGCTGAGTGGACGCGCTGGAGTGGGTACCTAGGTACCGTTGGGTCGGCGTACCGCACCCCTGCTCTGCCGACCGGCCGGTCGCGACTGGCACTTTAGGTACAAAATTTCTGGGTGCAGCAAACCGCTATTATTGCCTGTACTGGGTCTAATGAGGATTTCCCCAGACGTTGCGCAACAAGACGACGACCACAATTAACGCGGTGCCGGTATTGCAAACCAATTGCAATTCCAAGGGAGGGATCAACTAGAGCTACACAAATCATACCAGCCAAAATGTCGAGGAGGACGGTGTTGAGCGCCGGCAATGGCGCATTCGAAGCAGCAAGCCGGAGGATACCGCAACATGCATCACGGAGCTTCAGCTCGACAGCTAGCAATGGTATGAACAAATGCCCAACAGACGCATGTCTTTCCCACGGGGATATGCCAATCTCATGTTATGAGTATACTGACATAGATATTCTCCTTTATAGCCGCAGTCATTACACAATTCCAGCCCACATCCTCACCAGAGCTGGACACGGCGCTGTCCACGATCCGCGAGAAGATTATTCTGCCCTCCTACCTGACGGTTCAGCAGCGCAAGAGAATCATTAGCCCGAAATGGGCCAAGAAGCTGCAGGCGGATCCCATCACGGTCGAGATTGATGGTGAGATCTTCAAGTTCCGTCACATGAACCCGTTCTCGGGCGAGATCCCCAACACCCGCCGGTCAGTGATAGAGGCTATCAAGAAATTCGACGGCACTAGTGATGATGACTTCAAGAACCTGCGGCCATTGATTGAGGGCGTGTACGGCGCAGGTCGGCAACTGGGCAACGGCTTCTATGCCAAGGTGCTGCGGGTCGTCGGCGACAAGGGCCGGGTGGCCGAGCTGATGGACCTAGCCCGGAGCAAGAAGACGGGCTTCCGTCTCGACACGAGCGAAAAGGTTAACGAGCTGCTGCACTTCATCCAGCTCAACGCCCTCGAGTCCGGCTGGAACCGCGCCGAGACGGAGCAGGCCCTGCGCTGGGCTGAGCACGTTATTGAAATGGTCCAAGATGAGGCGGCGCACGCACCTCAGAAGCGCATTGAAGGCGATCTGCCGCTGAACCGGGACCCCCAGGTTCTGCTGGCACCACTGCACCTGGCTGCCGCCCTCATCGTCAAGGGCGGTGTCAAGGATCACAAGACCGTCACCATGGCCAACAAGCTCGCCAGCACCATTGTCAAGCTGTGGCCCGCCGGCCGGGGCCTGAGGCAGATCCACCCCGTGAGCACTTACATTGAGGATAACCAGCGGGGTTATCTACTAGAGGCCAACAAGTTCGTTGCCATGGCCAGCCCGTTGCTGCACGGTCTCGGACTGGCTTCCCAGGCCGTGACGGAGCCCACATTGGCTGCGGAGCTGAAGACGCGATATGAGAGACTCGAGGAGGAGGTCAAGAGCAGCCTGAGCGAAGCTGCCAAGAAGGGAAAGAGCTCAAGAGGCCAGGCTGTGTACCAAAAGTTCTTTGGCGGAAGCGCATGAACACGGAGACTGTACAAATAGAGCACCCCCATGTATAGTATCAACGAAATTTAGGCACTGCAGTGAACTTTCCAAAAAATCGCATAGAAGCCGAATTTATGTGTAATACCACAATTGTTTTATACATTGCAAAAGTCTATATACAGATTGTCTAATGTGTCGCTGGTTTACATCAAAAAGAAATGCTCTGCTTATGCAAGAAGACATTGGGGACCAATCCTCTGAAGCCGATTGATAGGTGAGACATGAACGTTTATCTTATGGCAAGACGATATATCTCTTGAGGGACTCGGGAATCGAGCCGATCAGGTTCTTGGTCTCGAGCCACTTCCTGCTAAACAGACGGTCGGCATATCGGTAGGCACCGTCGCAGAGGGGAGTAACGACAGTGTGTCCAGGACCCATCATCTCGGCAACCTCCTTGGCCGCGACCACGTTGAGGGCGCTGCTGGCACCCAAGTACAGACCTTCCTCGTCGAGGCAGCGGTAGACCATCTCAATGGTCTTTTCGTCGCTAATGTGCAAGCTGCCGTCGACCAGGGGCAGGTCGGGGGCCAGGTTGTCGGTGACGCGGCCCTGGCCGATACCCTCGGTGATGGAGCCGCCCTGGCGCTCGGCCAGCTTGCCGCCCGACTGTATGTACGAGTGCAGCACGGATCCGGGCGGGTCGGCCAGGAAGCTCTTGACGCGGCCGCCGCTAATGTCCTTGAGGAAGCGCGTGGTGCCGGCCAGCGTGCCGGCCGTGCCCGTGGCGCAGGTAAAGGCGTCAATCTTGCCGTTGGTCTGGGCCCAGATCTCGGGGCCCGTGGTCTCAATGTGGGCGCGGCGGTTGGCCGTGTTGTCAAACTGGTTGGTCCAGACCGAGGCGCCCTCGCCCTGCTCGCGGACGAGGCGCTCGGCGTGGCGGCGCGCCTGGTGGTTGTAGTTTTCGGGATTGTCAAAGGCGACGGCGGGGACGGGGTAGACCTCGGCGCCCAGCAACCGCAGCAGGTCAATCTTGCCCTGCGACTGCGTGTTGGGCATGTAGATGACCAGGCGGTAACCCTTTGAGCGGCAGACGTGGGCGAGGCCAATGCCCGTGTTGCCCGCCGTGCCCTCGACCACGGTGCCGCCTGGCCGCAGCAGCCCGCGCTCCTCGGCGTCCTTGACCACGTACAGCGCCGCTCGGTCCTTGATGGAGCCGCCCGGGTTCATGAATTCGGCCTTGCCGAGGACCTCGCATTTGGTCTGCTCCGAGAGCTTGTTGAGTCGAATCAGGGGCGTGTTGCCAATGGCTGTTTTGTCGCAATGACGATTTGTCAGCTACTGACCTCTTTCTTGCGCTCTAGTTTTCTAAAGAGAAAAAGGGTGTTGGAAAGTGGAAATTAAGATCAAGAAGATACGCACCACCGGTTAATCCATAAGAAACGCCCTGAGCCTTTGAAACGGCAATGGTGGTTGCGCTGGGTTCCTGGGCTGCAGCTGGGACGACTGCGCGGCGCACAGCCGAGGTAGCGAACCGTCGCATGCTCTGGCGGAGTACTGCTGGCGTCGACATTGTTCTGTCTATATGGAATCCCTGCTATGGAAATTGACTCTCCAGGAAGACGCGAGCCTGATCAAGAGAGAGGGATTGAATCTGCAAGTAGTGAGGCTTTGGCTAGAAATATTTTGGCGGGGCTGATCTCGTAGCTCCGGCACCCGGGATCACGTCATTTGGCCGGTGCCGGCTGATGGATACGCTTGTCGGCATCGGGGGCGGTCCCCTGGGAAAGAAAAGTGCAATAGAGTTTCGAACCTTGCAGAAGTGTATGCAATTCAATGCTTGATGGTAGTTCTATAGTTAATGCATTCTTGTTATTCGTAACTTTTCCAATATTATGCATACATGATATCCCATATTCCCATGAGTTCAGTCAGTCATTTCGTCAAGTCATTAGTATCGTGCTTTGTGCTATGCAATAAATCTTCTCGTAAAAACCCTCGAAATTGGTTATAATATCATTGAGTCGCAATCACCCGGACATACGGTGCTGGAAACAAGCCTTTTGCGCCCATGTAACAACCAAAAAACCACTCCCCATTCACGTCTTCAATCTCCAGAATCTCGGCTCCTTTCGGAAACATTAACTCGTCAGTGGCGCCGGTGCCCGGATACCAAGCCCAGTGTGCTGTTGCTCGGAGGCCCGAACCACCTTCAGGAGGGAATGCTTCTGTCCAGGGGCCGGTGATGGGTGCCGTGGTGCCGACAACATCCGTGACAAGTCTTTCGCACTTGGTTCCATTGGGGCCAGGCCAACTCCATTTCATTAATCCCGGAATGGGTTGTGCAGACAGCGTCGGTGTAAGAGGCTGCATGTGAAAGTCCCAACCGCCAACAAGATCATGTACAATATTTCGCCGTTCTCCGCCACCAGCGACCTGGTAGTTAATAATAACCATGCGGTGGCCGTTGAGGCAGCGTCGCCAGCCCAAAAGGCCGTTTTCCGCTGATATAAGCCTGTCGCTTTCCAGTTTACGATAACAGTCCATGCAGACTTCGTATTCTCCTGGTTGTGCTTCAGCCACTGTGCTGCTTGCAGACATGACTGGACTAGGACATGTGTAACAGTGGCACCTGCTCTGTGAAGGTTCTAAAGACGCCCTACACACGCTACAGGCTGTTCGAAAACTCAACGGGCGAAAGTTGCCCAAGGTCATGGCCTGGGGCCCTTTGTAGAGGCTCGCCGCTGCTGGTGGGTTGGGTATCCGAGGACTGGGGGGAGGACTCGGGCCATTCGATGGTGATACCCAGGTCAGCGGCAGCAATGGATGCGTACAACTTCGACCTTCATTGACGCATCTGTTACAGAAGCCCCAATCGCCATCGTTGCATTCTTCACATCGCCAGTAGCATTCGTTGGTCCAGGCTAGACAACCGGCGCAGAACATTCCGCTCTGAAGCCTTCTCAAAGGGTCATCAGTAGTCATTGTCCGGCGACCCTCTGCACCTCCTGGTATTATTTTAGGCGCAATATAACGGCTCGAGGTTAGCATGTGCGGGTCTTCCAGATCAGGATTGCCATTTGCACGTGCTCTCTCCCATTTCTTGAATGCTGAATAGCCAAAACCGAACCAGTGTAGGCATCCCTTGCCTGCGCGATAACAATCGAGACAGATGTTCCACTCTCCACCTCTGCAGCGTGCACAATTGTAGTGAAGGTCGTACTCAATATGGCCCTTGCCGCACCGAGAGCACGTGATTGAAGGTTCATGATAGAAATGCGACCGCGTGCGGTGATGACCAATCGGTGACATGGGCGCGCCGAGACTAGGTAGCGGGTTTTGAGGCGAGACTACCACACTGGGCGGCCGCTGTCTCGTGTTTGGACTTCCATGGTCCGCCACGGATGTGTCGATCGTCACAGACGAGGAGAGCTGGGTCGATGAAATAGTTCGCTCGCCGAATGACAGGCCCAGGCCGACTGGCACCTGATCTCTCATGGCAGCCGTCGGCAAGCTGGAGCTTCTGTCACCAGCCGATGGGCGCCTCACCTCGGCATCAGAGGCCCGGGCGCGCAGAGTCAGATCAGTTTGCGATCGCGCGGCTGGTTGTGTCTCTCCTGCCCAGGACCGTACGGTAGGTTCTGTTGCACTACGGGCTCCGCTAGAAGTCCGTCTCCTGCGCCGCTCAGGCCCGTCACGTACGTCAAGATGTGTGGCGGTGATTGGCGGTCGTCGGGTCCTGTTTTCCAGCTGACTTGCCGAGTTCGAGTTCCGCGTGTTCTCGGAATTGGCCCTCTGCCTGCTACTAGCTCGTGATCTGTCCACAACAAGCGGTCTTTGGCCGAGTGGTGCTGTGTCTGCACGACTAGAACGGCTGCTTGTGGTCGTCCTCCTCGATGTATCTTGACGTGTTCGCTGAGTCTGCCGCCTTCGATACGCTTCCGTTATCCTCTTACTAAGCTCGTCATTCTGGGTGATGTCCAAATTGTCCAGATCCAGGCCGTCCAAAAGTCCCTCCTCCTGTATTTGACGGGCAAATTCTTCAATCTCCCTTTCCATATCCAGTGAATCGATACTCGACGAACTGATCAGGGATCTGATGGACGACTGATGCTCGATGGGTCTAGCACGCCTTGTCCTCGAGGGATCGCGCGATCTCCTTTGCTGTGATTCACTGCGCCGATGCCTGCCCTCCTCGGATGGTTGCAGTGTGCTTTCTGAGACGGCGCGCTGCCTCCGCTCCCCTTCTCTTCGGGTCCGGTGTCGCGCATCGCGATGTCTCGAGTCCCGGCTGCTGTCCCTGTCCGACCTGTCGCTACTGTCCAAGTGTCGAATCTGGTGCTCCCTTCTGTGCCTATGCTGCTGTGGCCGAGGTGACGCTGGGGCCCCTACTCCCGAAGCTCGTAGACTCATCTCCCGCGCCTGTGCCAGCATCTGCGACTCCAGCTCCTCTAAGCGCTGCTCCTCGGGCGACTTTTCCACAGTGCTGACTTTCGGCAGCACATCGACGCCGGGTTGGTACTTTTCGTGCATCTCCAACTTGTCCTCCTCAGACCTCGCCTTGTCCGGGTTGGCAGCTAGGAACATGTCCAGCAGCGTGGCAACGGTGGCATTGTGCCGGGTATCTCTGACGGGTGCGCGGCATGACGGGCAAGTTGCGACGTTGGTCCCGGCGGGCGGCGGATCCGGTGAGTTCTCGGCGATGGTAGCCTGCCAGCTGAACCAGTCTTTGAGACAGGAGCCGCAGAATGTGTGCAGACAATCGAGGAGGGTCAAGGGCTGGTAGAGGACCTCGGTGCAGATCTAACAAATCATGAACCCCACGTTAGTTGGTCAAGCTTAAGGTAGGTTATCGCGGGGTGGGTGGCCCAAGCACAAGCTATTTACAGGTATTTGTACATAGGTAGGTAATGTAGGCAGAGGATGCAATCGTTATCGGGTTGCAGGAGATGAGTCAACGGCGGGAAGATACATACCGAGCAGGTCAACTCCTTCTCCAGATCGACTCCTGGCCTTGGAGAGTCCATTGTAAATTGGACTCGAAAGCCTTCCTCCCTTGGATTTCCCGAGAGAAGAGCAAGAAAAGCCCTCTAGGGCACAGAGGGTTTTGGGCGCAAAGGCGAGGTGCGATGAGCAATACTCATGCTTTGGGTCCGTCGGTTGTGGGCGTTTAGTCGAGTGTTAGCCAGAGATCCGATGGTGGGGAACCCTGCTTGGTAGAGCGCGCAGGCGAGAGAGGGAAGTAGAAGAAAAGAAAGAAAAAAGAGAGAGATAGACGAGATGAGTAGTGAATACCAAGTCTCATTCCGCCGTCCTGTCAATGCGAGTCTCAGGCTGTGACAAAAGTCAACTTCGTATTTTGCTGTCGCCTAGAGCCGGCGTACATGGTGGCGCATTATTGTCCTTTCCCTTTGGGTGCCCTGGCGAGCCAGCTGATTCCGTTGGGTATTAAATAAGGAGACGGTATAGAAACGAGGCTGACATGAGGTGGAAAGCTTGTGAGAAAGTGGAGGGTAGACAATGGTCAGTCTTGTCTCACTGTCAGCGCCCGATTTAGAATGTTATTAGATCACGTCAATGGTGGGTTTTGCACTCATGATCGGACGTACGGGACAGCCCTCGATGCAAGAAGCCGTGATAAGCGATGGCCGAGAGCCCAATACGATTTCACAGTAGTATTGCATCGCAAAACGTAAATCAAGGTAGCCTGTCTCTCAAGATTCCACTGCAGTGTGTGACCCCCTGGCGAACTCGTTGCTTCTTCCTACATTTACTTTACTTTCCAGTCTTTTCCCATCTATCTGCCCTCTGCCCGCCCTACATCTTACGAATGTTTTCATGGATCTTGATAGTGGGAAGCTATTAGTGACCCCACCAGTAAACTTCCAGACGTTATAGTGCTATCGGTATCCGGCGCTATATATTTCACTACCGGCATTTCCCCTTCTTAGACGGCGCATTTTGCAAGCCCAACTGCCCAAGTTGCTCTAATAAAGACATAATGGTTCGCAAATGACGTATTGGCAGATATTATGTACTTGACTATTGCCTGGGTGCTCCATAAGCAAGGTGCTCCAAGTAAGGATTCACTTGCAGTATTGTTTTTATTCTCGGGGGAGTCATTTCATGGATTATGACTGTCTATTGGTACAAATCTACCGTAGATAAACACCGCTTATTTGTGCGTCCATTCGGCCTTCTGCTTTTCTGCAAATGCCTTCATTCCAATCTTCTGGTCCTGGCTGCCAAACAAACTGTGGAACACTCTCCTCTCATACTCCACACCGTCTCTCAAGGGCAAATCTTGGCTCTTATTGACCACCTCCTTGCCGGCTTGGACAGCAACGCGAGAGTACCCGGCAATGGTCTCGGCTGTCTTCAATGTATTCTCCATCAACTCCTCATAGGTCGAGAATGTCCTGGCCGCCAATCCCCATTTCTCAGCATCGGCTCCGCTAAAGAACTTGCCGGTCAGAATAAGTTCCATGGCCTTGGACTTTCCAATGGCCCTGGTCAACCGCTGGCTTCCTCCGGCTCCCGGGACAGTTCCCAGCTTGATTTCAGGCTGGCCAAAGTTGGCCGTCTCCGTGCAATAGATGATATCACACATCATGGCCAACTCGCAACCACCTCCCAATGCGTGGCCGGATACTGCAGCGATGATGGGCTTCTTGATTTGAGTGGTGAGGTCTGACCATGACTCGATGAACGAGTTCGTGTAAGCCTCGGCGAAAGTCAGAGGTTGCATCTCCTTGATATCGGCTCCAGCAGCAAAGGCCTTCTGAGATCCAGTCAGGACCACGACGGAAACGCTGTCCGACTTTTGGTACTCCAACAGTGCCTGATTGAGCTCTGTAATGAGAGGTGTGCAGAGGGCATTGAGCGCCTTGGGGCGGTTGAGTGTTACTGCAATCTGGTGTAAGTCATCCATAGGCATCAGATCAGATGGGACTGCTCATCATTACCTTGGCCAACGCCAGGTCTCGGCTCGGACGTCTCAATGTACTCGTAGGACCTTGCTGGCGATGCAGAGAACATACGGACCGCACGGGGCAAAGTGCCTGCTTGGACACGCGATGCCACCGGCCGCAAGCTACGGAGAGTATTCATGATGATTGTGGTGATGCTTGTTGTGGTGCAACTAGTCAGCTAGGTAAGGATTCAGGATAGACAATTCGGCGTTATGGTTGGCAGAAATCCAAGCAATCACGACGACGGGCTAATGGAATTCCTGAGGCTGGGGATCGATAACTTGAAGCTTAAAACCACGGACATGAACAGAATCGTGATCGAAACTCTAGGTAATCATCAGCATGGAGCTTGTGCCGAGGATATCCACTTGGGACAACCACATCCCACCCACGGCAATATGAGGTCACAGCTCCAGAGAGCTCCAGCAGTCGCGTCGCGAATTGGAAGCGATACTAATCGCACGAGAGGCGTGACGCCAGTGCCTGGGAATCGACCCAGGAAAATCCGAAGGCCAGCTCGGAGACACTGGCCCGACTGGCTTGACTGGAATCCGGGACACTAACGCATATGAAAAGGGGCGTTCCCGCCTTGGGTTTCAAACTGTGGCGCGGCTTCTTTCGAGGTTTGGCTTGCATTGAATCGTATACAGCTTAGCGCTCTGGCCGCTTTTGCGATTGAACACTCTCTTTTGTAATACCATGTACAAGCAGTTGCTCGGCTTTATGCAGCCTACTTCATTTATATTGATTCACAACATGTATCGTTCGAATTTCTTGCCTGTTTGGCCTTTGTGGACCAGTCCTAGGCATCAATTGCCCTGTCATCAATGTTGCTTGGGATCTGTATCAAGTTTGCAATATGATTATTGATGGAGAACATAAACTTGGCCACTTAACAGCATATCTAAGTATCGTTTATTGCTGCATCTTTATGATTCAAATCTTGAGCTCCTATCTAGAAACATAAATGTAGTTTGAAAATTCTGTAAAGCTTTGGGACTTATTATAGACGACAATAAATAACCCCAGGTCCATATCGTCCTGATTTCTCCTCGTCGCCCACCAGATACCATAAGGAGAAACTTGATAACAGCTGCCAGGCGGTCACAATACTGTATATAGTTTAACATAAAACACAGTGTCAACAACGAGTTATTACAACCAACACGGTGAGATGGCCGAGCGGTCTAAGGCGCTGCACTCAAGCTTCATTGGCTTTCTTGATCAATCAAGACGCATTGCAGTCTATTCATTTAGGCGGGGGTTCGAATCCCCCTCTCATCAGAATACATTGTTTAATTTTTGATGTTTTTTTAATCCATCTGTCTCTTTTTACATTGATTGGATGCACTCTTTTGTTGTAGTCTTTTTTTCATTCTTTGACCAGGCTGGGTCATCTCAACACTTCCTCCTCATCTCGCGCACTCTCATGCCTATGTCGATTGTAGCTCGCCGATATGGACGGCAACTGATGGTAGACAAGAAGTAGGTAGAAGTACAAGCACAGGCTTGAGTACTTGCAATATGTGCAAGGTTCTCGATATCAAAGCCCCTAGCCTTCCTCTTCTTGTTTTTCTTTCAGCTTTTCTTGGAGAGGAATCATCAAAGCATGAATATGTTAGTCGTATCTTTTCGTTATCTCTATGGCACACCTTGGTTGGTACTTCAAACATGGGGGTATCGAGAGCAAACAAGACAGTCAACAATTATTGGTACACAAGTCTATATGGTACCATGAAGGGTCCTGATTGCAGAATAGAGCAATATATATATATATATGTAAAGACCATGTCACAGGAGATGTACTCGTAGGACACGGATGGTATATTCATTTATTTGGTGTCAAAACTGGATACATAGTAGAGAACGGACAAGTTAAAAGCAGCACTGGCTGGACTCTGCGGCACAGAGAGTTGCTGGTATCTTGGTAGTGACTTTTCCTTCACAGCCACAACGATACATGATTCGTGCTATCTTTTTCCCTACAGTACCTTGTACCTAAAACAGGGGTCCCGAACTTTAGGCCCGTTTTGGTGGTCTGCGGGCGACGCTGGGCCAGATTTCAAAAGTGCAGATCCCATTGGCGATTGCGTCGCGAAATTGTGCAGCCTGTCCAGAGGTCCTATTCCGTACTACTGTGTACATTACGGTTATCCACTCAACACTCAACCCACGATTTCTCGCCTCGCCCCATCACCATCAATCACCACATTCCCAACCTCGTCGTGATTTCCACGCATCTCGTCTGCTTCTAGCCTGTGCCACGTTTTGCTTATCAAGAGCAATCTCTGATCTACCGCATCCATCTCGTCAGCATGGAGAGCCTCAACGAGGAGCAGACCCCCTTCGCTGCTGTCACAGCGCAGACCTCGAAGCTGCAAAGAGTGCGTGGCCCCCAGGACAATAACTTTCTCGCGCGTGCAGCCGTATCAAGCATAGCAAACCCCAAGATGGCAGCTAACCTCATGTGTCAATAGCAATACCAAGCCTACCTGGACAAGTCGACCCCCTTCGTCACGTACCGATGGATCGGAACGGCAGCGCTCCTCATGATCTTCTTCCTGCGAGTCTTTGTGGCGCAAGGCTGGTACATTGGTAAGACGATGGCCACTCCAAACCTGCTACGTCGGTCGAGATATACAGAATAAACTGCTAACGCCAACCAGTTGCCTACGCGCTCGGAATCTACCTGCTCAACCTGTTCCTCGCATTTCTCCAGCCCAAGTTCGATCCCTCGGTCGAGGCCCTCGATAGCTCCATGGACATGGAAGATGGAAGTGCTGGAGGTCTTCCCACCAAGCAGGACGAGGAGTTCCGCCCTTTCATCCGCCGCCTTCCCGAATTCAAGTTCTGGCACGCCGCCACCCGGGCTGTCGCTATTGGCTTCGTGTGCAGTTGGTTCGAGGTCTTCAACGTCCCCGTCTTCTGGCCCGTCCTTGTCATGTACTGGATCATCCTCTTTGTCCTGACCAGTAAGTTCCACGCCGAACTCTTACCCCCGGAGCGTCACGCAACTGACACTTTGCCCACAGTGAGGAAGCAAATCCAGCACATGATCAAGTACAAATACGTTCCCTTCTCCTTTGGCAAGGCCAAGTACGGCAAGGCCAGCACCTCGTAAAAGGAGCAAAGAGGACTTTTTTTTCTTCTGGATTTACCTAGCTCATCATGGACGGGCGCTCTTCGGCGCATCTGTCGAGTTGCATGGCATTTCGGGCGTTCGGACATGAGGGGGAGCTGACAACGACGACTGGGTGTATCTGCTACGGCGTGGTCTCTGCTTCTTTGTACAAAACAAAATAACGGCGGGCATGACGATACGGTGGCAGCCGCGATCAAATTTACGAGCTGTATGACGACTGTATCTGGTGCCGACTTATGGTTCATACGGACTATCAAGTTTGTTGAGGAGTCCTATAGAAAACTGGTCACAGGCAGGAATCTGGTGACGATCAGATATAGACATTTTTTAATGACACGAGTAATTGACCCAACACCGACAAGGACCGGGACTTTGCACCTGCAATGTGAAGTGGATGATGAGCACAACAAACACATTGGCATTTCACGCGGCTGCACAGAGCTACAAGCTTTGTTGTTCAAGCATTGCGATCAAAAGGCGGTTCTCGACTTCGACTTGGCTGGCGGCGCCTACAAGCCGCAGCACTCACAAAAGCGGGCATAGATATCTCGTAACAGAATGGACAGATGCATCAATCCATCGACAATGGGTTTATTATTGGAAAGCAGGTCGGGTCAACATTTTCGTCAGCTTTTTGGAAATATGAGAAGATGTTCCTCTCAAGCTCAGGACTGATTACTCGAGACACTCGGCAACTGTAAGTATTTTGGAATTCTACTGATTTTGAGATGTTTCATTGATTGAATCCCTTGCTAATTTGCAATGCAGTTCTTCTTCAGCCTCGTCCGGTGGGCAACTAACTTCACGCGCTAAGTTGTAGGTACGGATAGCGCCGAAGTAGCCTTGCAAATTCGCCAAACTGGAGCTTTTCTGCGCGCGCGCGCGCCAGACTCAGACTCTCTGGCCGCCTGCAGGGGAGTCAAGCCGAGCTAAGCTCACAGCTGCATTCTTCTTTCAAGTCTCGTCAAGCATCCAACCGCCGCATTCGAGCTCGCTACATTTCAAAACCCTCCTCTTCGCCAATTTGCCGACCAGCCAAACACTTTTGTCGTGTGCTTCTCATTGCCCAGTCGCAACCCCTTTCGCGGCATTAGTTCGCGACAATGGCGTCCTCCTCACGAAGTGGTGAGAACCGTCCGATTCATCAGGACTTCATCGCGCGCATCCGATATTCCAATGCGCTCCCTCCGCCGCCGATACCTCCCAAGTTGCTCGACATACCCAATACCGGCCTCGCAAGTGGCCAGTACACAGCTCCTGGCTTCGCATCGCGCCTGGCTCGCGAGCAGCCGCTAAACATCGAAGCCGATGCAGAGCTGGGCATGCCCTTGGACCTGGTGGGAATGCCCGGTATTTTTGATGGTGATGAGAGCTGTGAGTCTTTATCCACCCTATTCGTCTGCTCATGATTGACCGCTACAACTCCATTGCAGCCATCCAAGCACCTGCGCAGGCTCCCCAGCCACACCTACATGACAAGCCTCTCCTGAGATCGCTGCAGCAGTTAGGCAAGCCCAAGACGGATAATGCCGCCGTCTCCTTTCTTCGGCGTACCGAGTATATCTCCTCGTCTGCCTCCAAATCGCACGGCAGCGGACCTTTGCGTGCCATGAACACAGCTCCAGCTCGTCGACAAGTCAAGCGAAAGTCGCCCGAACCCGACAAGGACTCTCCGGCCTATGTCAAGAGAAAGATTGACCAGAGCTTCTCAATCGCAGAGCAAAATCTCAAGGACCGTAGCAGGATCAGGCACCCTTCAAAGCGCAACCTCAAACTGGTGGACTCCTTTCCTCTGCTGCCCGACCTCGAGGCTTTCCCCGACTCTGGTGCCTACGTCACGATCAAGTTCCTTACGAACCCCGTGGGCAAGGCCACAAAATACGACACTCGCCTGCTGAACGGTGTCTTCCGGCCTATTGAACGAACCGAGGCCGAAGAGCTCGCCATCCAAGCTGCCCGCGATGCCTATGAACGCGATCCGCAAAATAACCCCAAGCCGGCAGACAACATCCACTACGACTACTACCTGAACGATACGGAAGCTAATGGCAAGAAGTTCAGGCAGAGGTTCGACGTGGACAACCCCAACCGAGATGACGAGTCTCTGTATCCTCACAAGCACGACTCGGATGGTTGCTTCCAGTTCAACCGATTGCGTGCCTACGAGACGGCACAAGAGTCGGAACTCAACCACTGGAGCAAGTACGATGAGGAGCTCATCATTGCCTTCAATGAGGAAAGCACGTCTCTCCACCAAAAGGCAGCCTATTACTATCCCGTGATGCAGCGGTCTCAGATTCGCCCGCAGCGCAACAAGAACATTGCTCGCAAGATTGGAATCACGGACGAGGACGAGCAGATCATAGATCAGCTGGATATCACTGTCGATGAACCCACGGAGCAAATCAAGGATAAGGTGGAGAGGTTCAAGCACGACCCGTACTGGCCTGAGACGGCAGAAGAGGAGGAAGTTGTTATGGAAGAGGAAGAAGGGCATCACAATGGCCACGCAGACGAAGAGGAGGAGGTGAATGGAAGATCGAGATCGCCGCCAGCCCATTCAGATGAGGAGCTGGATGCTGACGGCGATGAGGAGGACTAGGATTTTACTTACTCACCCGCTTGATTCGTTCAATGACCCTGGTTATTATTGTCAGTCTTTCTAGATGTATCCGGGGGAATCCAGCATGGACGACATCATACCGAACCTGAGGCATTTCAATCCCATGGGAAGAGCATGATATCAAAGCATATTATTTCTGCTTTTAGAGCGAGAGTCACGACAAAAATTTCAAATTCGTCTTCAAATCATATTTCGTGCTCGACCAAGTTCTACCACGAGTTGTCCGGCAGTGGTATGGCGGCTGTGAGGTAGAGTGGACTGCGCAGCGACTGTGTTGTTCGACCGGCGCTGGAATGTAATAGATTGAGGGATTAGTCAAGACAATAATATGCCCTTAATTTAAGTCTATCTACTATTCGGCTCAGTCTGAAGAAGGTATCAAGAGTCCTGTCTGCGGGGAGTCCAAACGCCAATTGGGGTATCTGGTTGACCACCGTTCCTCGTTGTCCAATAAGGCTCATCACGACGCTTAGTCCTCGATGTGCTACTTTAAGTCGAAATTCGCTTGCCTCTAGCACACCCATTATTGTTGGTTTCCACGTTGCCATGAAAGATAGCGGCCGTCTCAGAAGTCGGCATCACTGACGAAGTCGTTCTGATCATCTGTGCCATTGCCGGCTGCTTTGTGCCTGGTTGTCATTACTACAAGGTGTGGAATTTGTCGTATTTAGGGGGCTTGAGAATGACAAATTTTTCCTACGATATGAAAGCTTTATTTGCGATACTCACACTTGAGCTATTCTGGTATCTGTATAAATAATCGATAATAAGGAACTACACGCGTCAACGGTCAGCTAAATGGCCTGGCAGGTATAGAGGTCAAGGCATGCTGAAAGGGACGCCAGCCACCAGATGTAGTGATTGAAGTATCGGCACAATCTTATAGTTATTCTCACCCGCGAATTGATCATGTAGAAGCGACCTTTATCCCAAAACAGGCAAGAACAATCGCCAAAGAGATAACAGTAACCGTAAGGGTACAAATCATGGAAAAGGCAAGTATCCAACATAGATTCATGTGAGGCTACCTGGCTTTCTGTGGGCAATGGACACTCACTAGCGGGTACTATCATGCAATCAAGGAGCCCGTCACCAACAGACTTTGTTGAAAACTTTCTATGGATACTAGGGATATTACAGCAAGTATCTTTACACTTATGGAATAAATATCCATAAATTAGGTAGCTTGGTGTTCATTTCCCCGATATTCGAAAAGAGTGGGCTCTTTATCGTTGGTATACATCATGAGAAATCTCTTCTGCTTAAATCCAGGCGAGGCGGCGACCGCCAGGCCACTATATCAGAATGATGATTCAACTTCACTCAAGGATGTTGCACCACCTCGAATGGTCACTTTAATGAGCATGGCAACCTTGACCTCGTGACGTTCTACAGCTACATACATGTGGAACAAGCAGAGCAAGCTATTTACGAAGACTAATTGATGGAAGGTGGAAAACTCAGGACGCGTTTTGCAAGTCGCGATGGCCAGTAATTCTTTATCACCATCACCATTGGGCGTCTGGTCGTAATCAATAGAGACCACTACAACTGCCATTTGTCGAGTCTTGTTTAATCCCTAGTACTTTACAGGACCTCAACGTTCTTGAACCCACACCAACTCGGTCTCAGTCCATCAGGCTCAATTTTCTTTGCTTACCATCTGTAACCACCATTCGGTATCCTTTTCATTGTAGCAGTGTTAACACTTCTTTTGCAACACCTAGGCACTTGAACGTATATACATACTTGCTTCTTCAATACCGCGTCCATGAAGACCACCACTCTTTTCTCCCTCCCCTTGGCCAGTACTGCTGCTGACACAGCCTCTGCCAAGTCCATTGATCCAGTTGGCACGCACGCTTCTGACGACGACGCGATCCTCCAGGCCTGGACCCACGAGGACATCGTTGCCGGCAAGCAGTGGTAGGCAAATCAAGAGCTTCAGGTTACCACCAATACCCCGGGTGTCAATCACCATGTCCTCGACTGTCTTGGTCAGGAGACTGTCGGTGCTTCCAACTTTGCCACTGCTCAGCGGCTCCTCAAAAGACTGTGAGCTGCTCCCCACCCTTGTTTCTTTCCCATGCCTGCCTTGACCTCTCTACTCGGCTACAAGTGCCTCGGAATGAAGCTCATGCTAATACCTATCGTGTTTATCTCACACCAGGGTGCGATTCTGGCAACAAACTCCCCGGATTGAGCGCGCTTGCCAAAACCTCGGGCAACGTTCGCGTTGGAATCTGTAGCAACGGCGGCGAGCAGCCTGTGAGTTTTTCAATCGCTAAATATCATCTCTCTCCTATATACGAGAAAAAGGAAAGAAAACCAAAAATTGACTTGAAGGGTTAAAAATCCCGACCCCCGATTGCAGTGTTCCGGCGACGAGATTGAAGGCATCTTGGGCGAAATCGCATCCTACTGCCCCAGGCCCGCAAAGAGCTCCGAGGCACATGCCGGGACCTGGTACGAAAAGGACTGGCGCAAGACATACTTTCTCAAGGACTGCAGCAAGGATACCTCGGTTTGCAATTTTGTCGATACCCCTTGTCACCAGCGCCCAGACTAAGGGAGAGAGCCTCGGATCTTTGCTGGTTCCTTTTCACATTCTCAAAGGGGGAAAGGCAGTGGCCAGTTGTCCTTGAACTCTTTTTTGGCAGTCCTTTGATGATATCTTGGTACAGAGACGGAGGTTTCGCGTGTCAGTGCTTGGCATTTGGTAGATGGATGCATTGCTTCTATTTCGTGGAGGCCGGTGTGTCCTTGCAAGCCTCGAGCTCATTTAGTGACTGTACTTCTCAGAGTGTATCTTGCTTACAGCTGAATTCTGATTGTTTCGTGAAATGCGTCGTCGTCCACGGTGGTATGATGGATTAAAGTTACAGTCGCCTTTAGTATCTTTATATTGATTATCTTGCATATTTCAGCTGCAATATCGTTTCTTTGCCGCCTGCATCATTCCAATCTTTTAGATTTTACACGATACAGCAAACGCACTCACATACTGTAAAAGGCTATAACAAGCATGATGAACAGAAAATGGTATCTTGTACCTATATACTCAATTCGTGTTCCTAGGGATACACCTCGCGATGTCTTATATGTACAGTTGTCCCAGTTATACGCCTTCTTTCTAACCCGATAACAACAATGGGCCATATTCGTGCCACTTTCTACCCTTTTCTGTGTAATTTTGTACAAGGTCCCCCGATACTCCTTAACGCCAAATGGAAGACGGTTTTACATTATCCATCCCTTCCAAGATACCAAGTTAAATTGCTGCACCGAACGAGTTCGCTGATGGAAGAGTCCTTGGACGAACGAGACGCCTGAGACGCATTATTCGAGTGCGGCGAACCACTGTCACGCCCCTAATGCCCCAATGGTGGCTGTGTCTCCCTTCTCCTTGGCTTCTGCCCAGATCGATCTGAATCATCTTCTCCACTTCCGGGTTCCGAGAGGGTCCGTCTAAGATCCTCAGGGGGTTTCAAAAAAAAGTGGTTGTCGTCAACTGTGTCCGCCTTGGACACAGAGAGTGAGTATAGTGGCTGTGTTGGGCCAGGATGTAGAAAGGAGGCTATCACGTTGCGTTCTCTTCTGTTGTCGACACTTCTGCTGCGTCCTCGAGATAGACTTGCCGGACGAGCAAGCGAGACGGCTGACTGTCTTCGCTGCAGTCGTGCCTCGGCTGCCTCTGCCTCCTTGCGATTGAGAGACTCACTAGGCAGCAGAATGGCTCGATCGAGACCATAGGGTAAACCACGATGTCGCCCACGGACCATCATCGCAATAACAACGAGCTTCCCTACGACGGAGAATTGCGAGCAAAGCGATGCGTTGATTCCCGTATACCCTAGACTCAGTCCAACAGTGCCATAAGCGCTGACAATCTCGAAAAGTACTGCAAACATGGAGAAGTCGCCAGCCATGAGTCGAGGCCCCTCGGAAATGGTCAGGATAAAGTAACCAATGAAAATATACCAAAGATCGAACGACAGTTGTCGGCGCAAATGCGCACCCACGTAGGAAAATCCAGACTCCTTACTGTCCTCGGCGTCCTGTGCAGACCCGTACAGGCCGAGTGATTTTTCCTCGTAGACGTTGGTGCGACGAACTGAAATGGCAATGGGGAAAACCGAGATGTACATCATGATCAGATACGAAGTCTGAACTGCGGGGTGAATCTCGGAAAGGTTGATCACGGAGAATCCAGCAGTTCTCGTCGATGCAGCCTGGAACCATCCATCCAAGAATCGAATGTTGAGAGGCAGATCAGCAACAGCACCGGTTCCTAGGTCGAGGATGATGAAGAATATCAGGTCGACTCCGTTGAGGACAACGAGGATGAGGAACAGCCACCAGGTAGCCGTGGATGGGAATAGTAAGGTAAAGCAGCGTCGAGGGTGGTCAAGCAAGAAGCGAAGTTCTTCCCACAAGCCTGAGCCGTGAGGTACAAAAAGGGAAGTGAACCAGATGCAAAATCGCAGCATAATAGGAAAGCCAGTATTTCCAATGATGATCAGAAACGACATGACCAGGAGCGGGAAGATTGCCGTATTGAACGAATTCATGCTGTCGGATGTCAAGGTGAAGCCAAGATCCATGAATGCCGAATTCGATGTGAAGAACGCCCACCAGGTGCGGTTTTGGCTAGCGGCGTCGACAACCGAGCCATAAGTCTCATTGTTGACCAGAATCCACGGCAGAAGGCAGATGACGCCGAATATCCAGAAACCAAAGAAATAACACGTCGTGACCACGGCGAGCGTCTTTAATGACCGGTATTCTATGCCACCAAGCTCCTCTCTCTGCTCCTCAGTCAGATCCAAAAACTCGGAATTGCGGCCAAGAGTTGGCTGCCAACTCAGATACGGCATGGGGTCTGTGTGCTTGTTATGGGATAACGCAGTCCTGATGCGCCTCAGCGGATTGTGAGACTCTTCGTTGGTGTTTGTATGGTGCATCTTTTCTCCACTGCCTCGAGGCTTGCGGAATTTGAGGGCAGACATGGTCTTAGTCGCTGCCTCGAAGTCATCCGCTATCTCGCTACGCTTGTTAGGATGCTGAGGCTCGGCAATGGTGATAGTCTTTCCGCCTTCGGGATGTGAAGAAACTCGCGTTGGCTCTGATGAGTTGCGCTGATTGCGGGTAGTTGGCACTTGCTCAATGGGGCTGATAAATTCATCGTCGTACTGGCCAGCGCCCAACTCCTCGGGAAGCACACCTCTTTCGGCGTCGCGAGGCCCGGGAATCCGCAACGTGCCATGGTCCTCATTTCGTTGTCTCTCCAGGATAGCAATGTGCTCAGCCTCAGTCCTCTTACTTGGACGCATCGTTCCATCAGCGTCCTCCTCCTCATCGCCCAGTGCATCACTCCTCCTGACCTTGTCTGAGAATTTGATGGTGGCGTCTCGAGGAGAGCCTGGCGGATCGCCTGAGTTGATATGCTCTAGGCCTGGATGATGCTGCTGCTGTGCGGTTTTCAAATCGTACTCGTCCAAAAGGAGGCCGTCATTCGTTATCCTTGATGCCTTTGCTGTATTGTGCATGACCTTGATGTTCCTGCCAGCAACACCCCTTTCAAGATCCGCAGTATTCGCTTTAGCTTTTGAGCGGGATTTGGTTATTGTTGTTCGCCTGGACCTGGCATCCTTTACGAGTCCCTGGAACCTCTTCTCGAACCAATACAAGCGAAGGAATACGACGCCCGAATTGATAGATATAGGATTGGTGACCATACAGCAGAAGAAGAGAACCGCTTGTTGGAATGTGTTGAGTAGGTTGACATCTATGGTATTGAGACCAGCCTGAGTGTTGGCGCCGCTAGCAAAGAACAGAGCATCAATGTATGCTACGTTCCCTCTTCCCGAGCCGAATATTAGGACGGAGGCAACAATGGTCAGACCGATGATGATGAAATAATGCACCGTAATGAAGTTGAAGTGCGGATTCGGTGACAAGAATGACGGCCGAAGGCCGAGAAGCCACGTGCCGGCCGTCTGGGCAAGCTCCTTTAATTTCACCGTCGCCATAATGGTGTTTTGCTTTCGACTGGAGCTATGGAAGCAAATTTCTGCCAAGAAATTCCAATTCTATCCAATACGGAGAAAAGTTGGAAGCTGACGAATTGTCAAGAGCAAGGTTTAGAAATCCGGTATGCTGCAAGGTTGTCAAGCATGATAGCAGGGATGCAATTGCGGCTTTGCCAAAGGTTAGTCGGCGTATAAATGGGAATATTGAGGTAGTTGTGAAGTTGAGAATGAATATATATAGGTTCAGAAGATATAAGTTGGCCTGCAGAGCTGTCACTGCTTATAGGGGAAGCTGCTGGGTTCAATGCAGTGCCAAGAACTTATAGAAGAAATGAAGAGACAGAGGCAGAGGCTTGGAAGATGGTCGTGTGCACAGTGGTTTCTAGGGAGGGATGCGTAGACGGCCAGCAGCCCGTCAGAGACGTGATGATGTGGGTGAGATATATGGTATGGCGATATAACAAGGGACTTTTGGGTGAGTTGAGGTTGCACTAATCGCTGGTATGCTTAAAGGGGGCGAGAAGGAACGGGCGCTGCTCTTGACAACATACGTAGGACGACCGGGTAGGAAGATAAGACAAGGGCGGCTGAGTTGACGGATGGGATGCGGAATGCATTGAATGGGACTCTCGAGGAAGCAGCTGCATCGCTGCAGAGTAGCGGCTTACCTTCTGTAACCAGAGCCGGCGGTCAAGGGAAGAGATTATGCACCTTGAGCCAGACGATTTCCCGTCTTGTCTGGCCGTGAACCACCGCCGACCAGCCAAGCAAGCTGTCTGCGTTTGCTCTTTGGTGTAGATGTCTGCAAAGGCCCAAGAATGGCGAGAATGACAGTGGCCCCCAGGGGTTCAGATATTGGTTGGTAGTAGCTGAGAGCAGCAGTAGTAGCAGCAGCTGCAAGGTCACACACACACGCACACGTCGTGCGACCGACGGGCGTTTCTTGGCCCTCAGTGGGCTCGGCGCGCGTGTGGTGGCACGTACGGGCCAAGGTAGTGGACTGACTAGTGGGGGGTGATGCGCTAGAAAGTTTGAAGACTGTTCGTCAAACAAGGTCGACGAGTCACGTCTTTGCAGTGCTCTTCTCTTTCCAGGGTGCTTTGTCTTGGCGCTGCGACTGGTTTGTGAAGCTGGCGAGGGAAAAGATGGAGAATATCTGAAGAAGCAAAGGGTGCGACAATGAAGATGAGGATATCAAAATCAATGCTGGTCCACTGACGATGATATCAATTAAAACTCGGAAAAAATGTGAAGAAGAAAAACAACAACAATCCAAGAACCGTCTCTACTCTTGGTGGGCCGGGGGGCTTTGCTTTTTTCTGGTTGGACTGGCCGCAAACGAGAAGGACGCAGAATGACAGCGGAAAGTGAGAAGAAAAGAAAAAAAAGCTTGGCAACGGGCGGGCCAAGAATGGCTGTGTGAAGAGAGAGTTTATCAAATTTGCCCAAACAATGGGCAGGCAGTTCGGTTTCTGGTTGCGTTCATTCCCCCTAGACACACCAACAACGGTGGATTATCATTTACCGTGTACACTGCGGTTGACACCCACCCACCAAAAAACGTATGCGCCTATGTAATTTCACCAGGTACGTATGTAATGCACCAGTCCAGGCATGGCAATGTGCAGTACTGCTTAGCTCCGAGCTGGCCGAATCCAGGGCCAGACAATGATCCCTCCAACTGCCCTTTAGCTCCGGGGCTTTCGGTGTTCGGGTTGCTCATCTAGGTGATGAGAGAAGAACAATACATTTAACAAGGACAGAGGTTTGTTAATAATCAGAAGCGGTGCAAGGACCAGTTGAGTGATATAGGTTAGCTGTCTCCCTTCTATGTTTTTGTTTGATGCCTCGTCTCCCGGGAGAGGATGGAATATATGGCTAAATATTTCCCCCATTTTGTTTTCTCCCTCTTTCTTCTTTAATTTGCCCTCTCGTTTGTTTATTTTTTTTTTCGTCATTCATATCAAAGGTGGAGATTTCGGGTGCCATTGCGATCAATTTCACGCTACCTTCGCTCTGGACTACTACCGAGCTCCAATCCCCATCGGTCTTGCCGCATCTGTAAGCTGTAAACACTTTCCAAGGTCAGCACATTTGATGCATGCTGCTAGAGGTACATTAGCGAGGACCTCCCCCGGGGGGTCTCCCCCAACCCGACAGACACCTTGAGCTTTTCTGGCTTGGACTATTCCACTACATCACCTCGACTACAGTGATTGAATGCCGAGGATGGATCAAGTCCCATGCATCCCTCCTACATATATGCATCTCTTTTCCCACTTTGTCATCGCCAGCAGTATCCGGACGTCTGAAACCACGCCACGTTCTTTGACAAGTCAGCAAACTCTGTTTAGCTCATTGAGAAGTCATGACAGGACAAACAGATCGCATCCATCGTCCATTATGATGATCTAACTCCATTGCGCAGAAAGGCTGAGCAAAGGATGTGTTCCAACCCATGAATGAGGCGATACAGCTGGCTCCTATATCAGACCCATGATGTCACTGTATTTCTTGCCCAGGGGATTAACATGCCACACCCAACGTAATCCATCCCTTCACGGACATGGCCCCTCCTAGCACTCATGGCATGCGCAGAAGTGATAGGCAAAATGTCGCAGCAGCAAGACGGAATATCAAATGCAACGGCATTTCGCATATGCTGCGAGACTTCCGTGTCTAACCGTCGGCGACTGGTGAAACCTCCAATGAAAGTTGCATCCCATTGCACATGGGAGAATAAATGACTACTCATATTTTCCGATATGGCGTTTGCCGGTTACACTTGGTAGAGAGAGCTGCAGGGTACAGAACAACCAATGGGGTTTTGCATATGACTGTCACACCACATCATTCATTGTCTTGCAAATACAGCACATATCGAGAGCGCTCGAGATGTCACGTCCTCTCCTGCCCTCAATACTTGGACCTGGACCGTACTTGTACATGATGTAGACAGTCTATAATAAGGGTCATCATCGTGAATTTCATTCTAGATTAGATCCATTGGGACCTTTTTATTTTGGTAATGCAGACAGACACTCCAATGTACGTGCTATAGTCAGTTCCTTGCGCCGGTCCTCGAGGTGGGATAATAAGGTGCTGTACGCCTTTTCCACCTCATTATATCATTGAGCGTTGGCCTTGTTTCTAGCAACCTCCCTGTAGTGCTTCTTGAAGAAGTCATTCTGTTTGGCGTTCTTCTTGAGCGCCTTGTTTGCACTCTTCCTCTGCTCCATATACGCCATGTCTTGTCCGCCGCTGAGTTCGCCCAGCGTGCCCGCCGTGCGTCTGACACCCTTTCTCCTACCCTTATTCGCATAAAACAAATCATCTGTGGCATCTTCGTCGTCCATACCGCGCTTCGCCTCGGTGTCGACAATCACCTTTTGTAGCAGTTCCCGGCGCATCTGTGCAGAATTGAATACGAGTCCTTCCATCTTGTCCATGCCCGCCAGTTGCGTAATGACTTTGAAAGAATAGCCTTGGTCCACGAGGAAGGCCTGTCGCTTGGTTGAATAATACATTTCAGTCGTATCTTTGGAGACGAGTGAGTAGAAGAATGCGTTGAAACCCTCGTCATTTCGGCGCTTGGCTCGAAGAATACGTCCCAGTCGCTGGGCTTCTTGACGCCGGGATCCGTAGTGCGACGAGATTTGGATCAAGCAGGTGGCCTCTGGAAGATCTAGAGATGTGTCGCCGATTTTCGACAGAAATACTGTCTTGACGTTGGGGTTGTGCATAAAGTTCTCTAGAATGTGCATACGCTCATTGTTGCCAGTGGCGCCGCAAATGTAAGCTTTGCCCAAGGCGAGTGCGACCTCTTTCAATGCGTAGACATTGTCCGAGAACACAATGATCTTGTCGCCGCGCTTCTCGTGGTAGTCAATGAGAAACTGGCAGGCCTGAATCTTTCGCGGGTTCATAATGTATAGGTTGGCTTTCAAGCCTCGGTCGTTGGTCCTCAAATACTCGTCGTAAAACTCCGTCGTCATTGGACACCAGACCTCGGCGCATTGCACCTTCGCGATATGTCCCTGTTCAGACAGCTCCATCCAATTGGCTTCATATAACTTGGGGCCAATGAGAAAGTTGAGATCCTCAATCTTGTCATCCTCACGGAGAAGCGTAGCCGTCAGTCCCAGTTTGGCGTGGCTCTTGATGTGTGATGATACTTTGCGGAAGATGTTGGCGGGGACGACGTGAACCTCATCCAAAAGCATCAAACCCCACTCGCGCCCTGTCAAGAACTCCATCATCTTTGCCGAATCGTAGGCTCGCTTGCCGGATTGAGTGACCATGGGATATGTGGTGACGATGATTCCGGTATTACCCTCGAATTTGTCCTTCTTCTCGGCAGTGAAGACTGTGATGTCCTTGGGGTGTATGTTGGACCATTTCAAGAACTCCTGACGCCATTGATGAGCAGACATGGTACTGGTACACAATACGATACACCCCTTCTTGATGGTGCAAGCAGCCGTGATACCCACGAGGGTCTTGCCAGCGCCACAAGGGAGCACAATGATACCGCTCTTTGCTCGACCGTTGCCAAACATCTTGCTGAGACTTTTCTCCTGATACGACCGGATTTGCGTGTTGGGCTTGAGATCGATCTCAAGGTTGGCGTTTCGGTCGTCGTTACGAAAATCGTACTCCTCCAGAATGGGATATTGTATGGCTAAGCAGCGCTTCTGAATGGTCTCGACCTCGGTGTCGGGTATTTCGAAGGCGTGCACAGCCTCTTGATTGTCGTCATCGTCGTCCTCACGGAGCGCCTGCATCGCATTCTCCGTCTGAGCTTGCTCGGGAGGTACATCCTCTGCCGTTTTCTGTTTGACCTGCTGCACACCAGCCGCATTTGACGTGCCAGGGATAACCACACTTGGCATGTTGGAAGTGGTGGTTGTGATGTCGGTTCCCTGGACTCGACATGGCCCGATGATCGGATCTTTGAGTAATCGTTGAAGGACCTCGGGATCATTGCTTTCGACGAAATACTTTGTGTTTTTGATAACAAGTTTGACCTTGCCATACGCGGCAGTCGAGTTGGCTATGAAATTGCGGATCGAGCTCGGGAGTTCCGTTTTGGAGAATCGATCTAATGTGGCAATGATGTCGCTAGCTTGCAGACCAACCGAGATGGCGGCGTACAGACTGTGGGTGGTGAGAGCATATTCGTGAAGGAACGTAGGGCGCGAAAGCGGCTCAGCGACTGTGATGAGAAAGTCTTTCGCTGTCTCGGCAAGAGGGCTGAAGTTCTCCAGGATTATGCGCCCTCTTTGCGGATCGATCCATATGGGTCGATCTTTGTGATCGGGCTTGAGCTGCAGGTAGGAGAAATCACGCCTTCCGTTTGTTCCGAAATGCCTACTGGCACCGTCCGTCGGACCTCTAACCGTATTATCTTGGTAGTGAGAGAGCGAAAACCGGTCGACGGCGCTCTGAATCTCTTCTTCGTTTGGCAGTTCGACCTGTCCTGGGGAATCGGCTTCGTCCTCGTCGCTATCGAGGTCTCGAGGCGTCGCTGGCCCTGGCGTCGAAGCTGCTGATACCCTGCCTGACTTTGCGACACCCAGCACGTTTGACGATGCTTTTCTCTTGGGCGGCATAGTGAAGATGCCTCGAGGTAGAGTTTGTGCTCCTGACGAGTCGAGTGATGAAACAAGTTGATTGAGGCGGATGAATGAGCAGGCTCCAGTGGCTTTGGCAAGTTAGGTAATGTAGCAGTGGGGCTCGGCTTTAGTCGACATGCAGCAAGCTGACCAATCGGTAGACTACCATTAGAATATGCAAGCTAATGAAGGGGCCCCATTTATAATATTCCCAGATGTACCGAAGAACCACTTCGTACTTTGAGCCCCGTAACGAACGACCAATGGTAAGAATGTCAACTCAAGAGATATCCCTACATGTGCCTTTCACGATTATAGTTCTTCGTTTATGAGCTGCCGCGATCATCAGTTCTCATATTGGATTCATTCGTCTCGAAAATTCAAGTTCCGTTCCACCAATTGATCAAAGATAGTTATCGTCCGCTCCATTAACAATTTGGAGTTGCCGTCACCAGTCTCATAGACTAGGCCAACATAATTCTTCGATATCACGCTTCACGAATTGACCTTGCAAAATTTGGCCAGAGGGGTGGGGAAAGGGTTCCGAAGAAACTTTGCATGACAAAGCATGATGGTTTGTGCCGCACGATGACGAGGCTCTACAATCCTCTCTAAGGGTATCTATCACATCTGCACCGTACCAGCAAAGCTCTAAAGCAGTCGCACAGTCTGACTCCTATGCTCACACTCCACCCTTGTCTTCCCCTCTTCTCTCGACAGAGTATGCTTCCTCTGAGCCTCTCTGATCCTTCATCAGAGTATCTCAATCTGCGGTCACTTCCCAATATCTCCACAGCATTCTGAGCATGTTCATAAAGGGAGGCAATCTGAATGATGTTCAGGGCCTAAACTCACAGACCAACTGCTGATATGGCATACTGCCACATTCCTTCATAATGACAACTTCTTCACTCTCGTTTAGACAGCCCTGGACCAACAGTCTCCCACGGTCTTCAGCAAAACTATGATATGGGTGACGCCAATCTGATTGGTTTAGGCGATGCTTCGTCGCTCGATGGCTTCTAGCCCTGGAGTTCGCGGAGCACCATCGTGGCATATGCGCTCGAGCCAAGAGAGAACTTCAGAACAACGGCGATCTTTTGATCCTCTACTGGAAGCAGAGTCTTGTCTTGCTGCCCTGGGCTCTGCGCGCTCTCAACCCTTGACGGCTTTCCAACATGACTTGCCAAAGGAGCGTCAGCCATAGGGGTGTCTATAGGAGCTGACTGCGGAACACCCTCAGCGGCCGGCTTGTCAGATGGCTCACATTCCGATTCGACCTTGGTGACAGCTGACTGTCCGGGTTGTTGAGTATCCTGGGGTGTCTTGCGGTTGGTTTTGTCAGTATTGAAAAATCGAAAAAGATTGCCGATGGTTGCGTCGTAGAGCTGCAAAAGAACTTTCTTGAAGCGCGCCACCCAGGTCGACTCAACGTTAACAATATTTGGCGTACTAACCTCCAATGTGGATAGATCCTTGACATCATCATGTTGGTTCGATGCTTCAACCTGTGCCGTACTACCAATCTGAGCTTCAATCATGTCAGTACTAGTATCGACTTTTACCCTCTTGTTGCTTCCATCAGTGGAAGTCTGAACCCAGGTGTCGTTCAGGCGGGATCCTGACTGGTTAGCCTCCATGTCTTCGGCCTTGCGTCTCTGCGCAGCTGCAAGTTTGACCTTGGCTTCGTTGCGCTCGTCTTCTCCAACGTTTTGTGCAAATGATTTCCAGCCTGCCGATGAGTTTCCTTGGCCATCTACTGCAGCTTCGGCACGTGCCGCGGCCTGTCGAGCCTTGATGAGGTCAAGATCTGTCGGAACTAGTTGATCATGGTCATGGCCGTAGCTATGGACGCTACCCGACGGCGAACCAATGAATCCACCCATGAACTTGCGGTAGTCTCCTGTCAGGCTAAACGCCTTTTGTACGCGATGCATGTTTTGAGGGTCAAGGCCGCCATTCTCCTCCCTACCCATGAATTCCTTGTAGAAATCTCCAATCTCATTGTCGGGATAGATCACATCTGTGCCAGGGATAGACAGCACAACGTCCTGTATGGAATAGCGCCCGCTTGCAACGTCCTCAGCAGTGAGTACGCGGACATTCGGTTTCGAGCCATCGTCACTTTGGGCAGCTTCTGCCAGATGAATGTTTTCCTCATCAAGATCCTCCTTGGCAGGAGCCTTCTGAGTGTCATCTGCCAAGGCGAATACAAGGTCTCCCTTGACCACGTTTTTGCCGAACAGTTCCCAGCGCTTACTTGCGGCAAAGTTCCAGACAAGGGACTGGTAAGCGTGCAGATACATATTGCGCATGTTCCTGGTGATAGCAAGAACTGCCCCGTGGTAGTCGGTGGGCTGCTTGCTCAGGTGTTTGAGGATCGCAAACTCGGTATTGCATCTTCTCGGAAGAGCCTTGGCGGCTGCATCAGCATCGTTACCGTCTTTGTATTTGGCCAAGGCTTTGGCACGATACATGTCGGTCAGGCGGTTGTTGTCATCTTGCAGGGTGTTCGGGTCCATGGTTGCCAGCTCAGAGTCGTAGGAAAGCAAGTCGTGGATGACACCTTTCAAGTCTCCCTGCAGAATCTTCATGCCAATGGTCTGTGTGCCAATCTCGTAGGTTCCGAAGCGTTGGGTACCAAAGTAGTTGATGAAGCCGTGCTGGCTGATATCTGCAAGCGCCCGGTCAAGAGTGGACTGGGCGATCTCGAGCCGACGATCGAGGGATTCATTCTCAGCGCCCTGGAAGGTGCAATCCTTCAAGACAATAGTGAACTCGTTACCGTTGTGGCAGCCAAGATACAAATCCTTGTCTGAGAACTTGAAGTCGCCGATTGCGAGGCCTCGTAACTTGGCATTGGCGGAAATGACCTTTTTGGGATCACGACCGCGAATGCTCACGCGTTGAACAGTGACCGCACGACGATCTTTTGTTCCTGCCGTGCTGAAGAAGTTTGGCCTCATGCCTAAAGCTGTGGCGAGAATGTTGATCGCTTCCATTGTATCCTTGTTCTCTTTGTAGAGGGAGAAATGCAAAAATTTGCCAATCTTGACTTGATTGGCCTGATTGTTGCGATTGCGGTTATCTGCGCGAGTTCCCCATCGTGACTTACGCGGCGGCTGTGCTCTTGCCACAATGATGCCGTCGTGGTTGGTCTCTGTCTCGATCTTGGACGAGAAAATACGGCGGATTTCCTAAGGTGCGATTTAGCCATGAATAGAACCAAGTATTGCTTTTTTTAAAACTCACTGCATGCAAAGGGCCCCGGACTGATCTCTCAATCTGAGGAAACTTGACGAGGCCATGAGTTTGAGGTCTGGCCTCGGGATCAGCGAGCACCTTTTTGAAAAGGGCTACCAGCTCTTCAGTTACATCTGAGCCCAGAGATTCCTTCAGCTTTTCAAGATCGGAAGCAGCAATCTCTCCATCAGCAGTGTCTGTCTTCTCAGGAGCACCTTCTGTGGCCTTGGCGGCAGACTCGGTCGCCTGGTCTTTGAGAGTGGTGCTATCTTCACCGCTGTTTTGTGTAGGTTGACCGTCCTGAGACTCTGTTGAAGTAGCAGCACCATTTTCTTTGGGCTTTGCTGTACCTGGAGCCTGTCCAGATGAAGCAGCTTCTCCGTTCTTTCTTGCTTCCTATACTCGCTATTAGTAACCGTACAGATTCTTCACCCCTTTGGAAATGATACAACATACAGCTCTCTCGTAGTCACGGGCATTGGTGAAATAGTCCTTCAAGTGAACCACTTCCCCAGCCTCGCTGATCTCGTGAACCTGGAAGTCGGTGAATCTGTACAAACTTAGCTTCACATCGCACAAGAACATTTGGCAACTTCTCACCTCTTTCGAAGGACACCTGTCCAGCCTTGGTCCTTTGGGGAAACAAAGTGCAGAATGCCAACTTTGCGTTCCAGTGAGCCGCGAAGCTCAGGGTCGTTGCCCTGAGTCATGGCGGTATGTGTCGCCATCTTGATGGAAAATTATGCCAAGGCGTCTCGTGGGTGTAGAGACAAGCTTTGGAGGATTACAAGTCTGAACAGAAAGTTGAGTCCAATGTTGTGTGTGGTGTTTGCAGTGGTGGGGTGAAATTGGAAGCCCGTTTGACTTGAGACGCCGCGACTGTAAGAAGAATTAAAATGAAGTGTCCGTGACTCCAGCCTCAATGGATGAATATCTCTTCGAGTTGCTGGAAAAGAGGAAGAAGATGGAAACGAAGGCTATCCTCCCACTTTCACCGGCTCCAACCGTCAACTGGGAAACAGCGCGGCGAAATTTGGTCCTTAGACGTTGTGTTGTATCAAATTGAAGCTGGTGGATGAAGGAAAGTTCTGATGCGTTTAGCGCTAGTGTTTGCAACTATGGATGGGATTTGTGGCGGCTAGGTACAAAGTAGCCAGCCGCTAGTCAAGCCGTGCGGCCACCAAACGGCGGGCGCTAAAACACCCGACTGGCCGGGAGGCGACTGCCTAGCATCGATTAATAAATCTTGACCACATACGTAAATTGTTACTCGAATGTATAATCTGTCCATTTACTCGTGTCCTATCGGTAGAACGGCGATAGTAGCGTCGTAATCCCTAATGCATCATTGGCGAATACATGTGCGCAGAAAGCATCTTCTGTAGTCAACATAAATCTATTAAACCTCGCCGCTCTACGGGCTTCCCGGGTGGCATGTTCATGGCTATCCTCATCATCGACAAAGATGGGATTGCATCTCTCGAGCATCCGCCATATTCTGCACTCTGCCCATGCAAATGTACCTTTGCTGATGAATGCCCCTTTCCTGCTGGATAGTCTATCTGCCCCAGCATACATTTATCTTGCAAATTGATTGGAAAAAAAATGATGACCTATGCTGTTATCAATGGTATCTTGAAGCTATCTAGAATAACACACATTATGATGTAACATCCAGACTCCCGCCATGAAGAGTCTCCTCTTTGACTGTATATGAAACAAAAATGCTGTTCCGAACTTGTATCCAAAACACCATGCTGGAGACCAATTCGTCGCTATCTGTCGTGAAACATGCATCATATCCAAAAGGTCGCTTGCTTTCCATGTTATACAAAATCCATCGTGAAGACTTCACCGTTCATACGCTGAACATCTGGCGCCATGCTTGTATCGTCGACTAGTTATACGTTCCACGGATCTTGGCATAAAGATCCGTATCAAAGAAATTGTAGTCCTCCTGTAACTCGCAGAACTCATGCTGCATGAGAAGACGCTCTGCTGTGGGTCGCTCTCCGGGATCGCTGTTGCTCAGGTTAGTCAGGTTTGAAAGCATCAAGAACATGGCAAAGACTTACACCGTGAAACAATCCAACATGAAGCCCAGTGCGTAAGGGCTGATAGCTTCGCGCACCTCGTCGGCAATCGGCGGTGTCTCTCCGTTTGCGATTTTGTAAATGGCACCAACTGCCTCTTCCCTACTCCATGGTCGACGGCCTGCAAACATCTCAAGGACGACACAACCAAGGGACCATATGTCAACCTTGGCGCTGTAACCTTCGCCTTGGGACCGGATCACTTCGGGGGCCATCCAGAACACAGAACCCTGCATGCTGTTTGTTTTGTCGTTGCCGTAAATGTCATCCGTCTTCTTGGAGATGCCAAAATCAGAAATCTTGCATGTACCGTCCAAGTCGAGCAAGATATTGTCGGCCTTTAGATCTCTGTGCAGAATACCCTCCCGGTGAAGATACGCCAGACCGGAGAGAGCTTGGCGTGTGAGAGAACTAACGACTGGTTCTTCAAACTTGCCGTGCTTACGCAAGCAAGAACCAATGGAACCACCAGAAATATACTCCAAGAAGATGCTGATGCTGGTCTCCTTTCTTTCGCAACCAAGGTATTGCACAATGTTCACATGATCGAGATATTGCATGGTCTCGATCTCCGTGTTGAGGGCGGCAACGAGCTCGCGCATTTTGTTGCTATCGCCAGCGGCGGCTCTTGGATTGACCTCAACTTCCTTGACGGCCAAGAATTCTCCCGTGGTGGCATTCATACCCAGATAGACGCGGCCGTACGTTCCTTTGCCGATTAGCTCACCCTTGAACCACCGGAAGGTAGTCTGCCGTTTGGGAAGAGTATCTTGGGGAATCTGTGGCATAATGTCAATCATTGACCCGCGCTCAGGGCGAATTTGCACAACGTTTGCACCAAACATCTTGGTGCTCTTGCGACGTTGGATTGCAGAGCTCGCGCCTCCCATACCAGACGCAGTCGAGGCAGTAGTGTACCGCTTATTAGCTTCATGTGCACCGCGAGCAACTTCACGAATAGACTTCATACGTCCAAGTCCCCCCGAGCGCCTGCCCACATTGCGTTGCGCAACAGATGCAATTGAGACAGGTCTTTGCTCCAGAGCTTTGAGCGTTGACTCATCTGATCCAAGCGTGTCATTATCGCTGTAGACTGATGACCGCGCCGTCTCAGTCCCGTGCAACGGGAGTTGCAAGGACTCGTTGCTAGCTGCCCTGGAGGCTTCCACGCCTTGATTTGGGGTATTGACAAATGCTGGCGAGCGAGGCGAAGGAACGTCTTGCAGTGATGCCTCATCTAGTACAGGTTCATCAAGATCAACTTCAGGGAAGAAGGCATCAAGGTTTTCAAGCAAAGCCTCTGCAGGGGGGCGGTTGGCCCAGACGTCCCGCTCAATAAAAGATTTGCGCCGTCCGAGTTTACCGTCGTCGGATTCCCTTGAATCCGACTGGGGAGTTGCTGGAGTCCGACGCTGGAAACTCTTTGCACTCCTCATACTGCCATCATCCTCCTCCAGGTCCGGTATCCTGGGACCGGGAGAGCCGAATGAAACAGATACTTGTTTCTTGGATCGCGTTGTGTTGAGCGTCAAACTTGGTTTCTAGATTCAGGTCAGCATGTCTTACTCGAGTACTGCATTCCACCGGGGTTTCGTACCTTGGTAGAAGGCTGCCGACCTCTGACGGGGACAGCAAACAAACCATCATCCGAATCATCGCCCGAAGAGTCGTCCTTCTGCGCGACAGAAGTTGTCGGTTGGGCAAATTGCACGTCCGTCTCAGTGAAGTCCACATCAGGTCCATGGGATTTGCGACGTTGAGGTTCTGGCCTGACGTCGTTGCTGGACGGGTGCGCCGAGTTGGGGCTAAGGTCTCCGGGTGATGGCGCTCGTTGTGCTGCATCACGCACTTTAGCAAGGGGTCCATATTCAGGTTTGGATTTGTTTCCATTCACAGGCGTGCCGCCGGGCGAGTAGTCCGGAACGGTAAATGCAAGGTCTCCACGGCTCCATGTGAGAGTCCCGGGGGACCCAGATCGCGGACTACTGCGACCCGAAGCAGTCTGGTCAAAGTCAACCGTTGCCATGGCTCGCTTACCTCGTACTTCATCATATGCAGCTCCTGCTGAGGCTCCGGATATATTCCTGGCTGGCGATACAGGTTTCTGGTGCCGGTTATTTTGTGTGGGCCGACCAAAGTGGCTGAGCGCGCTGCCCATGCCAACCAAAGCGCCTAGGGCTGAGGTTTGGGGTTCTCTTGTGGCAGTGGCGGGCCGCCGCTGTGACATTTCTTGAGAGGTGTCATTTGTTGATGTAGTCGGCCTTCTGGGGCTGGGGTACCCATCAAAACTGCTCTGGGATTGCCGCATCTGATGCCCGCTCTTCTTACTCAATGAATTGGCCTTGATGAGCGTGGCAGTCTCGACGCCTGGGGGTGCCGGGGCGCGACGTTGTGGGAAGAGATTATCGGGCTTCTTTTCCTCATATGGCGAGTTACGAGGCTGATCAAAGTCGACGTTTCTGCCCACAATACCGAATTGAGAGCTGTTCTCCTGCGGCGATGACTTTTCGAGCGCCTGCTTTCTCCTGGCCAAGTAGGCAGCTTGCTGCTTTTCAACACCCAACTTGTAGTCGTTGGCTCTTTGTGCCAATTCATTGGGATCTGGCCCGTTCCCACTTACTGTGTCGACACGGGAGGCCGGCGGCGACGAACTAGAGCGTTCCCGCTGCCCGTCAAGACGTGCATACGCTTCATCGTCCATGGAGTTTGCTGGTAGTGCATATCCCGGGGTTAGTGACTCGGGAATCGAATTGTGTATTGCTGGATTATGAATCTTCACGAAGAATTTCAACGTGCCAGTGGCGTCTGCCTTGTTCCTCTTATGGATCATCAGGCTCTGGTCCTCAAGAGCTTCGTCATGAGTTGTTCGCCCCAGCTCCGTGAGGAACAACAGCGCTGTCTTTGGGTCCGAGACTCCCATATTCATACAGATGCAGACTCGTAAGTCTGCTGCAGTCTGGCAATCCGTCACATCGCACATGCGATAGTTCCATCCATCCAAGGTCGTGAGCACAAAGACGCGGGGGGCGTTTGGGTTTCTGCGAAAGGCTGGAGCACTATCCAACGACGACGCATCCAGTTCGGCACCTGCCGAACGGTTGCCAAAAAGGGATGCCTTGGAAAGATGTGGGCTCGTTTGTGCATCACCCTCCTCAGGAGAGGCAGCAGCGCCGTCCTCCTTCTTTTTCCGCTTCTGGAAGAAGCTGAGAAAGCTCTTGTTGTCTTTAGCAGAGCCCGGCGGGTCGGGACCTGCTGATCGATCGCTTGCCTCCAGTGGGGACTGTCCAGAATTGTCCTTGTTTCGGTTAGCGTTCAACATTTCGCCTATGCCACTCATACCATTGCGCAACAGCTGGCTGGCCTCTGCGGGTACACCAGAACCGTATATTGCGGCGTTCGAGGATACAGAGCTGGTACTGTCCCTTGAACGATGGCCAAAGCGGCCAGATGGCGATGAGGCTGACAAGTTCCCGGCTGATTGCGGGAACAAGCCAGAATTTGGCTTTGGGCTGCCCGAAGGACTGTCGCCACGGAATGCACTGCGATAATTGCCATCTGCATCGTTCCCAACAGGACTATGTCTCCGACTACTCTCAATATCGAGACCCTTGAGAATGGTCCTGTGATTAGCGTCGGAGCTCATTGTGTTCCCGCTCAGTGTTGGCATGGTGGTGGACCTCGTCTGCGAGAACCGCCTTCCAGAGAAGCCAGGCCCTGGAGCTTTGATAGGTGTATTGGGCGACTCCACGTCTGTCCCAGCTCCTTGGCTGTTTGGCGGGGCCCCTCCGGAGCCTTTTGCATGATTATTCGCATCTCGACCCGAAGACGTATTCGCACTCGCAGTATATGTAATGGTGCGTATCAATCGGCGCATGCGCTTTCCTTCCTCTCTCTCACGAGACGAATCCCATTTTGTCCCGTTCTTTGTGCATTCTTGAGCCAGCGTTGGGTAGACCTGTTGGTGCATCAAACCAAAGTTACCACGACCGCCACGGGCACTGCCCAGCTCGAGAAATTGCGCTCCGTGTAGATTCAGCCGTTTAAATGTGTCCTGCCAGTCCTTTGAGAATTGGTTAGTGGCCAACCACAGTAAGACATTATCCAAGGGCCATTTTGCGGCCAATTCCGGAGAGACTCCAGATGCGGAGCTTGCAGCATTCGAGGCAGTAGATGCCATTCTATTGGCCATACTGTTTGCGTATAATCTATTTTGGCTGTCATCAGCTGCCATTGTTTTTGCAGCATCGCCAACCCCGATTTGTCCTGCAGCAGACCAGGACACCTGGGCTGCTGGCGCGAACGTGGCAGGCAATTCGTCAAAGCCGAATGCAGGTATACCCACGCCCTCTCCGTACGTATCGCCTTGGGGAATATACGTTGCTGACATGGACATGTTGGGTGGATCGGAAGGAGGCGGAGGTGGTATTGACATGGTACCGCCAAGATTACCCATTGATAACTGCTGGTGAAGTTTTGGATCGTACGCTCTGTGCAGACCATTGGGAGGCGGCCCTGGCATTGACAAGCCGGGCCTCGTGTCGTAGGGACGACCCCAGCTGCCTTGCCATTGCGTTTGCGAGTTCATTGCCGCGTTGGGGGGAGGACCGGACGGAGGGCCAGGAAGCTGCATTCCCACAGTGCCAGATGGCGCGCTTGGGTATCGAGGTGGGGGAGGAGGTATGGATGGCATAGACAGCATCTGGGGCGGCGACATTGTCGGCGGCGGCGGCGGCGGCGGCACGCCATAGGGCCGCGAGTTGTTATTCTGTTGATTCGAATACATGATGGGCTGCGGATTCTGCGCAAGGGTTGCCGTGGATGCGCGCGGGCGCAGGCTCGGAACGCTGGACGCAAAATTGGCAGCCAGGTAGGGTGGCGGATCGGTGCTTGGTGGACTCGGGTATGGAGATGAGGCTGTCAGGGAGGCGGTATTCTGGGCGGCGGTATTATTCGTTTCATTGATGAGACCGTCCAGCGTATTGATATTGTCCTGGAGTCGCTGCCGTAGATTGGTTTGGTATCGAGGGGATCCTTCGCTAATGCTCTCCGACCTACTCAACGCCGTTGGATTGCGCGAGGTGGTCATGGCCTGGGCTCGCGAGTGAGTAAGAATTTAAGTCATGGCCAGACGTCGAATGAACCTTGCCGTGTGTCGGCAGGCGTGAGCGAGTGTGTGCTCCGCAAGAGGGGAGGTATATATGGAGTTGAGACGAGAGTCCAAGAGAGGAGCTTGTCGAGTTTGTTATCTCAGCTCTAGAGTCTAGACACTACCGTTTAGCGCAGTCGGTTGAACTGGGCGAGGGACGGCGGCGGCGGAACGAGACGAGATGAGACGAAAGTGCAGCACTCTTCTCGATCCTAGCAAGTTGGGAAAGAAAAAAAAAAAAGACCGAGTCTCAAATTCCCATGGGGTTTATGAGGATCGTAGGTAGGTGGTACCAAGCGTAGTACTTTGCATGTATGAACGGAGTAAAGCAGGTAGTGTGCGCGGGTGGATGGGGACTCTCGGAAGGGACAAGAGCTACGAGCGTAGTCCTTGCACTCGTGGTCGTTCGTGTTGCTAGGTCTGATCGGGAATGGGGGGGAAGCTGTGGATTAGACAGTAAAGTGGGCATCGAGCCCAAGGTGGAGTTGTTTCGTCTTTGTCCTAGGCTTGGCGCTTTCCTCTGATTGCTCTGTGGGCCTTGGGCAGTTTCCTTGCATTGACCAGGGTCGTGCCCAGAGACCCTGGTTCGTCTGGCCGGCGGCTACGCGCTTAAACTCGCTGCTCTTCCTACATTAGCGTAACCGAGAGTCGACATGCGCTACGGAATGCTTAGGTAGCAGGCAAGGGCAGTAATAAGTATGTAGGTTTTTAGGGAATCAATAACGGGGCCAGTAAAATATGTACCTTGTGGTGTACGTCTGTACATTACAGACCTGAACCCCCCATCTAGTAGTTACGGATAACATAGGTAGTACGTAGTAGATACCTACTTGCGTGGGCTGGTAAGAAACATTATATATCTTTATTGTACCTGAGGAGAACACTTTATTTTCCTAGGTAGGTAGGTAGTGTACGGGTCTTACGGATCTTGACCCGGACACTTACATATGTAGTGCAATCGGCACGAGGCGCTGCAGAAGACTTGGGCTGCAATGCAATATCTGCTGACGTTGCAACTTAAAAATGTATGGGTACTAGGTATATAAAGCACGCACTTAAAAACGATTTCCAGATCATGACGGCCCAGGGACCTGGGTAACATCCAAATTATGAATCGGGGAGGGGCGGAACCCCCTCCTTTCGCCCCAAGTGTCGTCTTGGCGATTCGAGGCCCTCTGTCAACATTGACAAGCTACTGTGGTAGCAAACTAACGTGTATATTGTGTAGTAATTGACGTCCACTACTATGAACATCCGTTGCACAGCATTCGGGAATGCTAGACTACCACCCACCCCTGGCACACTTCATTTTCGTCCGACATTACGAGACCACTGCAGCTGTGCCGGGCCAATATTGCAGAACATATATGCTTGGCAAATCAGAAACGCCAAGGCAATGTCTGACTTTCGAGCCCCTCCCCCTCCTCTTGAGGTTTTGAAAACTGCGATGGAGCGTAATACAACAAATGCCACGTGACCGAGCCGCCAGGCAGTTTCGTTATTTAAATATTGACGGTAAATCTGGAATGTAACATCGATATAAGTGAGAAAGCTACCTAGGTATCTACACAGGGTATCCAGCTCAGACCCCAGTGCTATATACTAGACACGACCTGGACAATCACTCCATTCTATGATTCAGTTGGTACCTAGTAGGTATTTACCTAGGTAATTACTACCTATAAAGTGCTACCAGTGACTACTCGATGGGGCCTATGCAATCCAACATGTCACCGTCAGGAATGCTCGAGCCGCATTCGGTCATTGACAGCCTATCCGAATAACTCGACTTCTTTTGAATTCAGCATTGCGCAGCAACCATGCCATTGTCAATTCAATGCACTTCAAGTCTCAATTTAAGCTACGGATATTGGAGCAACTGCTGGCACAGACTAGAAAAGAGTTATTACCAGTTCCAAGAACGTTCCTTTACAACTCAGACAAGTTTACGGCAGCCATGGCTCAGCAAAATCTTGTAATCACTGTCAATTTATTGCAGTGGACGCACGTTGTTGAAAACTCGAGCCAACAGGGCTGCATTTAATACCCACCATGCAATGCAGGAAACTTTCCACAGTGTACCATAGACTCTAGAGCATCCAAATAATTTCGCGTTTAATGTGTTCCATGATATTATCTCAAGATATGCGAGCCCTCTGTGCTTGGAGGACGATTTACAACCGGTTGCGTCAAGTCATTGTCCGTCTTGGACAAGGAAGTCAAGACACCAAACTCGGACTGCCACTTTCTTTATTCGATCATTGAAAGAATTTTTTCGAGGGGAGAGACTCAATACTCATGAACATTTCGGAAAATATCATCCCAAACTTTTGCGCCTGATCTAGGCTATCCGGAGTCTTAGCGAATTTTGTGACTTACGATAATCATGGCCGGTCATCCAAACTCGCCCTGGGCTGAGCGCTTTGCGCCCTATCGCATACCTATAGACATATGGGGCGGCGTCCAACATTCTGGACTTGCGCAAGCCCACCCACCGTTGGATCCGGCACATTACTTTGACGTATGGGGAGCCAACATACCGACCATGTACACCCACATTAACAAGCCACCTTTAAACGAGCTGGACAGGATTTTCCACTACGAAAGGTTGCAGCAGCTCATCATGAGAGGCATCAAGACTCGCCAGTTGGGCGTGCTCAACACCAGAACTTTTCTCGGGCGCAGCGGTCATACCTACGAGGATGATTACCTTGGAGGTACCACCTTTCAAATCAATGAGAATAAATGGCTAGTATGCTTCAGACGACACAGATGGTACGCCCCACAAACTTTCAGGGGTTTGTCACCATCGCGCCCGTCAATCATGAACACAGACGATGACAGAGTCTGGAGGCATTTATCATACCCACTCGAGCTGCTTCATAGGATCCTAAGGTTGATGATGAGAGAGCAGCACAGTCTGTGAGATAGTCCCAGCTTCAACCAAGAACCAAAGTACCTCTCAATCACTGACCACTCCTCTTCTGTCTGATAGCCTAGACGCAGTATTGTTCGCACCAATAGATATTGAAGAACCGCCTGCAGACGGTAGTAATGGACCTGTAAGAGCTTTTATTGCGTTACTCTAACTTTTGGCACATGCAGATTTCCATGGATATACTCAAAAAGAGTTCCTGGTCCCTCATTTGTCCCTTTTTAGAAAATAACTAAAACATGTTACTGCAGTGGGTCAGACGAGCCATGGCGCCCAATGAGCCTGTACCGGAGATCAATGGCCAACCCTGCAGACTGTTCATCCGCGAGCGCCCTTTGGAACAACGCGCCTCGACTGGTGAGATGGCGGCGCAGATAATGGCGGCGGTAGATGATGTGGTCTGTAGTTTCCTTACCGAAGAGGATGCGCGGCAACAAACCGAGTCAGATGGCATGTCAACAAAATTCCCAGGCCAAGATCCGACATTACCGTCCACCAAGATGATAATGCTTGCCCAGGGCCATATTCGAGCGATGGTGGAGGATCGAGCTACCCATGCAGAAACATGCAGTAAGCAATTTCTTGCGCTCATTTTCTCCTCGTCTTGGTAGTTTCATGAGCCAAGTATTTCCCTTTGTGGTGCCAGAATGCACCAGTCTGAGGTGAAAATGCTCAGAAGAGCTACTGTACACCCCTATATCGATGTGAGAAGGATATCGCTAATATCTGTCTTCAAAGTTAATTATTTGGCTACTGTTGAGGTGGTGCGTATACATTGACTTTTCCCTTTCCCCCTTTTACTGTCTCCTGGGATGATCGATGCATTCAATGTACTTTATTTCAGCAAGCTGACCCATGTTTACAGTTATTCCATGAATTCATGGTAAGAGAGATACAGAAACTATTGTCAGGCGAGTCTAACTTCCCTACAGCATGTACTTTGGTTCAAAAGAACCGAGCAGCGTAATTCGGACGTATTGCACCGTGAACCTGTAAGTTCGATTAGCATTGCTAGAATGAAGAAGGCTTCAACTCACCTGTATAGTTTATCAACGATGACCCGAACTGCGAGCTGGGGCACGCGTCTTCAGCAAGGTTGTGGGGAGGGGTGCTCAGGGCTAATTATGGATCGAAAACTCAAGCCGATGGCGCCCATCACGGCCTCCCTCTATGTCTGTCCCTCATAGAATGGAAGGACAAGTATGAGATCTATTCATACGCCCTGAAAGACCCACTAGTAGTTCTCCCACATGTGAATTTGGAATACCAAGAGGGTGACCAAGAGGTCACATGGTTTATCCCAGCACTTTGGGTGACCTGGGTGCTAACTGACGAGTTTGTGAGTAAATTTGCAGATTGCTTCACCACCAAGTTTTGTGTATTCTCAATTGGGACAGCTTCCTGTTAAAACACCCCAAACACAAGAAAGTTCGAAGTGTTTACATTTTTTATGCCTCCCAATACTACGCACACTCTTCAGTTTCTCACTTGTTCTGACTTGATATCGGTCCAGTGGAGGCAAGTCATTCCTATCCACGGAAGCAGAGCCCTCAGACCCCCAAAGACTATCGGTGCCATGGCTGAGTATCGGAGGGGAGCATATCGAATCTACCGAATTCGTGAATTGGAGCCTAAATACGAAATTCCAGAGCTCCATGGTCCCCTAATGAAGCTGAACAAACTCATGGGAGAGCGAGAAACTCACAACGCCAAAATTCGACCATGGTACGCAGTAGAGTATGCAAAGTGGCAGTTGACGCCGTGGAGCTGGACCTCTGCCCGGCAGTCGATACAAGAGTTCTCGATATCGCATGCCAAACAAGACTTCAGAAGTGCTTTCCAGGCCGCAAGTCAGTTGATGCACATGGCGTTGACGGCCCAGGACAACCCCCCACGCGGCGATGGAAAGGGAACAGAACCGTGGACTCACTGGCCTACAGCGTGGATATTCGTATACCTTGCGTCCACAATGTACGCAGCTCTGCCTGACATATCAGTGCCTGAATTTCACCAGGCGAGCCCGGGTAAGTGGTTTACACCAACCTTAGCAGCCCAAGCCGCACATCCAGGTGGAAGCGTCCCTCAAGAGCGACATCAGCCAGTAATGGGAGCAATCTTCACGAGAAGTTTGAGGCTTATGTACACGCCACCGGCTAGCAACCTTGTTGATCCTGGTGAAGAAAATTGGGTAGAAAGGTCCAAAGAAAGTGCCAGGTCATTTGGGCTTACTCAACAGATTGCCTTTCCTGCTGTGTGGGCAGATGCCATAAACGACAATTTCAAGGCTGTTGAAGCTTTTCGCCAAAATCCTCTCAAGGACAAGCACTTTGCACCATGGAACTTTACAATACCACAGTACCAAGGATTCAGTTTGTGGTCAGTGCTCAACAAAGACGGCACAATAGACCCATACAAGGGTGGCAACATGACCGAAATCCTTGAAGGCTTCTACCCCAGTCCTCGAATATACACTGTGCAGCATCCAAACGATAGAACTCAAGGATCAAAGCCAGCGCAGCTTAACCCAATGGCTACCGCGTTTGCCTCAGGAGGACCGTCCAACGCACTTAGGTCGCGCAAGAAATCGCCATTCTTGAAGCACAAATATTACACTATTGCTGAGGTGGCTGATAATGGATGGATCGTTGATCCAAATCCAAAAGATGGTACAACTGATGTTTTTGATATCGAAGGTAGATCATTACAAATCCAAATTCGCAAGCAGGAACACTAATAGTATATAATAGCACTGTTGGATGTGCTCGACGATGAGACACTGCAGGTCGACGATTTGACCAAATGCGGTCCACTGGGTCGTCAGTTAAGCTCAAGTCAAGACGAGATCAGAGCCGCGCTTCGAGACTCACGAACACGGTTTAGAGTTGGGAAGCTCTTGCCAAAATACCGATTTGCTGAAGTTTATGAAAATGACGGCCAAGATGATGCGCCGTCATGGATTGCTCATGATGATCGGGTTTACGATGTGACAGGTAAGTTCACTGTTTCCCCGCGCTCTCGTAGGGATATAAACTCGCTAACCAAAACATCACCTACACAGAATATCAAAATCGGAACGAGAAGTACTCATTGTGGCTATCACGCTGCGCTGGAGGCGCATTCTTTGCGTCCACTGAAGACGAACACGACTGCTTTGCGGAAGTCATGGCGAGTATCCAAAAATATCAGATTGGCTGGATCCTGGACGAGGAGCCCAAAGCCGAACCAGCTCCTGGGAGATCCCTCCGTCTGCTAACTGAGTCGATGCTCCGAAGTCATGACAATCCGACAGAGGGTGTTTATACCGTCATTGGCGACAACGTGTATGATTTGACAAAGTATATCGACAATCACCCTGGTGGTGCACTCGCTATCCAGGCAGTTGCTGGGAGTGATGGAACCAAGGCATTTTTAGATAACCATGATGCGGATTTGATTGATCAACCAGAGTTTGCCGCGCTCAAGATTGGTCGACTTATCAAAGAGCGGGACCCGGGTGTTGTAGATGAGGATGAAATCGTGCTTCACGACTCGATTTTCAACATCTCAGGTAAGTGACCAATCACTCGGTCATTTGAAGTAATGGCACATGATTTTCGGTGGCTGAACTCTCAAAGGTCTGTATAAACATGACCGCGATCTCCATAGACGTCTGATGAAGTGGTACGGCACCGATGCAACCCACATCCTCACGAATGATGAAGGGGAAGATTCCAAACTCAGGAATGATCTCACATTGCTTTTCCTCAGTCGAAAAGATTGGATCGTGGCCAAGATTCGTACAGAGAAATATGTGCGCGGAGTTACTTCCTGGGATGTCAAGAAGCACGATGAGAGCCACCCTGAAGCAATCTGGGCTGTGGTTGACAAGGATGTTTTCGATGTAACTCGTAGGTTCCATCCTCTTCTCATCATGTCCGGTACTGCATGAATTTGTATCTTCTGTTTGCTAAACACAACAATCCACAGCGCTTGTTCGTCATCCAGACTACTATTCCGGGGCGCGCGACCTCACCGCGGTCGACGCTGGCAGGGTCATTACCTCGAGCAAAACCGCCACGTGGCTGCACAAGTATCATAGCCATCGCATCGTTGCCAAGCTCGTCGAGCAACGACACGACTCCGTGTCGACAATCCATCTCGACGAGGACGGGCCTGACCACGAGGACCAGGATGAAAGGACCGACAACAGGCCAGCCAAGAAGAGAAAGGTGCACAAAGACATCCGTGAACAGCTGCGGGAGTTCATCAATCGAAACAAGCACTTGATTAATGAAAACCTACACGGAAGCTCAAGCTGTCCTGGTGTGGGTGCAATGTAAATGTAGGCGAGAGGCAGGAGTGAAGTGCAGGAGTGAAGTGCAGGAGTGAAGTGGCTCTTGATAGATTTCTTTGATGCTTTACTGGTATTTCGGTTCAGGTTTGTTGGCCGAGGCATAACTTATAGTTTGATTAATATTCAATATTCTTTCAATGAAGCTCACATCTTTTCCAAAGAGTACCCCAAATCACAACCACCAAGTTCATTGATTATATAAGATATTTAGTATGTGTAACCATGAACTCGAAATTATTAGAATGCTGATTGTGAAAGATTGCTTTCACCGGGGAAGTGAGGAAAGAAAAAGTGTATTTGTATACGCTTCCAATCCCAATGATTACTCATATATCTATCATTTACCGTCATCAAAATCACATGTCTCATGGTGTCGATGGAACCACCTCCACCTGGCGTATCCACGGTTTGGAGGCTGCATTGAACGCGTCGATGCCCTACATCAACGCGCACTTGCCGACGTCGATACCGTAACTTGCCTGGCACTGCTCGAGGTAGCCAGCCTCTTCTGCAGAACCGTTGAGATTGTTATGAGGTCGGACGAGTCCTGTAATCTTGATATCATGTTTGCCTTCTCCATGCCACCAACGAAGTTTCTGGATCCATGCGCGCTCTTCATCGTCGGTGCTAATCTCCCACTTGCCGCCCGAGACCTCCACGCTGACTTGATCGCGGGGGAAGTGGTATTCTGGTAAGAAAATGGTCGTGGGCTCCGTTTCTGATGTCGGCGTAGAAGAAGTCAATGACAGATGGAAGACGCAAGTCTTCAAATCGAAACCATAAGAGGTCTGTGTGCCGCTTATGACGATTGGAGCTGGACGAACAAAGGCTTCAGCGGCCCGATAGCCAGGGGCATTGGTGAGTTCAGGATTCAGACTGGGTGGCTTTGATGAAATGGACGGGTTAGTCAGGGTGCGCTTGAGATTTCCAGGAGTGACGGAGGCTTCATCGTCTACCTCGGGTCTAACTTGGGTCGCGGCTGTCTTCAAGAAGCTTGATTGCGACGTATTCCCATCTGGCGTTCGAGGTACTGACGGCATCGGGAGGGTTTGATCGTCGAGGGAAAAGATGGAGAGGTCCTCGCCGTTCCACAGATCGCCACGGACATGATCATTCTAGCTCACGGTCAGAAAGATCAAGACAAAAGTGCTAATTGAATACTTACTTGCGTATCATAGAGCCACAGAGTATAGCCGTCGAGCTCAGCCCCCTCAACTGCGTAATGATTGGCATCCATGGCGGCAGATTGACTGGAGTAATCTCCCGTCTTGTAAGCATTCTTTTCATCCATGTCGTAAGGAATTCCAAACTCGCTCATCAACACGGGATGCTTTCCCATGTAGTCTAAGCACTCCTTTTTCATAGCAGCCATTTGATCTCTGAAGCAATTTCGAATTGCAGTTTCCCCGACCTTGATGGCAAATGCGGGATGCAGATATCGACCACGTAATATACCAAGGACATCGACGTTCCATGTCCGGTTCCACTTCTTCGTCATGAGGGTGATTCCGTCGTAGAAGTGGGGAGTATAGACCATCTTGGGATCATCATCAGCAGTTCCCTTGATGGATGGGGGTACTTCAAAAACTGGAGGCTGGCACAGCATGATGGCATCGGGATGCTGAGCGCGGACGGTGTCGCGATACAGCCGATAGTGCTCCATGTAGTAGGTATTCGTGAACTTTTCATGATCGAGCACATCGCCAGTGCGTGGGTTCTTGGCGAAATAGTCTTTCTTCAGTAGCACATCTTTGGTAGGATCCCAGACTCCGTGCTGGGCCCACAAGCATTCGCCCAGCTTCCAGCCAGGGTCGCGCGTCCAGCCATACCTCGAGTCGTCGTAGTCAGCAGGCAACCAGGCAATCTCTCCGTGAGGGTCAATGAGCGACCGTCCTACTTTGTATGGTCCTAGGCCGCCCATATCCCACGTGTCAACCTCACAAGCTCTTCCAGAACCGGTAAGAATGGCCTGCCATATTGTCGGTGCCGTGCCCTTCTTGAGGGCTTGCTCTTTCGGAATTACGCTCAAGTCTGCGTTCCCTATAATGCCTCGGTTTGGCTCATTCAAAGACTCCCAGCCAAAGATGACATCGTTGAGGATCCCACCCGCCTCCTTGAGTCGTTTTGCAACGTGGGAGATGGCGCCCAGGTAGTGGCCAGTCAAGAAATCTTGAATATTGAGACCATTTATTATAGCTTTCGGCGCAAAGTCTCTACCGCCAAAGAAGAGAGTAAACACTGTTGCCGCCGCAAGACGGTAGTAGTTGGTCGACCATATCATTTTTGGAAAATTTTCTGGTTCGGGGTATGTATTGTGTACTATAGCAGCCTCCGTTGCTGCAAAGCTTTGGGGGTTCAAACCGCAGGCGTACAATGTCCACATGGGGGCGCCCGAACCGCCGCAGTATCGAGACCACTGGTTAACATACGAGTTAGCAGGAGTAATCATGCCGGGGGAGGCTGATGCAATATTACTGACCACATCCTGATGCGGATCCATAAAGATGTAGAAGCCGTAGTCCTTGGCCTCGCGGAGCACGTCGATGGTGTGCTGTATCCATACTTCGTCGTACTTGCCGGGCCCGGCAGACTCGACCGCCTCCCAGGTAAAGACGTAGCGGATGGTGTTGTACCCATAGCGCTTCAGCCTCGAGAAGTGAATGTGTGCATCCTCTTTGCGGAACGGCCGGCCGTGAAACTTGACATTGTCGCCGTCAAAGAAGTCGTCGACGATATGCGACGGAACGTCTGGGGTGCTTGGCAGCTTCGCATCGCCGGCAACATTTATGCCGCGCAGGAGGACATGTCTGCCGTGATTGTCTCTAAATTGACCATCTTCAATGGTCAGTCGAAGGGTAGACATAGCCGTCGCGGCAACAGTGTATACGGCAGGCAAATGTAGGGGTTGTGTCGTGCTGTTGCTGGAGTTAGTTGTCTTGTTATCAACAGAAGGCGTATATGCATTGCCAGAGCATATCAGGTACACATGCACTGGATGACGTCTAACTTACTGTACCGAGTGTACGTTGCCAGCGGCGGGTTCCGGGGGCCGATAAGATACCGAGAGCGCTGATGATTACTATGTACAGGCGACAGCACAGGCGTCTAAAAGTATCACCTGCACTAAGGGCCTATGTACTCTACCCAAGAGTCCAAGACACTTCAAGCGTTCAGACACGGTCAGTTGATACGAAGCATGTATTCGCAGGTACGTTGCGTATTCTGGTAGAAACCAAGAGACTAGAGAATAATCAAAGCCTCAAAAAGTCCAATGAATAAAGACGACAAGAGTTTATAAAGTCTAAATTGGATTTTCTAGAGACCAGAGTTGACGGACGGCAATATGCTTAAATAGAGCTTCAGACCGCTGTTGATGCACCGCGACTTTGTATGCATTCGTCGGCCCAAGCAGATTTATTAGCTGGAGGCGTTGCTGATCCCTGCAGAGGGTGGGGTCATTGAACCGGAGTTTAACCAAAGCTTCCTGACCCAGTTCAATCATTGATGTTTCTTCGGCCGCCCGCCAGCGACTCAGGAACACACGCTGATTCCATTGGTGCACACACTCTCCATACTGGCCCCTCAACCTCTCCCAGGCACCGCCGCCGCCATCTTTTTTGAGGGTGGATGACATTCTGAAGCCAAGCCGCAATCGTCTTCTATTAGTCAAATGATGAGCGCATGAGCTCAACCAGGGCTACCCACCTATTCTACCTACATACCGGGTACAGTGCGTCGCCGTCCCTGTCTAAAACAAATCGCAACATACTACCGCAAAGCCTGGCCGCTTCAACCAATCGACGACCACATTCACCCTGCCTGCACTTTTGATGGAGCTACTCTGGTAGACTCTCAGCCCGGCTCAAACCTCGCAAGGACTTACAAGACTTGTCATCGTCGGGGAATGATCACGCGTGCCTCTTAGTGCTCGATTATCCCCTCCGCCAGCAACATCATGTCGAGCACGGCCAAGCAGCTCAAAGCTGTCCGTGAGCTGGTCAAGCGAAAGCAGTGGGATGACGTTTTGGACCAAGCCCAAAGCATCATCAAAGATGACCCAAAGAGTTTCCACGCGTACGTTTTCTCGTCTCTCACATCTTGAATTACCATAAACTCGTGCTTGATACTCATCTTTCACAGATATGTCTTTCTCGGTTTTGCATCGGCTGAGAAGAACAAAGTAGAGGATGCTGAGAAGGCCTATGAAGCTGCTGGCCGCCTGAAGCCTTCAGACCCACAGCCCTGGCAAGGCTTGATCAAACTCTATGAGAAGCAGGGTGCTACCAAGATCGCAAAGTACCACCAGGCTGCACTGAAACTTGCTGCCGTCTTTCACGAGCAGGATGACATGTACAGATGTCAAGATGTGATTGACAAATTTGTCGATTTCGCCAATGCCCACGGCACTCGGGCTCAGTATGTTGATGCATTGGCTGCAATCCTGCCAGATAGCCCGATTTATCCAGCCTTGGAAGGTCGTGTACCTCATCCGGCCAAGACATACGAGAAGATTGCCCAAATCTTGGAGACGGATGAGAAGAAGCGCATCAACACGCTTATTGGAGAGAGGCGAACAAGGATAGGTGCAACCTTGGGCAACGTCACCATTGATGTGAATCGCGAGGTGCTGGGCCAAAGTAAGCTCGGCAATATTTACGAGCAACTAATCAACTGGTCTACCGATGACGACATAAGACGCCAGTACGAAGAGAAGCTCCTGCGATTCCGATACGACCGGCTCGTGGTTTTCCCGCCAGGTCCTGAAAAGGAGGCGGAGCTTGCTATAGTACAAAAACTTGCCGGCGACATGGTCATAATAGATCATCCTTTCAGACTTGCCTGGGATATTGCGGTAAACTGGCAAGACAACAAGGAGATTCGTGATTGGGATGTCAATGTTCTGAATGGATATTGCTCCCACTTCCCAGAGAGTGACCTTTACAAGGTTCTCACAGCTTTCATGACCAGCAGTATTTCTCCTTTCCCCAAGAAACCTGCGTCGGATCCTGCGCCTGCCCAGTCAGAAGGCGACGCCGATTCCAGTGAGGATGATGAGGAAGGAGGTGCACCTACGTCCATCATTCCATTTACGGAAGCTGATCGATTGTCCATGATGGAAGATGGTGTTGAATCTACCGATTCGCTCCTTGCGTATCGCTTGATTGGAGAGTATTATCAGCACCTCGAAGAGCATGAGCGCAACGTCGAACTCATGCGCAAGGCCATGCAGGTCATGGTCGATCTGACCAACAAAATCGGAAAAGTCTTCCTGCAAACCAACCAGGCGTTTATGTTGCATCTAGGTACAGCTCTGGTGTTTTATCAGTCGCCGAGGAATCATGGCGAGGCGAAATTTCTGTTCGATAAGGTTCTCGAAGTGGATGCCTCTTCCACAGCTGCACAGATTGGAGTTGGTCTCATCTACGAGGAGGAAGAGGAATACGACTCGGCCATTGACTTTCTCGAGCGAGCACTTCAAAGAGACGGCACCAATCTACGCGTCAGGGCCGAAGTTGCATGGCTTTATGCTCTGAAGGGCGACTACACTCGATGCAAGGCAGACCTCGAGTCTGTCCTTGAAGCAATGTCTGCAAAGAATGCCGTGTCCAACGAGCTCCTTGCACAAACGCAACATCGCCTTGGTGTATGTGTATGGAACCTGGATACATCAAAGGCTGCAAGAAAGAGCCGTTCGGGAGCCTATGCGTACTTCCTTGAAGCTCTCAAGAGTGATTTCAGCTACGCGCCTGCATACACAAGTCTAGGAATCTACTATGCCGAGTATGCCAAGGACAAGAAACGTGCGAGAAGGTGCTTCCTGAAGGCCGTTGAGCTATCTTCAGCCGAGGTCCTGTCTGCTGAGCGTCTGGCACGATCCTTTGCTGATGATAGCGACTGGGATCGTGTCGAACTAGTTGCCCAGCGTGTGGTTGACTCTGGAAAGGTGCGTCCTCCACCAGGGTCCAAGAGAAAGGGCATCAGCTGGCCCTTTTCTGCTCTTGGTGTGGCAGAATTAAACAAACAAGACTATGCAAAGTCCATTGTTTCCTTCCAATCCGCTCTACGCATGTCACCAAACGACTACCATTCATGGGTTGGGCTCGGCGAAAGTTATGCCAGCGCTGGGAGGTTCATTGCAGCGACCAAAGCAATTCTCAATGCACAAAAGCTCGAGGCATCGCTCGATGACGGTTCAGTGGGCGATACGTGGTTTGCTAAATACATGCTTGCTAATGTCAAGCGCGAAATTGGAGAATACGACGATGCTATTGTTCTTTACCAAGACGTGACTAAGACTCGGCCCAATGAAGCAGGCGTCGTGGTTGCACTGATGCAGACCTTGGTTGAAAGCGGCCTGGACAGTATTGAAAAGGGATTTTTTGGCAAAGCAGTCGAGCTGGCTCAAGAAACGATTTCTTTTGCCTTGACTGTCGATCCCGAAGTGTCAAGCACCTTTAACTTTTGGAAAGCTATCGGCGATGCCTGCTCTATCTTTTCTTCCGTTCAGGGTCGCGTTGAAGAGTTTCCCGCTGAGCAGGTTCGAAAACTGGTTGAGCTAGGCGACGACCCCGAATCTGCCTACAACGTCCTGCACGATATTGACGGTGTTGGTAAAGATGTAGTTCTCGCAAAGGGATTATTTCCCGAAGATGAGAAGCTCGGCGTCGATCTTACACGAAGTCTTCATGCATCGATTCTCGCGCACAAACGAGCTGTACATTTGTCCGCTCAAGATGTGCACGCACAGGCTGTCGCCTACTACAATCTGGGTTGGGCAGAGCACCGGGCTCACACTTGTCTTCCGAGCGAGCTCCGATCAAAGGCCAGCAGATATCACAAGGCGGCTGTGAGATGTTTCAAGCGCGCAATCGAGCTTGAGGCAGGTAATCCTGATTTCTGGAATTCTCTAGGTGTTGTGACTAGTGAGATCAATCCCTCTGTTGCGCAGCATGCTTTTGTCCGAAGTCTTCACTTGAATGAGCGAAGCCCTCATACCTGGACAAACCTCGGCGCACTAGCTCTTTTGCAAAACGACATGCAGCTGGCCAATGAAGCATTTACTCGAGCACAGTCGAATGATCCAGACTACACACACGCCTGGCTAGGGCAAGGATTCGTAGCTCTCTTGTACGGCGATGTGCGTGAAGCCCGAGGATTGTTTACTCATGCTATGGAGATCTCGGAGTCGTCATCGTTGCTTACTCGGAGGCAATATTCCGTCTCGCTGTTTGATTACATTCTCACCGACCCGTCGAACCTCAAGGTCGTCTCTCTTGTGCAGCCGCTCTTTGCATTGGAGCAACTGAATGGGCTTGACCCGCAAAATCTAGCTTACGGTCATCTTGCCACCCTTTTCCAGGAACGCACCAGCGACAGCCCTCGCGCAATCACCATGCTGGAAAAGGCATGTGAGGATCTAGAGGCCAACTATGAGGCCACTGAGTCGCCCATATCGGCTGGCCGCTTTGCTCTAGCCAAGACGGACTTGGCTCGATCCTACCTTTCGGCAGGGAAATACGAAGAGGCAATCGAATGCGGAGAGGTGGCATTGCAACTGAGTGGTGTCGATTCGGAAAGCGACCTGACCTCGGAACAGCGAAGAAAAGCTCGCTCGTCTGCTCATCTCACGGTTGGCCTGGCACAGTACTTTAATGGAGAAGTAAACGACTCGTTGACCTATTTTGAATCGGCACTCGAGGAATCAGACAATAACCCTGATGCAGTCTGTCTGTTGGCGCAAGTTCTCTGGGCTATTGGCTCGGATGAAGCACGCGAACGAGCCCGTACCCTCCTCTTTGAAGTTATTGGGGAGGATTCTACCCACGTCCAGTCAGTTCTACTCCTTGGAGTTATTGCCCTCCTGGACGAGGATGAAGAATCATTGGAAGCCGTGGTTGCGGAACTCAACACGTTGAGAACGAGTGACAAGGTGACAGATGCCGAGCACTCACAGATTGGCCAGGTCTTGCGAGCTGTCGCGGCGCTCTCAGCTAACAGTACGGAGAACGACGTGCTTGCTCAAATGCAAAACGACGTGATGCTGCACCCTCACATGCCCCACGGTTGGTCCATGCTCGCCAATTCGTCTGGCGAGGAGTACCCGGCCGAGGTAGCGCTCAAGGTGGCAACCAAGGCCATTCCGCCCCGAGGTGAGCTCGGAGCCGCGGAGCTGGCCAGCGCGTACGCTGGTACGGCCAGAGCCGCCGATGCTCAAGTGTCTATTGTGATTGCACCATGGATCAACAATGGTTGGGACAGCCTTAATGATGCAGTCGCAGGGTTGTCGAAGACATGGACATTAGCAAGGTAGCTCGAAATCTTGATGGATTACAAAATCATTTTGAAACATGACGGATCGAATTCATAGCTGGGTTCTACATCTTGAGGTCAGATACAACCTCGATCAATTAATTCGTTGTTGTTGCTGTTGTTGTTCCCAGCATGTAATGAGACATGAGGAATCCGAGTCCAGGAGGTTTGCCATTGCATGGTTGGGCGTTGAAAAAAAGTTTAGTAGGATAGAGTGAAAATAGAAAAGAAGAATAAGTGCAGTTGCCTCCGAGGCCATGAATCATATGAATCATACTCATCCTTTCACAATGGCCAAACATGACAGTAAATAGTGCATAGTTCGACTTTTGGTACGTAGCACATATTCCAGTTTCTCAGTATGACTGACTCGAGAAAACCCACCCATTACTAGCCTCACAGTGTACAGCAACCAAGAAGACCGCCTCGTCCCCCACCAAGCAAGCACCATGACAAACAACAACAATGAGGCAAACGACGACGAGACCCACGATGGGCTGGAAAATTTTTCAATTAATCCACAATGATTCCATGTAACGCATTAACGACAACTTCTCTCAACAAGCGTTGAAGCAATTCAAGCGTTTCATCATCGGTCCGTTGGCAGAATTGGCATTGCGTCTGACTACGAGGCATTCTCTTCTCAAGAAGAGTTGTAATCAGTTGACATCAGGAGATTCTGGGTTCGATCCCCAGGCGGACCTTTTTGCGATGCGTATGGTGTGGGTATCGTGATAATTTTTGTTGTTTTGACGTTGGAGGTGCCCAACACCCTGCCTACCCTGCTTGTTCTTTGTCTCACGCACAAACCCAACTGTCCATCTGGAGAGGATCGTGCTCGCCGCCTAGATACGTGCTATTCAGAGGCCAGCGGCAATGGCGATGTGTATAAGAAATCCCGTGGTCAACGCTGTCATTTACAAACTTTGTGCCAATCATTGATTCGGGCGCAGTTCCCTTCTCGACCCAGTCTACAACGGCCGCCAGGACGTTTTGTTTTGCGTCAAAGGGGATGCCTTTTGACGGTGCATTGCCACCTTGGCCGAGAACCCACGCGCCTGGTCCGCTGTTGCAGTGGTTCATACCTGGGATGCGAAACAGCCGGTAGAAGTTGTCCAGCTGCTCCGGCGCGTATTGCATGCCGGTAGCTAGGTGCTCATAAAATCTCAGAGAATTGAAGCTGGTGATTTGCTGATCCTGCAGGCCGTGGAATGTCAGCAGCTTGCCAGACGCGCCTTCAAAGGCGGCGAGCGATGATGGCCAAGTCTCGATGCCGGCAGGGTTCTTGTCATGGGCAATTAATGCATCATCAATATTGTAGCTCGCGGGGTCCCATTCAGGGTCTTCTAGTACGACGAATCTGAGCCAGTCATACGATGGTGAGTAAGGACGCCCGGCGTATAAGCCAGTGGCGGCGAGAATTTCGCTACCAGGTTGCATGCCAGGATAGACGAGACTTCCATTGGGCCACTTGTAGTCAGTATAGATCTTTTCCACAATATTGACTTGATCCGCATTGAGGCAGTTGCTGGTGTTGTAGCCTTGACATGAGAGCTCTTGAGCGCGAAAATGACAAAGGGTAGGATCTTCAATGATTCCATCCTTGACCCCATCAATTTCGTCACATTGCTTCAACACTTCATTGTGAATGGTCGTGTTCCAGGTAGTAGCAGAGATGAAGTTGGTGTCCGAGCTGGCTCCGGTAAGAGGAAAGAAACTTGCGCGCCAAGAGTACAGATTGTTGAAGTCAACAGCCGGAGAACCCGCCACGATGCCGTCAAAGTCGCGCGGAAACATTTCTGCCGCTTTGATGCCTTGCCGGCCGCCTAGCGAACATCCTATGTAGTAGGATTTGCCCAGGGCCGAGTCAAAGAATTGAGCGGTAAGCTTCTTGCTGACTACAGCCGACGTGTGCAGGCTGTTGTGTCGTTAGCATTTGGATCAATACCTCTCGACATAGGCTTGAATAACGAGCAAGAATAAAGCGACTTACGACCGCCAAGCGAAATCCGTGACCACATCTTCATTCTGGTAAAAGGCATTCCCATACGTGCCATTGTGCCCATTGTTGGTTCCCACGGTGGCAAAGCCATTGGCCACACCATATGCAATGTCTTCATACTTGATGCCTATAATATTTGGTATTAGAAACTTGAAATGCAAGGGCGAGATTTCGCGTTTTCGCAACAGTTATGGTCTTGCTTACATCCATCTATGCCACCGTTGCCAGTAGCCAAGGTACGACCAGTCCATTGCTCGGGTAGCCACAGCTCCAGAGTGATACTTGATCGCTTCGATGTTGGGATCGACAAGGCGACACGACACAAATCTACCGGGACAACTTGAGAGCCGCGACTGCACGTGGCGTCGTTGTCGGGAAACGTCAGGTTGGTGCCGGCGGGCACATACTGGAGCTGCGTCCTGGTCGAGTTCCAGATACTGGCCTCTGGTGCAAAGGAAAGACAAGTTGACTCGAATGTTTGGTTCCCGAGCGCCACAGCCCCGACAGCTGCGACGGCCAGAATCAGAGACGACGCATTCATACCTAATGTAGGTATTTGTCGGCAGTTTCCCGTGTAGTTGGACTATGCAGTAATTCCTTTTCTGTTTCGTGGCTCTCAATCACACAAGTGTTTTTCTCCTATTTCGTGCCATTAATGGCTCTTGCCAAGAAGTAATCAACACCATGTGCTTGGCAACGACCCCGCGTGGTACAGAACCCATCAGTCTCGTTCGTGCCCATCCATGCTTGGGGATCGGGTAGATGAGCCGAATGCAAGAAGTCATTTCTTTTCTTGACCCCAATTGCGATGCATGCACGTAGCAGGGGTCAGCAAGCGATTGCTACTCGAATCGGGAATATCCTTTCGCACAATTGATTTTTGTGTCGGGCTGGATTTAACAATCAGATTGCTGCAACTGCATTGCAAATGCCAGTATACTCTTCAGAAAGACGCAGCTCTGCTAATGCGCAGGCATTTTCCATGAAATGGCAAATCATGTTCATGATAGGCCGGCGCTGCATAAGCTTGTGGTTGCATACAGTGAGTGATGCAAGCTGGCAGTGTCTTGTAGAATGTCCACTGAACTTCTGCAAACTTTGCCAGGAACAATCACGACAGAGATATTGCACGCGCTCGTCCGTCTAAAGTAAATGAATGAACCTAGAAAATTGCAAGAAAGTGGTGCGAAGCTCAGTATCCTCCTCATTGTGCACATTGTGAAAAGACCGAATTGTCCGGTCTCCCCGAACTGCTTAGGAATGCTTTTTTTTTTTTTTTTTTACTATAGTCGCAACTCGCTGCTGGTGGGGCACTAGTTGCAAACATGTACCAGTACTGTGACCTCATCTGCGTACCAAACTTGCAATTTTCTTCCATGCATCATCTTGACTTGTCGGAGAGGAAGTGGCCCGTGAGAACCAATTGAGGATGTATACATGATATACCATGTTACCTAAGTGAATATTTGGGTAATGAATTGATTGCGCATTGTGAGTGGTGTGGAAAATAGTAGCCCATACTTGCACCAACACCCGTCCTAGCTGAGCCCCCCACGCCATAGTGTATAACGGACTCGAATGAGGTCACTACCAAACCTAGTATTTCCCCAATGCACGTTTCATTCATAGGTGGATGCCTTGCGGAAACTAGTATACGGAGATCATCCTCGGACAAATACTGACAGAGCACAGGATAAAATGTCCGCTCTATAAATTGCTTGGTACTTGACGATTTTGTGTCCAACCCAACTGCTTCATTCCTTTCACGATATTGCGACAGCAGAAATGATGGAAAATTCAAGTCTTCAAACCACTATTGCTTTTTTAGGAGCAACAGGGCGAACCGGTAGCGCTACACTTGGACCGCTCCTCGCAAATAAGGACAAGCACGTACAACTACGAACATACGTACGGTCCAAAGCCAAGCTCCTCCGCCTGCTTCCGGAGATAGAAAATGATTCATCCGTCGAGATACGCGAGGGTCAGCTGGACAATGTCAAGAACCTGACAGAATGTTTTCGCGGAGCCAGTATCATCATCTGCACCGTGGGGGAAAATCAAAACATTCCCGGTCTGTGTACACTCCAGGGCGCCGCAAGATGTATTGTCGCTGCCCTCACCACTCTACAAGAGGAAGATGAGAACTGGTCCAAGCCTCGCTTCATCATGCTCTCTGCCGCCCCCGAGAACCCGCGGTTCCGAGCCGCGATGCCGGCGCCCGTTCTGTGGCTGCTCCATACGGCATTCTACTACTCGTACGCCGATCTGTCGGCCGCTCAGGATATACTCGCGGCTGCGCCTCAGCTCATGTCCCTACTGCTCGTCCAGCCTCCAGGAATCGTAGAGGACGAACCCACTGGACACGAAATCTCAACCGAGTCGGTCAGAAAGACTGTGACGTATGCGGATCTGGGCAGTGCCTTTGCCGAGCTGGCCCTAGAAAGAGCCTACGATGAGCTTCATGCCGTCGGCGTCTCTAGCAAAGGCGGTGATGTATCGGGGAAATACGAATTTGAGCTGCTGTCAAGGATGGTCATAGGTCTTTTTGCCGGCTATATGCCCGGATATTGGCCCGCTAAACGCTTCATAGATCGAATTCGCGGCGCTCTTGGCTGGTAGACCTCATGGGGTATATTTGAATTCCACTCAGTATCAATGAACGGTGCAGATGGCAAGTGGGTATGTGGTCAAAGATAAAAGCCCTGGTGCATAGGATGATGTTTTTCAGTATCTGTGTAACATTTTTGTCCGTGTATGAAGTCGTTAATCTCGAGAGTCGCGCAATACAAGCCCAACCAATTGTCATATTCAAATTAAGAGAGCAACCAGGGTCTGAGTACATAGACTAAAAATCATGCTCTAGTCGCGAGTAATACAACCTTGTTCATGCATTCACACTTAAACGATAGATGTATTGAACCACTAAAAAAACATCGTATGATCCATCGAGGTCAAAGCGCATTTGGCTATTGGCGTCCGTCTCAGTGAGTGCTCTACGGGTTCCCAAAACTGCACTGGGTCTACTAGTTTTTAGACATTATTGGAGCAGCTGAGATCTATAATCGGAGAAGGCCGTTGATCACGATGGTTTGGAGATATCGTGGTTCACGAGTGGTACCGGGTGCCCAGGCATATTCTCCTTAGCTGAAAGACACTCTGCAGACGTTGTGGAAAAGGCATCCGCCATACCGGCCTTCCTTCCCTTCAACAGACAACGCTTATCTCATCTTACATTAGCTTTATTAAGGCTGATATAGCTGTCTAAGGTGTCCGTATTTCTCTTATGTCAGAAGATGTATTTTTGCGATTCTCGTGATGCCTAGAAACACGGTTTCGTCAAGCTGAAACGTTGCCTACTGCCTTGCTAGACTCTTGAGATAGCAACAAGCTCTCTAAAGTAGTGTAAAGCACAGACTGTACTATAAGATGTAGCATCTTCGGTCTCGAATTCCCCGAGGGCAAGTGACGTTGGGCCTCGTCCATTTGACCGTTGGAGGGTGGCGCTAGGATGCACTATTTGTATCCACAAGGCCTTGGACTCAAGAGCGTTCCTGAACGGTGGCCAGCCCCGTACGCACCGAGGTTTAGTCTATCCAGGTGGAATAGTAATCTCAGGCACGCTTCTGAATGTAGAGCACACCACTATGTGGGCTACGGTATAATTACGAGTCAGGAACATATCCCATGGCCAATGGTTCCCGCTGAGACATTCAACAGTCTTTGCTGCGCCGAAGATCTTAAGAGTGTCTCAGTCAGCAACCGGACCACTTTAGACTTGATTATGAGCACCCATCCATAATATGCGCACCGCACCGCATGGAGCCACAGGAGGTTCGAGAACAAAACTAGCTGCAACCTTAACCAGACTGTCGGGTTCAAGAGCAGACATGCCTTTCTTGATTGGCCAAATGGTATCCCCGAGGAACTGGGCGGTCACAAGTGACGATTATTCAAGAGAGACTGTTCATTGCTTGTATTTCGTAACATTACGCACCAAAGATTCATGTGCAACCAGTCGATTATTGACAGGGCACAAACTTGGATGCTGAGAGAGCTGATATCTTTAGAGAGTCATTGTAATTGCTACAATTATTAGCTATTCACCTTATAGCCCTGGTGGTATAAAATGGAGGTCATGCCCGCTTGGCGAAAGAGTTTCGGAATATGTTCAACATAGCACCTTGTCTGACGCAAATATAACAATTATACATCTGAGAGAGAGAAAAATGACACGATCAACTGTTGCAACGTCTCTCTTGTGCCTCTCGGCGCTCACTGGAGTATCCGAGGCTGCCTTCAACTGGGCAAACGTCAATTCTGTTGTAGCCTTTGGTGACTCTTATTCCTCCGTCTGGGGAACTGCTGGCTATCCCAATTACACGTTTATTGGCTCAAATTTACCAAGTCAATACGCCTTTACTCCCTCTCAGTTGCTCAATGATCGCATAATCCAGAACTATTCGGCTACAGCTGAGGGCGGTCCCAACTGGCTCGAGTTCCTCACCGGATGTGCCGTCAAGCCCGGACTATATCTGCCTAGATCTTGCAGCAACCAGCTGTGGGACTTTGCCTTTTCCGGCGCCAGCTATAGCAAACAGTTCTTTCCCCCGCACCACTCCTACACGGTTCCCGTCGCGAACCAGACTCAGCGCTATCTGTCCTATGCCGACCAGACGCTGGCCCTCGACAAGTCCCGTTCTCTGATTACCTTCTGGTTCGGCATCAACGACGTCTTCGACACCAAGAACTTTTACACGGGACCGCTCACCGACGAGCAGCTGTGGAACCAAATAATCAGCGCCTCGTTCCAGCAGAGCGTCATGCCTCTGCTCAGGGCCGGGTTCAGAAACGTTCTCATGATGAATTTCCCGCCTCTAGACCGCGCCCCCCCGAACCTGCGGTCGAGCGACCCGTACCCGACCAAGTCAATGGTTGACTTGTGGAACTCGATCCTGGCCAAGCAGTCGGCCCAGTTCCAGGCCAGCAACCCTGGCACCAAGATTATGGTCTACGACGACAACAAGTTCTTCAACCAGGTCCTCAACAGCCCCGGCTCCTACGGTATTCGTGTCACCGATAACTTCTGCCGCGCCTACGAGAATCCCGACGTTGCCAACAACCCCAGCAAGTATGGTTGCTATCCCCTGAGCCAGTACTTTTGGCAGAGTGGAGCACACATGTAAGTCGTTACGCCTCTTCTTACTTGATCCTTCTTGTAGGCGCACATTTCTGACTAGTCATCAACACAGGACATCTCACACTCACCAACTTATGGCTTCTGACTTGGTAAGCTTCTTGAGAACACAGACAAGCTCTTAAACTAGAAGGAAATCAAGGACGAATTTGTGCATGTATTGATAGTGTAGTGGTTCTGTTTTCGCAAATTTACATCTCATGTCATATTCAGTGACTTGATGACAAAATTATGCCTTTTACTGTAGGATATACTTGTTTGGGCGGAGTTGCTACCGAGTATTCATAAAATAAAAATATACAACATCATCATTTCGAGCTTTTATGGTTACGCAGTGGCTTATTAACTTTCCCTAGCATGATAGATATTATCTACTTGTTAAAATATGCGTTATAATAATGGAAGGAAGCTATATATAATTTATAATAAAAATAGAGAAGAAAACAAAAAAAAAGACAAAAGGAAAGACAAAAGGAAAGACAAAAGGAAAGAGAAAAGGAAAGAGAAAAGGAAAGAGAAAAGGAAAGAGAAAAGGAAAGAGAAAAGGAAAGAGAAAAGGAAAGAGAAAAGGAAAGA